CTTTTCGCTGAGTGTGAAATTTAGATTTTTCTTTATTTCTATATAAAAGGAAGTCCTACATCCTCTTCCAAGATTTGAAAAAGTAATTATTTTTTTGAGAAATAATGGATCATTTCGAAAAAATGTCAAGAGATGATCTTCGTAAAGAAGTCATTAAACTTCTTGATATAATGTCCGGAGGTGTAAAAAGTAAAAGAATTCTTAAATCTCAACAATTAAGATCTATGAGTACCTCAGAACTTCTGGCATTTATTAGAGAACATTTACAAATAAACCAAGCTGAAGTTAGAGATGCTCCACTTACGCTTAAGGAAGTATTTCCCTTCGAAGATCTTATTTTTAGTGATTACAAAGAAACTAGAAAAGGAATTGTAAGAACAACAACCTATAGAGACAAAAGCAAAGATATAAATTTTGATAAATACTTTGATCTTTTTGAGAAAAGAGGAATCGAATATTATATAAGAATCATTACAAAAAAATAATGAATTCTTTCTTCGAAAAAGAACAAAAAAATTTTGTAATTAATGACATCAGAAGTGATACTTCAGTCAAAAATATATTTGAAACTAGAGTTCAGACAAAATGAAGGACTCTCAAAAAGAAGAAAACTTTGCTGTAAGATCTGAAACTAAGGAATTGTGCGTTGGTGAAGATCGGGAAGAATGGTATCAACATGCTTGTCAAGAATTAATGATGAACATGGAGAATTTGCAATCAAGAAGTTCTGGTTGGACAATATCGGGAATAAATTACCTTGAGATGAATCAAACTATGTGTAATTCACGTAGTGGTTCTGCCTATATTGATCTTCCAAAATGTATTAAAGATAAGCATTGTGTCATTAATCCTAAAAATAAGGATGACAAGTGTTTTATGTGGTCTATATTAGCTCATTTTACATCCTGCTGATCGGGATGCAGAAAGAGTTATTAAGTATATTCCTTTTGAAAAACGAATTAAAAATTTGGAGATCTACCTTTTCCAATGAAAAATTAAAGATATAAATAAGTTTGAGATGAATGATCTTGTTGTAAATGTGTTAGAATGCACTGAAAAAGGAGAAATAAATCCATTACGTCCTTCAAGAAGAATTACTGCTGATAATAATAAAGTTATCAACTTATTATATCATGTTAATGATGAAGGAAAAATCACATTATTCCCTAATCAAAAAAATCTTGATAAACTCATGAATAAACGAGGAGAACATCAAAAAAACATTCTGTGTTAGATGTCATTGCTCTTATAATGTAAATATGAATGATAAAAACTAGATCAAATTATCACAGGCATTTAGAGGACTGTGGTAAAAACAAACCTATTGGACATAATTTATCTAAGAAAAAAATCACAAAAATTCGAAAAACATTAGCAACGCTCAGAAGCATCGTTATGTCATATATGCAGATTTTGAGAGTATTATCAAAAAAATATCACACACAGTTTAATAATCCAAAAAGAATCATGGACTACAGATGTTGGAAAAACACATTCCAGCTGGATTTTGTGTTGTTGTAGTTGATTCTTTCACCAAAAAATGTATAGTATCAAATCTTATATTGGACACAATGCTGCTCTAGAGTTCAACAAATACATCATTAAAATATCTCAGGAAATTATGCAATTAGGTAATGTGGTAATTAGAAAAATTAACTCAAAAAAAGAATGGACTGAATACAATGGAAACAATGAGTGTCCTAATTGTAAGATTGAATACAACTCTAAAGATATGAAAACTATCAAAGTTAGAGATCATGATCATTGGACTGGAGAATATCGTGGACCTCTTTGTGGAGCATGTAATCTATTAAAAAAAGAAAAAAATACCTTCATTCCAGTTTTCTTTTCACAATCTTAAAGGATATGATTCTCATCTCATTATTGGTTGTCCAGAAAGTACTGAATTCTTGAAAGATTATGGAATTGATATCAAAAAAACATTTCTAGCAACACTGAAAAGTTTATTAGCTTCAGTTATCATCTTCCCTCTGAAAGTAGAAATTTTTTTACGACAGATGCGAAATTAGATTTCTCGATTCTTTCTCTTTCATGTCTTCATCGCTAGATAAACTTGTTCAAAAACATGTGTAGTGATGACATGTATATTACTAAAGATTATTATTTTTTTATCATAATGAAAGACCTGGTGATAGTGAAGAACTAGAAAAATTTGAATTAATGCAAAGAAAAGGTGTATATCCCTATGAATACATGGATTCTTTTAAGAGATTCCAAGAAACAAAACTACCCAATATTTCTTCATTTTTTGATATGTTAAACGGAAAATCTTGCAGTACAAAGGATTATCTATATGCTAAGTTAGTTTGGAATAAAATGAATTGCAAAAATTTAGAAGATTATACTAGAATTTATATGATTAATGATGTCCTTCTCTTGGCAGATGTTTTTGAGAATTTTAGAAACTTAAGTCTCAGGGTATATGAGCTTGATCCTTGTTGGTATTTCACAAGTCCGGGATTAGCTTGGGATGCTATGTTAAGAAAAACTAAAGTAGAATTAGAAGTACTTCAAGATGTTGAGAAATACCTGATGATTGAGAAGGGAATAAGGGGTGGTATTGTTAATGCTGTCAAAAGATACTCTAAGGTTAATAATAAATACACTCCAAACTTTAATGCATCGATACCTTCAAACTTCCTTTTGTATTTAGATGCTAATAATTTGTATGGATGGGCAATGTGTCAAAAGTTACCAACTGGTGATTTTCACTTTGTGGATCAATCATTAATTGATGTTCTCAATGGTGAGAGAGAAGATACATGTTTAAAAATAGAGGACTATATTGATTATTTAAAAAATTTAGGTAAAGGATGTATTTTCGAAGTAGATTTGGAATATCCTAAGGAATTACACTCAAAGCACAATGATTTTCCTCTGTGTCCAGAAAATGTGAAAATTGATAAACAAACCGTAAAAAAAGTTGTGTAATACATTATTTGATAAAGAGAAATATATTATTCATTATGAAAAACTTGTTGCAATGTCTGCAATTAGGACTAAAAAAATTAAAAAAAGATACATCGGATTCTTAATTTTAAAGAGAGTAATTGGTTAGCCCCTACATTGAAATGAATACTAATCTTCGAAAAAAACAGCTAAAAAAATGATTTTGAGAAAGATTTTTTTCAAACTTATGAATAACTCAGTTTTTCGGTAAAAACAATGGAAAATGTTAGAGAAAGAGTTGATGTCCGTTTAGTTACAGATGAAGATAAAATAATTAAATTAGCCTCAAAAACCTAACTACAAAAAGACGTGTTCAGTATAACAATGTATTAGTTGCTGTAGAAATGGAGAAAAACTAATATCGTTCTTGATAAACCAATTTATGTAGGTTTTGCTATTCTAGATCTGAGTAAGTGGTTGATGTACGACTTTCATTACAATGTTATGCAGAAGAAATATCGAAATGTAGAGTTATGTTACCAAGATACTGATAGTCTCATATATGACATCAAGACTGAAGATTTCTACAAAGATGTGGAAAAAGATATCTATTTTCGAAGACATTTCGATTTCAGTGATTATCCGGAAGATCATGTACTTCATAGCAAAGAGAATAAGAAAGTTGTCGGAAAATTTAAAGATGAATTGAATGGAAATATTATAACGGAAATAGTTGCTCTAAAGCCTAAACAATATGCTTTTAAGACTCTAGATGGTGATGAAACTAAGAAAAGTAAAGGTGTTAAAAAGAATGTTGTCAAGAATGAGTTGACTGTCGATGATTATAAGCACAGCCTTTTTAATAAGACTGTTGTAAGAAAGACTCAATATACTATTAGGAGTGTTAAACACACTATTTTTTTTACACAATGTCAGAATAAAGTAGCTCTCAATAATGATGAAGTTTCTACAGAACATAAACGTTATATTATTAAAGATAGTCACTCGACAATGGCATTTGGAAATGTCAATATTAAACCGAATCTTTTATAAAAAGAAATAAAACTGCACTTCCGAAGTCTTCTGAAGTCTCTAATAGCTTCAATAATAACAAACAATAATAACCACAATGATTGGTTCCGAATTTTTGAATTTGAAATGTTGAAAGTTCTATTTTTCTATCTTTTCTATCTTTAAGGTATTTTTATGATTTCCTCTGGTGGATTCAATCCAAAAAGAATCAAAATAATAAATATTTTTCTTTTATTCTTGGAGTAGCAAACCCAATGAGTTCCTTTATTATTAGAAGAGTCTAGATTGACAATACCAACTTCTTTTTCTCCAATTCCTTCACTCGGCAAAGTGTCTCGCATAAAAACACCACGGAAATTCTTGATCTTTAGTGTGTCTACTAATTCTAAGAGATCATAATTTGTCAGAGGTTTAAGATTTTGGGGAAAGCTCATTTAATAGCAATAAAAACATTGAAAAGTCTCAAAAAATTGAAATTGGGCAAAATGGGTAAGTGGTGCGCCAGACAAATTTTGGTCATTTTTCAAAAATGACACATTTTGGGGAAATTAAGTATGATTTTCAATGAAAAAATGTTTTTAAAATGTTGAAAATCTGCAAAATCGCATTTGGGCAAAAAAGGTGCGCCAGCGTCAACCTTTTGTATATTATTCGATTGGTCCCCGCAATGAAACAGCTCACAAATTTTTAGGTTTATAGCTTCTCTTCTAATGACTTTTTTTGTAGTCTCGAGCCGTTACGGATTAACTCCGATTGTGTTTCGAGGGAAATATGAAGAGTCTACTTTCAAACGTCTCTCAATAAGTGTAGTGAATATATGAAGGAAAAAGAGGCCAGAAATGAAAATATTTCACAATTTGCAGTCTTTTTCCCACTCAGCAGAGTTTTGATCGAGAACCTTTGAATCGAGTACCTGCCAATTTTTCCCACGCATGTTTTTGTCAATAGTTTTCAGTATTTCATGAACCAGCTATTCAACGAAGTTCATCATTTCATCAAAAAAAAGAGTTCATTGAAACATGGTCAATTAAAAAATTGACAGTGGGAAGGTTTTCATGTTAGAGCATGCTGCAGCTCTTCTTTTCCTGGAACGGGTTGTGCTGGTCTCCCGGTCCAGAAACCAGCATATCCTGCTGTTTATTCTTCTCGCAAAACTCCATCAAACTGAAAAAAAAATTTTTTTGACCAAAACACTTCGAAAACTGACTCTTTGGAGACTTCGGAGACTTTTTTGCGCGAAATCTGAGCTTCGACTCGGAGCTGCTCAGTGGTCGCTTTGATGTTGTCCATCTGAGAAGCCTGAGCCTAAAGTAGATTTTTTGATGATAAATAATTCACAAGACAATCAAAAGGAGAACTTTTTTCTTAAATTTGATTGCATATTTTCGTCTAAAACATCAATTTTGGCCCGAAACATTGATCCAATCACAGAGCAAAAAATGATTTCAGTCATTTTCAAATAGGAATGAGAAAAATTTATTGACATGATGTAATTTCTTTCTGTCTTATGAACTGTTCAAAATCAATTCAAATCATTCTGATGCAAAAAAATTGCTTTAATATATTGATGAAGGACTTTTTCCCTGAAGGAAAAATTACTCTTTTTAGGCGTGATTGAATCAAGTTTCATTGTTTTTTTCAGTACCATGAAATTTTGATTGAACCCTAATTGAAGAAAAAAACGCTCAAAAAAAGCTTTTAAGTGATTGTGAAATTTCTTTTTGCTTGCGAAAAAAAGATTTTTTTATGAGATTGATCCTTATTCATTGTATGATATATGAACCAAATCTAAGGCAAGCCAAACTTCAAAAAAACTCATTTTTTTAATTTTTTTAAAAATTTCAAAAATAAGGAACCAATTTGCAGAGCAGCTAATAATGGATCTGAAGAAGGAGATGGGCGGTTCTTTGAAATAAAAAGCGACCGGTAACGAATACAAAACAATACGAACGGCTTGTTTTGCTTGGAAAACGATGCCGCCGGTTACCTTGTTTTGGTTGCTATGATACGGATAACAAAAATCTCAACGCGAACAAATGGAGGTGATTAAGGATTGCGGCAAGACCCGCGGTGTCGAGTACAATGGTCCCAGATTAGCCTTCGGGATTTTCTTAAGAGGTTCAGGTTCGAATGGGTTATGACCTTTGATTTCTTAGGGAAATGGGGAAAGCGCATTCCGGCTTCCGGAAAGGGCTTGCGAGAACTATCGCTTATTGATTTGCTTTAAGTTTTGGAAGATTCCGAGAAAGTTCAGAAAATTTTTCAAAACTTCTGAGATACAGGTATGGTATCTTGCAGAAAGTATCCAATAATTAACATTTGATTAACTGGGTTGTTTCTTCCACTCTAAACATTCCAAAAGTAGGGAGAGTCATCAGTTCTCTGATATTTTAGCCGTTTTGCCATACAGACGTCAAACGCCTGAGTTTACCAAGAGGCTGTTTTTGGGCATCCGACAATTGCGAGTTGATCGCAGCGCTATGCTCAAGGCTAATACCGTTCGCCTCTGCCTCTTCTTTGTTTTTCACACTCGAGAAGCCCAAAATAATGTACTTCGAAGTTCAGAGGCAGTCCTCTGCCCTTTTTCTTACCGGAAGGTACGGATTGGCAGGCGGCCTGCGGGCGGCACGGTCTCCAGCTCCGTTGTTTTGGTTGATCCAGCTCACCTGATATCAGAAATAAATTAGAAACTTGCTTTCAATCGGAGTTGAAAGGATGAGACACTAGAAAGCGAGAAATTAACCTGGAGGTAGTCCAGGTTGACCGGTCGTCCATTGGAACGAGGAGCAGTGGAGCTCTTGTTAGCCTGGCTCATCTGAAAAAGGAAGAGAAAGTTCAGAGACAACCGAGCGAGCCGAGGACAACACACTGATATGAAACTTGGTGGGATACCTCTCTGTTAATTAGGTCGCTCAGAGCAACTCTAATTGGCTGGCTAATTCTCGCTGTATTGCTGATTCGCCTCTCAGTTTGCTCGTCCGCCTTTTTCTGAAATGTCAACTAAAGCTAGGCGGCCTGAATATTTCATCATACAGACCGCATAAAAAATCTAAACTTTAAGGATGAACTTGAGTATAAATTGAAGAAGTATTGTAAAAAAAGAAGATGATAAATGTTGGAAATTGAATCTTAAAGAAATATAAAAAAATAGGTCTTATTTGAAAAATACTAAGAAAAAAACTTTAAAGTTTTCAAGCTACGAAAAAGATTGGCACATAATCTGTTATTTTTTTCAATAAGTGAAATCTGAAAAAAATTTTTCAGTGAAAAAAATAAAACGATATTTTTTTAATGAGTTCAAAGACTTGTCTCCTCTATGGGGACGCTATTCGAAAAAAATTTGAAATTAAAAAAACGTTCTAGACGCATTTTTTTGTATTTTTTTCGACAAATCACGCGATTCCGGCAAATTTCCTGAAAACGGCGTTAAATTTCGATTTCCGCAAGTCCAGTTTCATTATTTGAAACGGAAATTGTTATAATTATTTTATCTCAAAAATGAAAAGAAGTTTTTTTCGTGATTAACTGCCTTTTTATAAATTTTTTTCTTACTTCATGCAAATTTCCTTCTATTTTAAATCTCAGTTTTTCCATTTTTTTCGCAACCATCTACAATCTTTTTCTTTCTTTCTGGTTCTCAACAAAAAAATATATATAACTAAGGTCTTCATTTTTTGAATCGCTGCGTTTTTTTTTTGAGCTTCAGGTTACGGTGTTTAAAGGAAATTGTCGACGTCAAATGTTTTTCTCGGGATTCCCATAATTAATGTCAGGTGGCAAGAAAAAGCAATTGTCACGTGATGGATCTGTAATCATCATTTTTAGTCTTCAATTAATTACGGAGGGTAGTCAACATGTTTTTCCCGACTAATTTTCAACAATGAAAAAAAGCTCTATTAAGCCTGGCTTTCCGAAAATCAAACAACTATCCGTCTGGTGAACTATTGGGTCTGCACTTTCTTAATCATATCTAATTGGGAGCCGATACTCTTGTTATCCCGTAGCTTAGCAACAAGGAGAGAGGTAATAAGCACCGTCGTTTTGCATGCAAAAACAAGAAATTCAATTTGTAGTTGCCGTTTTTGTTTTCGAGGTTAGCTCATCAAATTTCTCAGATATTTTCTTCACAGACCTTTCAGCAATTTTTGATGCTGACAGCTTTAGAAGGGTCATTCAAGTAGAGAAAAGTTATTTTGCGCCAAACTTGCGGCCTTGAGAATAGCGCTTCGCTTATTGCTTGAGGGTTTTTTGTACATTCAAAATGTAACCAAATGTATCAGAACGATATTTCCTGTTGAAAAAACAAATTGAAGTTTGAAAAGAAAAAGAAACAAGGTTCCGTTAAAATTTTTAATATTTTCGAGGATTTGTTTTTGAAAAAAGAGTCCGATAGGATGAGGTTTTGAGAATCGTTACAGATATTTTTAATTCACTTGGAAAGTGTGTGAGGTGAACATCGTAGGTATGACCCAAAACTCTGTGGTGAGTAGCCCCAGGTGTGAAACAAAAAGAATTATCTGCTAAGCTCCTGTGGGTACTGAGAAATAGTCTGTCGAAAATGCACAGGAAAAGCTCAAAAACGTAATCTTTCCTGTGTTTCTTTTTTTTGTTTACTCATACCTTGGACTATCAACCACAGAAGTTTGGACCAGATCTGCAATGTTCTTACCTTACACACTTTCCTTGTCAGTTTTCCAATTTTCAAACCGCATTTGAAATAAGCTTCATTATGAAGAATATGAGTCAGTAATAATTTGATTGGAAGAATTTTTTTTTTGAAAGGTTCTCGCCATTCTGTTTCTTTTAGTACATTTCTTTTTGAGGCGATAAATTTTTTTTCTCTTCGAAATTTCAGTTGACTTTTGATTTTTTCATAGTTGTCGTAGTCAGGTGCAGATGGAAAACCTCTGCTTTGGCATTTTTCAAACATTTTTCCCTGCCACAACTTAGGCGCGAAATTTCCAAGTTTTCTGTACGTTTTCAGAATCGTTCAACTGATTGCAATTGCGTTGTTATTCCAATCACTAAGACAGCACTAAAAAATACTGACATCTTCTCAAATTTTTCTAAAAATCCGAAAGTGACGCGTCGAGCCGTTACCAAGCGACCAAAGAGTTTAAAATTGAAATCAATCAATTTTTTTTTGAAGCCAGAATGGACAATGTCAAAGCGGTAACTCAACAACTCCGTTTGGAAGTCAACACTCAACGCAAAAAAGTCTCCGAGGTCTCCGGAGAGTAAGTTATTAATCACTTTTCTCCACCTCTTTTTCGAATTCATTTAATTTTGCAGCCTGATTTCATTCTGCGAGAAGAACAAGCAAGATGACATGTTGGTTTCCGGGACTAGTCATCAGCAAAATCCGTACGAGGACACCAAAAGTTGCATAGTTTTGTAAACTATAAGTAGGGAAAGATGGATCTTTGTGATGAATTGCTTGAATGATAAATATTTTTTCAGATTGGAAAGCTTTTTGAGATCATTCCGGGAAGTAATAAAACTTCCTGCCAGAAAAATTTGCTGAACTGGCTTACGAAAAAAATAAATTGTAGTATCAAGAACAAAGAAAAAAACGTCATGATAGACTTTTTTTCTCAGTATCCTAAATATTTTATCAGAAAAGTCTGAATTTATAAAAAGAAAGTTCAAGTGACTCCATCCGAAGGTTTTGTACTTTATGATGAAAAAGATCTTATAAACTCGTTCGTTAATTTTGAATAGTCCCTACTTCAAAGTTTTGAAAATCATTGATTGATTCCAGTTTCCCAAACCATTCAAAACCAGGTGAATGTGATATTTAAAGATAATTCTGAAAACTTAGATCAGATATTGAAAGTTTTTTTTGCTGGAAAAAGAAATTATAGCTTTTTACAGGTGTAAGGAGCAAGGTTTTGCTTGGCAGAACTCAGAACTTTTTTTGAGAAGTATTCAATTTTGGCAGGCTCTGAGATGGTTCTCTCCGCGTTTCGTTCCGAAAAAAACTTTTAAAAGTCTCAAAACAAACTCTGAAAATGTTCACGATACGAATGTTTTTCTTCAACAACTCATCGTCCAAATTAACTCGCTTCTTGTGAGAGAATGATTTTTTTTTCTCGAAACTAATTGAGAGATCCGGCCTCCCAGCGAGTCGCCGAGCGCCTCTCATTAATCTGCCCTTCTCACATCAGCGCATGGAAATAAAAATCGCTCATAAGTGCATCTGAAAAACAAGCCGTTGATGAACACACTATAAGCTCCTTGAGACGCAAAGAACCGATTTTGTGTTGCAAAAGGGCGCCAGTGCAATCACAGGAGATTAATCTATTTTCAGCTGTCTCATAGCAACCCGTCGACTTTTGTTACAAATAGGAAACGCACGACCGGAGATAGGACTGAATAATCTCACGCCTGGAGCCACCGTCGTCGCTTTTTCACACCGTTCGGAATCCGTTGGGAACCTGATTGGGTGGCCACGCCTTCTCGTCCGGCTCGGCCTTCTATCATTCCGACAGCACCTGGGCCAGGTGGCTGGCCCGTCTTTCAGAATCTCTCTATTTTTAACTAATCTGTGTATTTTCATTAACCGAGATACAGTAGAAAACTCTGAGCATCTCTTTTTAAAGCAGCTTTTTCTTTTCGAATTCTTTCAAAACTTCGAGTTCGAATTTGGGGGTAGCAGATCAAGTACCCGTGTATTTTTTCCAACCACCTGCTCCTAATTCAACCGAATTTGATTCACTTCTAGGCTGAAATAAGATTTTTCATGACCTTCATTAAAAACTCAACAGTTTTCAACTCAGGGCTTTTGACATTCGATTGAAATTTCTTTTTTCAAGCTTGAAAGAAAAGAAACAAATCAGGCCTTATTGTTTATACAGAAATTTGATTCTCGGTTTTTTTTTTGAAGCTCCCCTCTGAAAAATTAGTTGAAATATATTAATGGTGTAGACAAATCGGGAATCCTGTTTTCTTCATAGTTGAACGACCGGCATCTAAAATTTGATGGGAAGTTTGGAAAAGTGAATCATCGTGATTAAGAAAACGCAAGGCTGCTCGAGTGAACTAATTTTTGAAAAAAGAGCCTATTATTTTCTCGAGTTTTGTGCAACTCAGGAAGCTTTCCAATTTTCACAGTCCATTGAACTGTTTCGGTGTTAAGAAAAAACAACCGACTTAAAACTTTCATTCCATCTAACAGTTTTGCTGTTGTTACGGCTTCTGTGGCTAAACTTAAATAACTTTTGTTATTCAAGCAGAATATCTCGTTTTTAAAGACCCGTTCCACTGTTATTTCCGCGATAAAAAATAATGCTATGCCGAAAAAAAATTATATTTACTTGAAAATCTCTATCAAAATCATCAAAAATTGAACATGATTTGGTGAAAGTTTCACTTCTAAGACATAAGAAGCAAGACTATTCTGATCAAGATATAAAAAAATTTCATTTTCTACTTTTTTTATTCCTTCTACAATTTGATTCACCTTCTTTTGCAGGTTTTCAGGCTTTTTTTTCAGAAAACCTTCGGTGATGGACAACGTGAAGACGACGACTGAACAACTACGGGTTGAAGCGCAAATTGTTCGGAAGAAAGTCTCAGAAGCTTCCAAAGAGTGAGGAACACATTGATGAGCTTCGATTTTATGACCTAACCACATTCAGCTTGATTGACTTCTGCGAGAAGAACAAGGGTCAAGACATGCTGGTATCCGGTCCCAACGATCAGAACAACCCGTTCAAAGAAAAGAAAAGTTGCAGCGTTTTGTAAAGCTTCACGTCTCTCTGATATTACTTCTGTGTTGCTTTGAACTGTTAATAAAACTTTTGATGTGAATGTGCAGGTGTACCCGTAGAAGAAAAAACTAGTCGGAGAAAAAAGACCACGAAGGTTCGAGGATCAAAAAAGGCTATTTCTATTCAAAATGATGAATCTTCATGATAGACATCCATTTTTTCTGATCTTCAGGTGCTCATGAAAATGAGAATGGCGTCAAGTCTCAATGCAGATAAATGACGATTATGAAGAAAAAAAGTTGTTCGACTAACTGAAAAAAAATCATACTTTTTTCATTCTTTTCGAAGAAACCTCAAAGTATTTTGAAGTGAAGAGATTTCGAAAACTGAGTTTTTATTATATAAGCTTTTCAATTTTCCGATGAAAAGATGAACTTGATATAACGATGTCAATTTATTGAGCATCTGTTTTCCTTGATCCTAAGTTTGCCATGACCGTCTTCAAAATTTCTCTGAGGTCAAGATTATTGGATTATTAAACATTTTTAGAGAAAATGCTTGTTTTTTTTCGCAGAATAATAAAACATTCCCGTCACGTCAACTTCATCAATCGAAAAAAACTTGAACTGGGCCTTCTCAAAAAAAAATCGCTTTCTACGGACTTCAAAGAGTTTACTGTGAGATTTTTCGCCTGCCCAACCAAAATAAAAGGCATCAAATATGAGATCTCATCATTTATTTAGAAATAAGTTCATAAATCATTTCCAAAGCACGATATAAATTTTCGCGGAAACGTTCCAAGTCAGCTTCTCCGTTTTCGAAGCACGTCAATGTGAAAGTAATTCTGAAATATGATCACTCTCCTTTCAAAAAACATTCCCCAAAATAACCTGTTTTCGCAGATTTTATAAAAAGCGCCATAACCATCCTCACACATCGCCGTGACGTAGCCAAAGCTTCCTTCGTCGTCATAACCGAGCAGACTGAAAAAAAAAAACAAGCTACACGCTTGAATTTGTCAACGGTACCTAGTGGAGAGTTTGAAATTTCCGTTGCCTCCGCTTTCCGAAAAAGAGCAGTGCTCGAATGGCGGAATTTCGATGCAATTTCCTTTTGAGGAAAAATGCTTCTGAGCTTGTTTGAGACCTAGGAAATGACGATCAATCCCTAGAAAAATTTGCGGTTTTTCATTATCTGGAACTATTCAAGGTACCTTTCCCGTTCCTGGCAGCGTCCATAAGAGCATTATGATCGTTGTAAGCTTCCATAAAAAGCCGTTTTTGATTCTCCGTCTGGGAATGTTTTTCTCAAAAAAATCGGTTCCCACAGCACTTACCGTGCCGCCACCTTTCACTGCCCTAATGAACTTGGCTAGACTTGGCGTCAAACTTCTCAGGGTTTCCGTTCTCCCATGGTAAAAAGCTCTTGTGGAAGCCGTTTCGTAAGTTGCAGCGAGCCTGAAAAATCTTGCTTTGCCAAAAAACTCATAGTTGAAGATGTAAGACCTGTTATGGGTGGAGAAATACGCTAATTGGAGAGCAATCTGAACGACAGTATCAGCATAAAAACGCATTGGTTTCAGAGTTCCGCTGCCGAATTTGGTGAAATTGAAGACATTGAGACAGTGTGACTTCTTCTAAATATTCTACTGGTTGGATATTGGAAGCAACGAGAGAAGTGAACTAAGAGTTGGAACCGCTTTTCGCTTTTATCTATCCAATCAATGACGTTTTCGGTGAGGTCGAACTCGAGCAACTCTGCGGGACCAAATGGAGTTTCCTGAAAAAGTCTTTGAAAGCTAGAAAAATTTTGAAACCTCAGGCTCCCAGGTGTCATCCAGAAGTTTTGCGGCGTAATCGCATGGAGCGAACAAAGAAATGGCATCAACATTAGCATGCTGAAGATAAAATTTTATGGGTTTGAATTTTTAGTTCACAAGAAAGGTCCTAGTTTGGAGTAATCTGAAAATTTGCCAACATTTATCCTGATGTAAGTAATTCAAATCCAAAAGTCCTTTTCAGCTTCATATTTCTATGCAAGCTCTATCTTTGCTTCAAATCAGTAGTTGTTTGAGTTAAAAGAAAAACTTTTCAAGATATGTCAGAGAGTTTTGAGCCTGAAATCTTCGTCTACTTGGACCTTCCTCATTTGATACACCTGTACCTCAGCCTGCTGGCAAATTTTCCCATCTTTCATGACGATGACGTTCAAGTTCTTGTCACAATACGCATTTTCAGAAGCTCCGAACAGGGCGTAAAACATTAACTGAAAATTTTTTTTCTGTTTTTTTCAGAATTTTCCGAACAGGACCTCGTTTTCAGACAATACCAAGTCCGGAGAAAGGGACAGCACAAATGTCGATTTATCAATGGCATCAAAATTTGACTTGTTGATTGATGAGAGATTCTCCAACTCGCTTCTCAACTGTATAACACGATTAATTTTTGACCTAATTCGTGAATATTCAACCTCAGCCCACGAATCACGATCCAACGAAGTGAGAGGGACAATCGAAGGCTTTTGAATGCTAGATTTTATCATGATGTCCTTTAAAGCAAAAAACAGAGTAGAAGTTGAGTTTAAAGCGTTCTTTTTGAAAATATCCAACTTCCAGATGTAACCGTTGCAAAGAACGATTACATGAGAAGGACAGTCACCTTCCGTTTCTGGGAAAAAAATTATTTTGTTTGGGAAGTTCGAAAAAACCTGTTTTAAAGTAGCGTAGGAGTTCGTCTTGTGGCTTCTTCGGAGCTCTGGTTGAGTTGAAAAGGACGTAGGTTTGAGACATGTCCCAGGCGACTCCTCGACTTTTCACTATCTCGATTTCTTCTCTAAAAACCGGTGAAACTTTTTACCTGGAGCAATCTCTGCCTATAACCCCTAATTAAATTATTTCAAGTTTTTCAAAATGGACGTCAATTTTACCTTCTCACATCTAACCAGTACTGCATGACATGATGCAAAAACTGTGCGGCAACATGAATTTGTCTTCCTTTCTGAGATTTCGCCCGAGGATTTATTGCCCCCATGTTTTGAGTCAAAAGCGAGGCTCTGTTCGTCGTATAGGCCTCGTACCACCATTCTTCCAACTGCAAAGCTTTTTTCTCGAATAAACAGAAAGAGCAATGAAAATGCACCCAATTACGATTTTCTGCAGCTCTTCCTTCTAAGAACTTCTGCAATTTTTCCGCATCTTTTGATGCCTGGAACTCGGCGCAAATCTGCTTGGCTTCAGTCAAACTTTCGTCTTTCACGACCTCCGGAACTGTTGAAAACGAAGAAAAAAGGGAATCAAGGTGGTTTTCAAAAAAAAAACTCACGTGATGTTAAATATCTCTTAAAAGTGTCCTGAAGTGAAGGAAGCGGAAGAGAAGGCAGCGAGTTTTGAAGAGAAAACGTCGGTTGGGGCATTCTTGTCAAAAAAAAAACTTCAACAAGAAAAGTTTGATCTCAAAAAAATGTCCTCTCTTGCCTCTTTTAAACCCCTTCTGATTGGCTGCTGTCTAAGGTGCACTTTGTTAAAAAACACTTTATTGGCTCACAATTCTAAACGGTCCATGTTTTGCGACTCCATATCGCGCATATTATTTTGGGCCAAGTTGCGGAAATGTTGCGAGTTGTTGAACTCGGAGAATAGCGAGAAGAGAAGATGAAGAGACTGGATCCGACTCTTCGCCACCGGGATGTCGAAGAGATTCAGACAGAGGTCCACGTATTGGTCCAAGGAAACGTCAAGATCAGCCGTGGGGAGCTGAAAACTTTTTTTGCAGGAGATTTTCCGAAGAAAACAATGATCAAACCTTGACAGTTTTCAAGTAGTGTTCGAACTCGGGAGGCCATTCTTGCATAAGAGATTCAATATCTGGCATAGGATCTTTATAATGTACAGTTTGAGCAGGTCGAGAGCGATGAAGTTCCTGAAAATTTGATTTATTGAGGGCTTTCATTGAATAATTCAAGTTGAAAATGTGTTTTTATAGCCAAGAGATAAATCATTTAATTTTTTCAATCTCGCAATTGTACTCCCTTCGAGATACACAGAAAACTTAGAACAGCATTTTCCTGCGCTTTTTGAGCCAATTTTCTGAATCCAATTACCTTAATATTGGCGACCCACTCGTCGATTTGCTCGCTGTTCTTATCAGCACGTGAGAGCAGTTTCACAGGGGTTTCTTCAACCTGGCTAACCTAGAAACAGGCAAATGAACTAAACTGAAACATCAATCTGAATCAAACCTCCTTGGAGACGTTCCGTAGCTGCATGCTCATGATAGTCTTGTCGCTTTGTTGGGAGGCAGGCTCGTCCAAATGCGTTAAGCCGGCGTTATCGTCCACCTATCATATGAAGCGGAAAAATTAGCAAGATTGGATTTTGTTTTGCCCGTATCCTTGTGGTGTTAAGGAAAATATTTTGCAAATGCTATAGTTTTGGCATTTTTAATGAGAATTTCATCAAACATCGCGGGATGATTTTACGCTCATGGTTTTAGGGCGTAGGCGTCGCTCAATTTTCCTTCGAACTTTTCAAGTTTACTGATAACTTACCTTTCAGCAAAAACTGAGTAAGCCGAAATTTTGATTCGTCAAGCTATGAATCATAATTTCCAAGGGAGAATATCCGATTTCTCGGAAAAAAGAACTGAAAGTCCAGAAATAAACCAAGAGAACGAACTTTAGAGAAAATCAAAAATCAACTTATTCTATTTTCTTGAATAGAGTTTTCCTTATCTCCTCATCCAAGTTACAAAATAAACTTATTTTTTTGATTGAGAAAAATAGCTTAATAAAAAGATAACAGCATTATTGAATTTTTCGCAAAGATATTCTTATTTGAAACTTAAAGTCTTGATCGCAAAAAATGACTTTATCAAGATTTATGTTTTCTTCGTCTGATAAAGAAGACAAATACCGAGGGCACATTATAGAGTACAAAATGAGAGAAACATCAACCATGTTACGAATGCTTTCGGGCTCTCCCAATAAAATGTCAACCCATAATCCTCGAACAATCCGTAACCTAAGAGATGAAAAGGATATCGGGTGAGAAGAATGTATCTTTTGTTAGCAACCTACATCATCAGGCCGCGGGATTTTGATGAAAGCGTCGATGTCTCCGATAGAAGGCACGTAATCAAGGACGAAAGGCCGGAGTTGGGGTCGCAGCTCGATGTCGACAGGTTTGTAGGCTTCGATATAAGACAAAACTTGCAGCTCCTCGTCGTTGAAGTCGTCTGAACTCATTGTTTTCGACTAGGCCGCCACTAGTTTTCTCCGCTGTTGGTCTCTTAATAAAGCCAGCATGGGAGAATTCACGCATCGGAAAATAATTTCCGATTGCAGAAAAAATATATGGGAGCAGCCCTTTTCGCTCCACCGCGCGAGGTAGCACATTTGCTGCCCTGAAGTATACTGAGAAAAAAAAGCTGGGGTTTTTGAGAACGACTTTTGTACTTCTCACAGACTAGGGCTCATTGCAGCTTTTCCTACTTCCCGGCTCAATGAAAAAAATAGGGCTTATAAAAAAACTTTTTCTTGATTTTATGAAGCAGTAAGTTTGATATATTCAACTCATGAATGATTCGGAAAAAGAGCTCAAAATTTCGGATATTTACATCAATATCATCTTGTTGAGACCTGTTTTCTCGAAAACCGCTTAACTATTGGATTTTTGATTCAAAAAAACAAGGCTATAAACTTTCTGGAATTTTGAAGGAAACGAGATTTTGCAAAACAATTTCTCTGAAAAATTTCGCGGTTTCTCATAGTTCACGACCTTTTTTCAGCTAACTAGGGAAATACGCGAACTCGTAATCGCGGATCGAATTCAAACCTTAGTGGCTTATAGACCCAAGTCAGAAAACTTAAAAACAAAAAGACCCGATAAAAAACTGCGAAAAAATTAGTAGAAAATGCGCAGATTAGGCTTGAAAATTTTCTGAATACTGCTTTTTTTCCTTATTTCATATTTTAATACAATCGCCTTGGATGATCCGGCTATGAAAAATTCTAAAAAAGTATTTTCCAGCCAAAAAAGGAGAAAAGCAAAAATTTGATAATTTTCAAGCCTAAAATGTTCATTTTCAAAAAGCTATTTCTCAGAAGCCTATGGGGTTTAGCAGATAATCTTTCTTGTTTCCAAGTACTCTTACCCGGGTCTATAAGCCACCAAAGTTTCAACTCGAAACGCGTACCCGAGTCCTAGTAGTTCCCTAGTAAGATTAATACAAGTTTAGTGAAAACTTAAAGGGATTGATGAAAAAGACACTATTTGTCTCTTTGAAGAATTGGGCGTATTTATATCCGAAACCTGGGATAATATATTTAGGGAAAAGTTGCACTAAAATTTTGCGAAAATAAAATAATTTTTAACTTTTATCGCAGTAACAACAGACATCCCTGCAGTCTTCGGTTTTCATTTTATACTTCCTTGTTTGGTTCTCAGAATAGAAATGAGAACCTAGTCCATTCCCTAATTGTGAAAAACATTGCCAGGAATTTCTCAATGAATTTATTCTGGGCGAATAGCTTGCTAGCCCCCTAAAAATTTTCGAATTTCTTATCATTAACATTCATAGAAAATCCCGCCTCTTTTTGCTTATCAGACCTCATCCTACACATATAAGCCTCAACAAGATGAAATTTTTGAAAGCTTTTTAGAGGGTTTGCACAGATTTTTCTTTTTTGTTGCTTCGGAGATCATAGAAGCTTACCCAAATTATTTTTCCGAGCTCTCGGACCTCAAAGCTGTTTTTTGTTAATTTTTTCTTCAAATAGGCGTCAATCCCGAAAATCACAGAGAATTTTCAATTACCTTCCATCAGTTTTCATACTTCTTTTCATACTTCTTCAAGTATTTTTAGGGCATATTTAGGTTAAAACTGATCCAGATTCTTACGAACAAGAATTTCCGTGTTAGTTCTTTTTTTAAAAACCTGAGAATTTTTCTTTAAAAATTTTATTTTCTTTTTATTTCAACTAGCGCTGCGACTTTATATGCTTGTCGTCTCTATCACCTTCCATCCTGTTAAAACTCATTTGAACTTCCTTTTATTTTTACAACAAAACGTTTTCTGAACGATTTTTGAGTTTAATGTTCCTTTTATTTGAAAGATGCACTATTTGAAAAAATTACCCTTGAATTCAAAAAAAGCCATTTTCAAGGAAAATTCGCGTTCCATCTTTTCGAAAACTGCCCATTTTCCGTTCAGAGTTATTGTTTGATAACCGTCTTATTAAAAGTAACTTTGCAGCTCACCGTCATCTTCGTCGCTGTCAGAGTCGTCTCCAACGTGGCTGGCTCTTCTGATCATGTTCTGGAACGGCTGAGTGACTTTGGCCAACAGCAGCTCATTTAAGGTGCTTTTTGGTTTCACTTCAAGGATTGATACGTTTTTCGAATTTTGGTTAGAACCACCTTTTTGTTCCAGAGGCGGAACCGGTTTGTGAGGTTTGGGAACTCTGGCATGGTTGTTCTGGTCGACTCCGTTCTCATAGGAGGAATACGCTGGCGGAGAACCAGGTGGGTACCCGGGAGTTGAAGGAGCTCCTGAAGCTCATACCTACCTATATCATACTTAAAATGGGCGCATGAAAAAGTTATTAGTCTCAAAAGTAGGACTAAAGCTAGGTTTTGAGATTACGTTGGAGATTATGGTTACTTCGAGTAGTTTAATTTTAGTTTAGCAATTCATTTCTAAAGTTAAAATTTCATCTCATATTTAAGCTCACCATTCATTCCGTTTTTTTTGGATGAGCAAACTTTACTCGTGCATTCACGCACAAAACTGCCGAGAGGCTTATGAAAAAAATGGTTAATTCGCATTGAAGTTTGGGAGTTTGAAGTTAACCAGAATTATGATAATATACCAAATAGATCCCGAAAATTTTCTAAAGACTGCAAGATTTTCTATCTTTCGAACCTTCCAATTTTGGAGAAAGCCATCAAACGTTGGTTTTATGAGCCATTTGAAAACTTCGTTTACTGTCGGATATATAAAAATAGTTCTTCCTGGTTGAGATTTTCAGATCGATCAATTCAAATAACAATTCAAAAAGTATTACGTTAAATTTTTCTAATTGAGGACTGTAAAGTAAAATGACTATTTCTCAAATATTAATGAACTTTCTCGATATTAATACAGTCACTCCTATTTCAGTCTTTGTAGAATATCGGCTCGGTTTGAAAAAAATTTATTCTGAAGAATTTGCAGCTCAAAGTGTAGATTTTATCACATATAAGTTTCAAGTTGAATATCAAGTTACCAACATAATCTTGAAAAAAAAATTGGAAATCTAAACTTTTTCGCGATTTTGTCATGGTTTACTTTATAATCATCGCTTCTAGAGTCTTAGATAGCCCTGCCAATTTTTAACCTCTGAAAATCGAAAAAGTCCTCACCGCTGATCATTTTTTCGAAGTCGTCTCTTGAAGTGAAAATTTCGTCACTGTCGCCATGGCTGTCGCTGTCAGGAATCGGATGCTCGAGAGACTGAAACAGGAAAATAACAATAGTAGGTTTTGACAAAAAGCAGGTGGAATTGTTGTTACGTGGCGTTACTGAGAAATGGGCGTAGAATTATAATTTTCAAGCCCAGAAAATACATGCTCAAAAAGGAAAATTTCCAGCTGCTCGCCAACTCGTGCGGCTCAAAAGCACGGTTATGCTAAAAATAAGGCTAGAGCAATATTTTTCTACAGTAGTCTTTATTTTCTTAGTCGATATACTGAAGCTGAAGAAGTCAAAGTTTATGATGGGTTTTATAAAAGATAGTGAAATCTGTAAAACTCAAACCTTCTCATCAAAACTCATGGAATATTTAAGTTGACAGCTTTTTCTCGTTTTTTTAATAATACACTAAATCGATTTTTTTTCAAGCTTTTATCAAGTCTTGAAAGTACAAGCGTTTCCTTCAGTTAAGGCTGAAATACTGGAACTTTCGATCAGAAAAAAAAGCAAAATAATTGAAACAAATTATATCTAATTCATTTTCTTGAGAATATAACTTAAAATAGAAGCTGCTTTAAAACCTGCTATCAAAGCGAAGTGCGCTCCACGGACAATAGTTCTGCTATCATAGAATCAAATTGTCTGAATGTTCCTCCCAAACTTCTAATCCTGTTAGTGAACTACGCATAGAGATTCAATCAAATTTTGAAGTCAAGAAGTTGAAAATTTAGCCTTTTTAGGAAGGTCTAATTTGAAGTTCAATCTTCAAACTTGAATCCTGATGTATTTTTGATCTGAAATTGCAATGAAAATCAAGATTGAATACTATCTATTGGTGAAAAAAAGTACTAACAAAGAAAGAAATATGGACGTAAAGACAGGAATCGGTAGTTTTGAGAAAAAAATAATGTAGCAAATTTTGTTAAAGTTTTTGGAATGATCCTTTTCCAAACGTTGAAAAATTTCACAAAGCAAAAATTGCAAAGTTTTGAGAGAATTCGTAGGAGCTCATAGAACTCTTCTGTTTTCCTATTGATATTACAAAATACCAAGTTTGAGTCATATGAAAACCTCGGCTAATCAAAGTGAAATACGCTCCACTGACAAAAGCGATCATTCTCATCATCCCCTTGTTTTTTTTATCATTAGGCTGGGATTCTGAGTGATTTTTGTTCGAAAAGCAGTGAAAACTTGGTTGGCGCATTGTATATGGCGTTATTGAAAAAAAAGAAGAGCAGTCGATAACTCCTAAAGACAGTTAAAAACAGAGGAAATGGAACGAATATTGTTGATGTAGCCTTTTCAGGAGATCAAAGGAGAGAAAAAGCCAAAGACACCATATTCTGAAAGCTTTATTTGAAGTCGATCAAGTGATTTGATTCACCAAGGAGTATCATAAAATATAAACTTGGAACCATCTCGAAATCTCGGCTTATTAAGAGGAAACTTGCTCCACGGACGACACCTACATTATCCTTTTCATCAAGTGTTTGTTTTCTTACCTTGATCCTACGGTTTTTTTTTTTAAATAGCATGCTACCTCATTGAAAATTGAACCGTTGAGAAAAAGATAAACTGCAGATAGCTATTAAAACTGAATATAAGAAATATGTGATGGGAAAACTGTAAGAATATAATAAGGTTGTAACTGAAGCCTTTTCAGGAGATTTATTGCGTATTACAATCAATATCCCTAAATATTGGAAGCACTCCTTCAAAGGTAATATAAAAATTGTTTTTCCTTAATATAATTATGTAATTTGAGAACATCCCTAAACGATGGCTCATCAAGAGTAGGTGCGCTCCATGGCCAACATTTTTGTTATCACTGGCGTTATATATTTTATTCCAAATGATCTTCTCAACTTTGTTTTTTTACAGTGGAGATTAGTTTTTTTTCGGGATTCTTATTTAAAATTTGTTGCATCAAGTTGAAATCTTTTCGTTGAAAATAATGGAGATATGGTAGGTAAATATTTGTTCAAGAGGTTGCGGCGAGTACAGTGAAACTTCGGAGAACCAGAACTTTTGTTGAGCAAGTTGTTTAGAACATTTTGAATTTCCTCCAAGCCTTGCTTCTTTTTTAAAAGTTAATAGTACTAACCAATGGTTTGATATGAAATATGGAGGCCGCCAAAAAAATTTATTAATTCAGGAAATTAAGTTATTGTATGAATAAGGTTTATTATTCTCTTATTTTTGTAAACTGACCTTCAAATAGCTCATTTTGTCCTTATTAGGAGGCGGTGAATTGAAATGCTGTCCAGCGGAGTCCTCAACTTTCAGGTGGCCTGAAAACCGCACCGGTCCTAAAATTATCTGAGACTCTAATGGAACTACAAATCTTCTACTAATTTTTTGTATTTTGCTCACCTTTTCGGTCTGAATTCTCGTCGAGCATTGAATCATCGTCGAACTCGTCCATTTCAGGAGTTTTGATGCGTTGATTTATTGAGTCGTCGTCGTCGTCTTCGTCGGGATCGATGGATTCGTGTTGGCGACGTGGGGATTGCGGCCGTTGTCTTATTGGAATGTCTTCATCTGACTCAAACTGAGGTTCTACCACAACTTCTTGGTGGTGGTATATGCCCTGAAATTTTGTGTTTTGAATTCGATAGAGGAAAAAACAACTGAAAAAGCCTAGCTCAAAGTACCACCTCTCAAATCGCAAATTTTAATTGTTTTCGTGTTTTCCTCATACCAACTGTTTTGCTCCGAGAAAAGGATTTTTGGATATGAATAGACTTCCTGGTCTCTAATGAAGTTTTGACTACGGTGTGAAGTATTAATAACTTCGGAAAAGAGTAAAATTTCGAAAACTAATTTATAAGCAGCTGCAAGTTGAGAACTTGATTATTCCGCCTCATTTTGGGCTGGATGGAAAGTTTCTGAAAGAGAACAGAAAATTATTAAGAATACGTTTTTTGGAAACAAAAAGCTGAGATTTTGAGCAGGTGAGCTATGTCTGAAACCCGAAATGTTTGCTGGGGAAGAGAAACGAGAAAAAAGGTTGGTAGAGCAAACATGCAATTTCAAGCCCATTAATGCGCACCCTGTCCTCTTCCAAGCCTCGAATTTGGCTAGCCTCGTCCTCAGAAGAGTCGTCGCTGATGGGCACGCCGAGGTTGCCCGGCGGCGCCGACGGCCTCCGTTCCATCAGAAATGCGGCGACGGACCGGATGTGGTCTACGCTTGCCGCCGTTGCCATGGCGTCATCGCGTCATTTCATCCTGAGTGCCTGACCCCGTGTCCTTGTTTTCCAATTTTCCATGACAGATTTATTTCGAAGGGCTTCCACAACGAGCAAAACCGAGCAATCCGCCAACGAAAACCTCAAAAATGAACAGCACAGCAGCAAATAAAGCAAAAAAATTCGCGTGCCTTTTCACCTTCATGACCTAATTGCCGTTGGTTTGAAAAATTGTTCCCTTAAGTTCTTACTATGATTAAATTCACGATTTACACGTTTCAATCAAAAGAGCTCCTCTACAAGCACACTTAAAATGAATTTCTGTGCTAAAAGTCTTTTTTTTCTCACATTTTTCGTCTCAAGCAAGGGATGAATCAGTTATGTTATTGGAGTTCTATCAGAAAAAAAAAACTCATCACATCGTTTGATTTTTTTTTATTTTTTATATTGCGTGTTGGTTTTTTTGAAAAGCTTTTGAAGCGTATGCAATAGTGAAAACCAGACTTTTTGCCTATGAAGTTTTTTTTTAAAACTTGAAAATGCACCCATTGGCTGTCTCCTGTCTGCTAAGCAACGTCCACTGTTTTAAACAACAATCGAGCTTATGGATAATCAAACGAATTGACACACCCACCATTGCGACTCCAAGCTCGCCTCAAGTCTCAACCCCAGCGACAACCGACCCCGACTACTGACTACAGCACCTGCCTTCTTCTTCACCCGTGATAAAGTGAAGAACTTACAGTTTTAGTACCTTTCCGTATCACACCAAAATGATATATGAAAATCTACGGGCCATTCTTGGTCAAACCGAGCCCGAAAATCGACGAGCGACTCTTCATGTTTCAGCCGAAAATCTTCACTGAAGGATTGAGTACCTTGTTGCTGTAATTTTTTGATGTGTACCTCTTGATAAAGTCAACTTCAAAATAAATCACGCAGCAACGGATTAATACTCGTTCGAATGTGAAACGACTTTCGCTTTGAGGCCGAAAAAGGTTGGCCCTTCAACTTTTCGAAAAAAAAAAATTGTAGCAAATTTCCTCAGGCTTAATACCACGTCACTAAAAGTTATAAAAAAAAACAATTTGGACTGAGGAATTTTTCAACATTTTTTTTCCAAACTTCCTTAAAAAAACCAAAAAAAGCAAAACAGAAAACAGTTTCACAAAAAGTGTAAATGAAAGCGCAAAAAAATTCAATGAAACAAGAAAAATCTAAAAAAAGGGTTTCATTAAAATAGAAAAAAACAAATTAAAAATCAGAACAACATAAATGGAGATAAAAATATTTTGTTTGGATCGAGTTTCGGATTATTCCTAGTTGCGATCAGACGCCTTCCACGCCCCAATAAGATCCGCAACTTTTTCTGAAAAAAATGAAAGATAAAAAAATTGGAAAAACTTAATATGGACTGAAGATGAATTTAGCTTTTTTTCCCGAAATTTTTTTATTTGAATTTTTTTCTAGTATCACAAAAATTCCTTCAATCATTACGTCTTGGTTGTGCATTTTTAAATACTTTTTCCTTTTTTTGCTTTTTTTGTTTTTTTCAAGGATAAAAACCTTGATAAGAGTTGTGAAACGAGTTCACAATTGAAACTTGTCGCAAAATGTCTAAATTTGAATTCAAAGCTGCTGGTTTATTCTCCTTTTGCCAAAAACATTGCTAGCGTTGAAAAAAGAAAAAAAAACGCAAACCTTATGTCTGCCGTGACTTTTTCAAACTCGTTTGCTCAGAGATACCAGCTTGAATTCCTGAAATACAAAGAAAAAGCTTCAAAAAACGCAGTAAACAAACTTTTTTTCTTTTTCTTCGTCGTTTTTGCTTTTTTGAACCTTTTTGTCTTCGGTTTCTCTGGAAAACAGGCTTCCGAATTTTTTTGTGGTAGCATTGTTATACCTGCTGTACTGACCGACGGGGACACTTCAAATCTAAAAACCATCTAAAAAAAAATGTCTTGAAGGTTTTCTGATTTCTACTGACCTCAATCTGATCCATGCCTTCTAATGCCGGATCGCTCTGATCATTCTAAAATGTGAAGATGTCTTGGAAAGTTTTAACTTTTGGTTCAGAAAAAAAGCAGAAAGTTAGAAAATATTTGAAAAAAACTCCAATCATCCACCCTCTAACTTCAATGATTGTTTCACTAACCATCAAGTAAACGATTCTGTCTTGAAAAGGGATTCCTGTTTCCATCAGGTCCACCTGAAAAAAAATCAGCTCTATCAGAATTCTGTCTATTTTTCTGAGTGCAGTTTTTGTACCTAGAGAAAAAAATTTTTAATACCAGGTTCATTGACATGTTAGAAAAAGACAAACATAAATGAGTTCAAACTCTCCTCAAAAAAAGTTTAAATCAAACCGAAGAATTTTTTTGAAAAAAAGTTAACTTTGTCTCAGAGAAATGTTTTTTTACAACTTGAGAAGGTAAACTTCAAAACGACCTCATATTTCGATGTGTTTTCAGTCGATCCTTCTCCCTGCAAAAAAAAAATTCAGAGAAATCTTTCAAAACTCTAAAATACCATTTCGTTCAAGATATTTGTTGTTGTTTCGCTGGATTCATAGACCCTCAGGACGACGAAAACGAGTTCATTCTGTTCCTGGAAAAACGGTAAAAAAAATATTTCATTCCTCATCATTTTCATTATAAGGCTCATCTTAGCTTATCTCCTCACACTCTTCATTATCTTTTTACTATTTTTTCTTCAAAACTTTTCTGAAAGTTCTACATCATGAGAACGGGGACCTCTAACAAACAATATTATTCGAAATTCAGATCGACTTTTGCCTAATTTGAAAATTTTCAATACGCACCTGGCAGTTGCGCTTCTGAAGGCAGTCGTTCAGACTCATTTCTGTGAAGGTCGAAGTGATTAACTGAATTAAACCACTGTACACTATTCGTCCCAAGCAGACGTTTTCCAGAGACAAAACTGGAGGAATATCTTCTCTGATATGATCTTTCTGAAAGTTTTCGAAATCTTATTAAAAAGAAAAGACGCTCACCTTTTCGCTATTTCTCTCTGAAACTTGCTCAAAAACTTGCACCGGCGGCCCGGATGCGAAAAGATCTTCAATGGCACTGATGTTCATTTCGCCCATTACTTTGCAGGTTCCCCTGAACTTCGATCTGTAGTTTCCCTTGAAATTCCACGACTGGATAAGGAATGAAAGTCGATCTAACAGTTCTTTCTTTTTATGTTCTTCCGGGAAGTCACGAAAAAAAATTAAAATGAAATAAATAGTAAAGATTTGCTAAAAAGGTATGTAGAAAACCGTGTTTCTGAAAAAAGTGAAAGAAAAGAAGAAAACAAAGTTTCTATAATTGCAGCTTTCCAAGTCACTGATAGAAATAAGCATAGAAGATGGGTTCCGACTACAAACCTCTAGTCTAAAAAGCGTTCCAAAAAAGGCGTGACCAATGTCAGGAACCACGGCTAGTCTCCGTTAATCCGCTGAAAAAGATTCCAGTAGAGATAAAGCTGCTGACCAGGTGTTCTGAAAGAAATAGGACCTGACTTCTGCGCATAATAATCTCACCTACTTTCAGAATTTCTACCTTTTTGAGATCTTCTAAGCTGTTCCAGCTGCTCCTGACCTTCGTAAAAAAAAAAGCCGACAAGGTGGAAGGTGTAAAATGAGATGTGCCGCCTGTATACGATAATCTCGAAAAATATTCTCTTCAAAGGGCTACAGGTGATTTTTGAAATAACAGCTAGCCGACGAGAATTAGAAAAATGATACATGCGATGAGCAGGAGGTGACTGAGGGGGCCCGCGAGGTTGTAAGAACTAAAATTTCCGGATCACGAAAGATTTCTGACCCAGATTGGAACATTACATGTGCATTTCGAAGCACTAAATACTTGAAAATAAAAAAAAATGGAGGAAAAATGTAGTAAATAGTTTCGCTGAAGTTGGAAAACCAAGCAACTCAACATGAAACCTTATGAATCTCAAAAACCTCTTTTTTAAGAAATCGAATTTTGGTGTAAAAAAAGTTTTCCAACTTTTCAATGCGTTTTTAACCATAACCAATTATAGTAACGTCCACAAGTTCATAAAATGTTTCGCTTACTTCCTTGTTGATCTTTTCGAAAATCTCTACAGCTGCTTTTTTTTTTGCTGACTGGAACTTTAACAAGGTGTTACGTATTTTAGTGAATACAACTTTATAAGTTTCGACAAAGTGAATTCTGTGAAAATTGTAATAGAAAAACACGCGTTTTGTAATTCCTTTTCTAACGAAATCATGTGCGTGTAATTGATATTTTCCGACCGTACATTCTTGCAAAATGACCTCGCGCAATTGTCGAGGTGCCAGGACTTACCTGTATCTGCCGAGAGTTGGCCGATTATACGGAAATATCCGAAAATTTACTTCATTACGCCGGTCTTCAACTGCTTCGCTTGGCGATTGTTCAACTTTTAAGTCATGTAGGTCCCAATCTACACAAGTTTCTTCTCAAGTTTCAAGTTTGACCTCGTCTGTTAACTCATCACAAAATGCATGTGCGAGAGTTCTTCTCACTCGATAGATTTGAGGTGTAGAATAGGTAAAATATATCTGTCGAGCTTACTATTGATTCGGAAAAACTGCCGGATGGATCCAAGCCGATTTTGACGCATGAAGATTAATTTTGAGGCCGTGCTGTGAAATCTCTTTCCGCAATCTGAACCATCCTAGAGAATTTGTTGGACTTTTTTCATGACATTATGGACCTAGACGTCACAATGAAATATTCTCTGTCTGATCCACAATGACAATTTTTCTCAGGAAAAAAATTTTTCAAACGTTTATTATTTTGTCAAATACCAAAACGAATATTCCTGAAAAAAAGCACAAAATGATTAATAAGAATACAACGTTTCACGAATTTTACAGAAAATGCGAAAGTTTCAACAATAAAATCAAGTTGCGAAAGGATTCACAGCAACATTTGGTCGGATATTCGCAATACTTCGGAGAAGAACTTGGAGCCGAGAATTACCATGCCGTCCGAGATACCTGAGAAAAATGAAAAATTTTCTGTGGTTGTTTTAATGGGTAGTTGATCACTACCCCGTCCAACATTTCTGCAAAATGAGTTTATTTCGAAAGATTCTCTGGATTTTTTTCTCAATGATCTAATGCTAAAAAAATCTTGTATTTCTATTCCCCTCGTCCTATCAACATCTTTTTCAGTAAAACTTACATTCCTGTTTTTCCTGGCGCCACTCGATGGTGGTCAATTAACACCCCGACCAGAATGACTGAAAATGAAAAAAAATAATACTAGATAGTTCAAAATAATGATTGCTTTCTGTTTTTTTCTACTTTTTATTTTTACTTCCAATTTTCGTTTATCACCACCCCGTCCAAGACTACTGCAGAAATATTACTATATTTTCAAAAAAATTTTTTTGCTCTTTTTTCAATATTTCAACGCAGCAAAAAGTTTCTTTATTTATCTTTCCTATATCAAATAAAATTTTTTTTCAATAAAACCTCACTTTTCTGAAGGCCCTATGGCCATCGGTTGTTGTTGATGTGCCGGAAGGACAAAATAATTGGGGCCGTACGGCCACTCGCTGGTGCCCAATCACCATCTCCACCAGAATGACTGAAAAAAAGATTCTTGAGTAAAAAAATAGATTTTTCAAAATGTAAGGCTCAAAATAATAATTGCATTCTGTTTTTCTATTTTTTTAGTTCTTCCTTTTTTTTTGAAAATCGGAAAAAGGGCAAAAACTATAACAGTTGCTTTTTCAAATATTTTTTCGGAAATATGAACGAAACGCTTTTCAAAAATGTTGAAAAACCGAATTCAAGAGAAAAAAACCTTGAAGTGTCCACAGAAAATCAGAAGATGAGCCCGCTCCTTCTGGAAAAAAATAAAACAAAATTTTCGATATTGTGAAAAGCATAATCATTTCTGTAAAACTTACCGTCTTGTCTAATTTGGGTGCTGCGGTTCCTCACGAAGAAGTCGGAGATCACGCGAGCATTACCATCCCGTCCAAGATAACTGAAAAACAGGGTCATGCCTAAATGAAAAAAATGTGTTTTTTTGATCACCACCCCATTCAGAACTTCTGAAAACACAGTTTTTTTAAATTTCTATGATTTTTTTCTCAAATATAAAAATGGAAATATTTTTTTCAGGTTTTTTTAACTTTCAAAAAAATGATGAACAGGGAACATTTTTTTATTTGTTTTTCCGTTTTTTTCTCATCTAATAGACGTTATTCTTTTTGTAAATAAACTTTGATTCAAAAAAATCGATGAAACAATTATTATTTTTTTTTAAACTGATAAATTCGTATTTAAAAAGTGAAGTAGAATTTATAATAAAAAGAACTGGAAATCCAGTTTCGAAGTTTTATTATTACCTCTTACTACACATGGTTAAAAATGAGGGATTAAAACAACAGATTTTGATTCTGGAAAAAAAGAATTTGAAATTAAAGTCAATAAAAAAACTCAAATGTTTCCTATTCATCTCACTGCTGTTAAAAAGTTTGAAAACTCACACCAATTAGAATATTTTTTCCTTGTTGTAGATGTTGGGCGCAACCCATTCTCCGTTGGGATTTTAACCAGGAATCCTGAGACTTCGTGGTTTCCGCCAACGAACACCGTCAAGATGGGGGCGACCTTAAATAAATATATCATTCACGAATTTGTTCTACGTGAAAAAGAAGTATGAAACAAGAACTTCCGAAAATTCAGATAAAAAATATTTTGAAATTGGAATGAACAATGTTAGATAGAAATTTCCACAAACGCGTGAGATATTAGACCCAGAACAAAAATTGACCTTTTCTCCAGAGTAGTATTGGTGTAAATCTTGGAGTTTCTTGCTATTTCAGAGACGGGCGCGCGCGAACCGCGTCATTTCGTTTGAGCTGAATGAAAAATCTTAAGTTATTAAAAAGCTCCCATTTTAACGAAATTTGCAGGAAACTTGTGAGAAAAACACCAACCTGACGCCGCTTGATGGTGTCCGTTCTGTTAGGAGTCAACAACTTTGCGTTGTTTCTAAATGTGGTTTATCACCACCCCGTCCAAGAGGACTGAAAAATGTTGACTTTATTCGAAAAAATTCCCTTTTTTCGAAACTGTCAAACAAAAATATATCTTCATTTCTTATTCCTATATCAATTATCATTTTTTTTTAGTATAACTCACTTTTCTGTAGGCCATATGGCCACCCGATGGTGTCCGATCACCATATCCACCAAAATGACTGAAAAAAAGTTTTTATCTTGTTTTTTTTTTTTGAATAGCATGAAAAGCCGAAATTAGAATAAAGTACCTGAAAGTCTCCACAGCAAATTCCGCTCCTTCTGGACACTCGCCTGCGAATGAATCGCACACCAATGCCCGTGTCCGCAACCCAGGATTGCGATTTTGGCCTTTTTTTTTCATTTTCTGAAAGAGGAAGAATGATTTTGAAACATCCAACGAACATCTCTGCAAAAAATTTCCCTCTGCTCACTTTTTCTTTCATTTTTGGAGTGGAACAAAAATGAACTCCCTAATGAAAATTTTAGGAGTCTAGTTCATAATTTTATAATTCCAAATAATTAAAAGTGTTCTTACTTCATGAGAAAGCTCTAATTCTTGCAGAGAACTTTCAAGAAATCACAAACCTTTACTGATGCCGCTTTGATTGTGTCCCTTCCTTTCGTGTTGATAAACAACATTTCGTCGTTTTTATTGGTGGCTCATCACCACCCCGACCAACATCGCTGAAAATAAATCAGTGAGTTTTGAATAAATTTCTGCCTGAAAACTTAAATGTATCGTTATTTCTTTGATCTAAAAAACTGGAATTAAAATGAATGATATGATAGTCGCCGCAAAACATTAATACATCCAATGGACTGGAAAACTCACGTCGCCTTGTGATTGTTTTCATTGCTGGCCCCGCAAGTTCTGCAGGGGCCAGGTCCTGCAGCCTCTTGCAGTGGAACCGGTTGTGCGTCTTCCAATCAGGCATACCGAGGTTCCTGCAGTGGCCGCACTGTAATGATGATACTATTAATGAAGTACAAAAAGAAAAGTTCAAATTTTCAAGCATCTAAATTTTTAACTCACAGTGTTTCGCTGCGACCTGCGAAAGTCGCCAGACGCGAATTAATCGGGTCAGAAAAGCCGTGGCCACAACCCAGCACCGCGTTTTTTTGTTCTGACTGGCGGCTGATTACCACCCCAACGAAGATCCCTGAACAAAAAAATATTCACTATTTTATTTATTTTTTTCTGTAACTATTTTGTCCGTAATGTAACAAAAATTTATTTTTTTCAATCGAAGTTATAGGATTCTCTTTTTGTATATTTTTTTAAAATTTCTCATTGTTTATTCAGAAGACTGATGCACTGAAAAAAATAAAAAAACTGAAACGACAGATGAAAAATTGTAAAAATACAAAAATTTGTTTCTCTCGAATCTATATTTTCTATTGCAAATGATCAGCATAGGTTTTTTCGACTGAAAATCCCATAAATCCGTAATGTATGTTTTCATATAAATTGAACTTGCCTTCTGGGGGACCAGGAAACGGCGTGAACCATCCTTCCGCGAAAGGAACAAAAACCTCTTGTTTTTGTGTCCACATATCGACGCAGAACATCACCATCTCGTTCAGATGGCTGAAAGAAAAATGTTTGATTTCAATTAATCAGATTTGAATTAGTCACTTTTTTTTCGTGAAGTCGAGAAGCAAAAATGAAATGAAACATTTTTTTTCAAAAGAAAAGTAACTGACCTCGTTTCTGAAGCCCCGGCGAGCCTTTGCTCTCTTCGCCCCAAGTTTTTTCGGTGGGCCGCTCTATTGGTGGTTGATCGCCATCCCATCCAGCATTTCTGAAAATACCACTTAATTTTTTCCATTTTCCGGTTTCTTCTCTTAAATTTATATTTGAAAGCTTTCATTCCGTTTTTCTCATACAATGAACGTAACTTTTGCGAAACTTACTTTCTTGTTTGCATCGGGACCGTTTGATTGACGGTTGATCACCATCCCAACGAAGATCGCTGAAAAACGATATCCACTTTGATTCAAAAATCGATAAAATCATTATTATTTTCTTAAACCGAAAAATATCGTCTTTGAAAGCAAAATACATCTTAAAAATGAATGAACTAACAATTCAGTTTTTTTTTTCTGTTTTTTTCCTCTTTCTACACGCGGTGAAAATGAAGTATTAAAAAAGCAGATTCTCGATCTGGAAACAGTTTGACATTGAGAAATAATCGAAACTGAAATGTTTCTTGTTCATCTCACTGCTATCAGGAAGCTTAGAAACTCACCTTGTTGAAGATGTTTGGCGCCACTCGTTCCGTGTTTTCCGCCAATGAAGAGAGTCGAAATGGGGGCCGCCTTCAAAAATCATATCATTGCTCCACGTGAAAAGAAGGTATCAAATCGGGGAATCCCGAGAATCCAGATTAAAAAAATTTTGAGAACAAATATAAGCAGAATTAGTGAGAAATTTTCACAAAAGCAAAAGATAAACGGTCCAGAACCAAAGATATACCTTTTCTCAGACTTCGCAAACGAGGAATTTACGTGAGCAAGGAAGAATGTATGCAATACCAAAAGCAAAAACTTAATATTTAATATTTGAAATTGAGAGTCGGAAATCCAGGAAAGTATAATTTAAAAGGCACCTTTGAAAGAGTATTATAGTCAAATGAGGACTTCTGGTGAATAAAGAAAACAGAATTCAGTGAACAGTTCTCGATTTGAAGACAAAACGCGCTCCTTAACTTATTCTGTGTGGAACATTGTCGTGAATGAGATTATCTTACTTTTTGTATTCAAAAAATTCCTATTTTTGTGCAACCCACCCGTTGTTTCCGGTGTTCCGGCCCTTCGCGAAAAAGTCGAGGCTCATACGAGCCTCACCATCCCGTCCAAGATAACGGTAGGAATGTTCGGCGCCACCCAGCCGCCATCGGGAAGTTCGGCCAAGCGCCCGGACGCTTTATGGTTTCCACCAGCGCAGGTCGTCGAAGATCCACTCACACGACATTTGGAAGCTCGGCCGGAAACCTCGCCGCTTCGTGGCTCCAACTGACCAATTTCGTCAGAATTGCCGTGTTCTACAAGAAATTATCTCATTTCAAGAACTTCTCTCTGTGAATATAAGGAACTTCAAAATATTTCATGAAAGTTTTGAAAACGAGAACTTTATTACTTTCATTTTAAAAACGAATTTCTATCTTTTTGTGAAAACCCACTTCTTTGGGGCTTCGATTCCAGACTTGAGATTCAGAGCAAGACCATTACCATGCCATCCAACGTGACTGAAAAAAAGAGATTCAAAAACAAAATTAGTCAACTTGTTGTAGTACGGAATAGATAATAGTTATCTTTTAGGCTTACCGTTAATTCGGAAAAACCGCCGGATGGGTCCGAGCCGATTTCGACGCATGAAGACGAATATCGAGGTCGTGCAATGATGTTGCTGCATTTTGAACCGCTCTGAATTTTTATTGGACCGTTTTAATGATGTGATAATGCTTCATTTGAAAATCATGATGAAATAACATCTCTCTGATCCACAATGACAGATTTTTTTCAGGAAGAAAAAAAACTTCAAACTTTATTATTTCGTTAAACACAAAAAGAAACAACATGAAAAAATGTACAAAAAAACAGTTTTTATAAACACAACTTTTCAAGAAAATTTTTTGGTTGATCACCAGGCTGTCGTTGATTCATTCGGTAGTGGATCACTACCCCGACCAAAAATCCCTGCAAAAAAACATTGTTTAAATACACAGAAAAAGCTTTTTGAATGTTTTTCTTAGTTCTCTGAAGTTGAAAAAAACCTATTTTCTCTATTTTCTCACTTATTGAAAAATCGTTTTTCGCAAAACTCACTTTTTCTTTTTGTCTGGCGCCGATCGATCGATGGTCGATCACCACCCCGACCAACATCGCTGAAAAATAAATCAGTGAGTTCCAAATTAAAACATTCCTGAACATCCCTGAAAAATATTTACTCTATTTTTTATTCAATTTTTTTTCTGTAACTTTTCAGTCCATACCCGTATTGGGACAAAAATTGAACTTTGAAAAAAATTACCTCTTTTTTTAGAAGTGCACGGAAATGGATTTTCGAAATTCAACAGATACCAATTTCAAAATCGTTATTGAAGTTTTTTTCTTATTTCAAATAATATATAAATTTCAGTTCTCTCCAACTTTGAGAAAGATAATCTCGCATAAGTCGAAATAAGGCGCCCCAGACCGACAACTACTTGCGATCGTTGGCATCCAAAAAAGTTCGGAAGGGGCAAAATCTGAGTTGGGTTTTTTTTTTTCCATTTTTCACGTTTCCAAATAACTTAGAAAGCAGTGGATGAACTTTCAATTAATTAATTTTCGTACCATTTTGGTGGACGACAATGTTTGCACGGAACGTTTGACCTCTGGCGCCATTTTCGAACCAATTCTGAAAAAAGTGAATAGTTTTTTGATAGTCTGTAACTGACGCCAAGAATTTCGGACGTCAACGTGAAAAAGTTGCAAGTAAAATACAGTAGCAGGTAATTGTTTTTTTTATTTTTCAATCAATAATTTTTTGATATCGGTGTAATTCAAACGTAGTCAAGAACTCACACTCCCTCTGATTCTTCCAATTATGCTTTTTTTAAAATGACTCTTTATAAATTGGACGAGCAACCAGCAAGGTTTTTCAAAGTTATAACTGGTCGACGAAAAAAGTTGCGCCAGGTTTATAGTCCAAATAAGGCTCTAGGAAGGAAAAGTTTTCGAAAATAAAGTTTTGAGCTAGAAAATTTAAGAAGTTACTCGTTTAAAAATAACGGAAGGAGCAGAAAACCCCCGTCGGTTTCTCAGCCAGCGGAGCCATTGGAACCGTCCCAAACGTTGATAATAATAAAAAAATTATTATTATTATAATTTATTCACTGGCAATTGAAAGTAATAATGTAAGCGAAAAATTTGGAGCCGTTGGAGCCGTCGGATACCTTGGAGCTCTTGGAGTCGTCGAAGCCATTTATACTGGTAGAGTCGTTGGAGACATCGGAGCCGTTGGAGATGTTGGAGGCGTCCGAGCCGTTTTTACCGGTAGAGGCGTTCGAGCCGCTTTCACCGGTAGAGTCGTTGGAGCCGTTGAAGTCGTTGGAGACATCGCAGACATCGGAGTCGTTAGAGATGTTGGAGTCGTCGAAGCCGTTTATACCGATAGAGTCGTTGGAGACATCGGAGCCGTTGGAGATGTTGGAGGCGTCCGAGCCGTTTTTACCGGTAGAGGCGTTCGAGCCGCTTTCACCGGTAGAGTCGTTGGAGCCGTTGAAGTCGTTGGAGACATCGCAGACATCGGAGTCGTTAGAGATGTTGGAGGCGTCCGAGCCGTTGGACACGAAAAAAATTTTATTTACTACGTAGAATGCCGAGAAAATGTGGAGAGAAATTGGAACCCGCACTCATCGAAAGTATTATTTCAAACAGAGCGTTCGGCGGGTTTTTAGTTTGTCAACAAAATAAAGTATTACTAAAAACGTGCAATAAAACAATTTTCACCAGAAATAAAAACTATTTATATGATTTATTTATACAGTACCGCAAAAAGTTCGAGTAGCAGTCGGAAGGGTATTTTTTCCTTTAATTTCCGAGGATTACCAATTTTATCCAATCCGACTAAGTGTCTTTTTGTGATGGGAGCACCTTCACAAATCCTTTATAAAGAGTATACCGCCAATCCGACCACATACAGAAAGAAAAACGGTCGGAAACAACGACAGTCAAACACAAAAATCTCTTCATTTCTTTTTTTCCTATACCAATTAGAATATTTTTTCCAGTAAAACTCACTTTTTCTGTAGGCCGTATAGCCAACCGATGGTGTCCGATCACCAACTCCACCAGAATGACTGAAAAAAATTCTTATCTTGTTTTTTTATCTTTTTGTTATTTGTATAGCATGAAAAAAACCGAAATTAAAAAGAAAGTACCTGGTAATCGCCGCATCAGAACAGGAGATCGATCAGTGGTCGATCACCACCCCCACCAACATCGCAGAAAATGAATCAGTCAGTTTTGAATAAAATTCTGCCTGAAAACTTATATAAATCGCTATTTCATTGATGTAGAAAACTAAAATTTCAAAAAAATATTCAAGACTAAAATGTTTCCTGTTTATCTCACTGCTATCAAAAAGTTCAAAAACTCACCTTGTTGAAGATGTTTGGCGTCACCCTTTCACGTTGGGATTTCCGCCAAAAATTCAGAAATTTCCGCTTCTCGCCGATGAATAGAGTTGAAATAGGCGCGACCTTCAAAAAATATATCATTGCTCCACGTGAGAAACGTATTAAATCAGGGAATCCCAGGAATCCAAATTAAAAAAAACTTTGAAAACAAAAATGAGCAAAATTAGAGAGAAATTCTCACGAAAGCAAAAGATATACGGTCCAGAAAAATAAGCTTAGTATTCAATATTTGAAATTGAGAGTCCAAAAATCCAGGAAAGTAATATTTCGAAAAAAATTAATTTTTTTATTTCTTATTACTCCGTATGTTTCTAATTTTTTTAAAAATTCTATTGTGATAATTTTTTTCAATTTTTCTGACTGAAAAGAAACTTACCGGAACTTGTCCGAACTGCATCTGTTGTTGTTGATGTGCCGGAAGGACAAAATAGTGAGGACCCTATGGCCACTCGATGGTGTTCCATCACCATCCCCACCACAATGACTGAAAAAAACTGTCGAGTTGAAAAAAAAAGTTAATTTTCGTAATAAGAAAGATCAAAATGATGAATGCATCTTGATTTTTTTGTTTTTTATTTTTTGAACCTCGTAAGAAAAAGTGCGCAAGTTCATATTTTCCTTTCAAATTCTTTTTTCGAAAATTCCAATGAAACGCAATTTCGAAGGTGTAAAATCCAAACCTGGAAGTTTCCGCAGCATACGAGGAGATGTACTGCGGTTCTTTCTGGACACTCGCCAGGCCCAACTGCCCATGGCCGCAACCCAGTACGGCGATTCTCGCCTTCCTCTTTTGTACTGGCGGTTGAGTGCCAGCCCAGCGAACATCCTTGAAAAAAATACATACTCACTTTTTTTCATTCAGTTTTTCTAGAACTCTTCAGTCCATTCTCGTACTGGGACAAAAATTGAACTTCTCAATGAAAGTTTTAGAAATCTAGTTCATAAATGTTACAACTTTCGCACTAACTTTTCCGAAAAAAATGATTTACTGACAAAAACAGAAATTCACATTAAAAAAATGGAATAACACAACATTTTTTTCTCTCGAATCTATCTTTGTTTATTTAAATGATCAAAATAGGTTTTTCTTGACTGAAAATCACATGAATTTGTAACGTATGTTAACATATAAAATGAACTTGCCTTCTGGGGGACCAGGAAACTGCGTGAACCATCCTTCTGCAGAAAGAAACAAAAAAACCTCTCGGTTTTGTGTCCACATGCCGATGCAGAACATCACTCTCCCGTTCAAGATGGCTGAAAGAAAAATGTTTGATTTCAACTAATCAGATTTGAATTAGTCATTTTTTTGTAAAAGTCGAGAAGCAGGGATTAAATGAAATATTTTCCAAAAAGAAAAATTAACTTATATTGAAAAATAAGTAAATTCAATTATTGTTAAGGGAAAAAAATTGAAATATTTTACAGTGAAATGAAGCTCACCGTTCCATTTCTGAAGCCCCGGCGAGCCTTTGCCTTCCTTGTCCCAATTGCTTCCACTTGGCACATTTTTTGGAGGTTCATCACCATCTCATCCAGCATTTCTGAAAATACCATTTATTTTTTCCATTTTCCGGTTTCTTCTCTCAAATTTATAATTGAAAGCTTTCATTTCGTTTTTCTCATCCAATGAACGTAACTTTTTGCGAGACTCACTTTCTTGTTTGCATCGGGGCCGTTTGATTGACGGTTGATCACCATCCCAACGAACATCCCTGAAAAAAATTGTTGTGTAAAAAAATACATTTTTCAAAAATGAAAGGCTCAAAATAATAATTGCATTCTGTTTTTCCATTGTTGGTTCTTCCGTTTTTTTTCGAAAAATCGGAAAAAAAGAAAAAAACCTCTACAGTTACTTTTCAAATAATTTTTTTCGGAAAAATTGAATGAAACGCTTTTCAAAAAGTGTGAAGAACTGAAAATAAAAAGAAAAAAACCTGGAAGTCTCCACAGCAAATTAGAAGATGAGCCTTCCGGACAGTAGCCAGGTGCCAATAAAACACGCCAAAAATGCCCTGTGTCCGCAACCCAGCACTGCGGGTTGCGGACACGGGCATCTATTTTGGGAATCCATCATCCATTTTATCACCATTTCCACAAAGATCACTGAAAAAAATAATATTCACTTTTCTTTGAAAAATCGATAGAATACTTTTTTTATGTTTTCTGAAACCGAAAAAAATTCGTTTCTGGAAGCACATTTTTTTCAATAAAAAAACCGGAAATTCTGTTTCAAAGTTTTATTCATTTTTCCCCCTTGCAACAAAAAAATTAGGCATTGAAATAAAAAAATTTTTTTGAACTTTAAACATTTCAAAATAGAAATAAATCAAAATCAAAAATTAAAAATGTTTCTTGTTCAACTCACTGTTATTAGAAAATGTAAAAAAACTCACGTTTTTTTGTAGGATATTGGGCGCCGTTTCCCCCGTTGGGATTTTAGTCCGGAATGCAGCTTCTTCGTGGTTTCCACCCACGAAGACTGTCAAGATGTGGGCGACCTCAAGAAATATAACATTCACGAAAAAAAGCTCTCCGTAAAAAATGAATTATTAATCAAGAACTTCCGAACGACCGAATTAGGAATATTTTGATAACAAAAATGAGCAAAATCAGAATAAAATTCTTGCAAACGCGTGAAATATAAGATCCAGAACCAAAGATGTACCTTTTCTCCAGAGTAGTAATGGTAGAAGTCCTGAAGCGCTCTGTCCTCGCAGGAATGGACGCGCTTGAAGGACGAACTGCGACAATTCGTTTGGCCTGTAAAATAATAAGAATAAATACGATAAGGAGACTGAGAAAATAAAACGAAGAAATTTATTTCAGCAAAAGTTCAACCGAGGGGTAAAAAAGGTTCCCTGGTGAAATTCGCGGGAAACTGAACGAAAGTTTTTGATTTTATTGAGGTTTGTAATATTACAACTTTGAAAAAATACCAGAAGTTTGAAGTCACAAGCGGTCCTAACTTGGAAGCTTCTCTTCATTTATACATCGAACTATCCGTACTTTGATAACGTTTCTTTTCTCGCGACCCTCCGTGACCCAGAGCGAGTTCAGGAGCAACCGCTCCATGCGAGCGCAGACTTCGCGAATGAAGAAGTCGCGTGAGCGAGGGAGAATGTGCGCAGACAAGCAGACAGACGAGAGAGTACGCATGCAATATCAAAAGCAAAAGTTGATATTTTCCAGATAAATTCAAGAGTCCAGTGATTCTCATTACCAAAAGGCCCGACTTATTGAAAGGGGCATGGTCTAATTACCAACTTTACTATTTCACGACCGCTATAATCAACAATTTTTTGTGCAGATATAAATCAATCAAAGACTTGGAGAAAAACAATTTCTAGTGCTAATCTTTTCCTATCGGTCACTCGGCGTATGCACGGAAATAGCTGACCGAACAATTCAAGATCAGTTAGAGTTTTCAAGTGGTCAATTAATAAAAAGCATACCGAGGTAAACTCTGCTCTTTCAAAAACAATTGTATGCATTTCGATAACATCCCTCTGTTACCTGGATCTGAGAGTGCTAAGAAATCTCAAGAAGAAAAAGGTCCATCTTTTTTTAGTTATTTTTTAGCAGTTCCGAAAAAAAAATAGAAATTCGCGAAGTTTTTTCAACTCACATCGCCAGAATGAGCCATGTGGCGCATATTGGGCGCTGCCGGTGTTCGGAAGCTCGACCAAAAAAATCCCGCCGCTGAGTGGTTTCCATCCACAAATGTCGTCAGAATAGGCGCTTTCTACAAGAAATCATCTCATTTTTTCAAAAAATTCCCGATGGAAATGAGGTACTAGAACTACTGATTCGAAAATTACAGAACGTTGAAAATGGAACATACAAGAACTTATATACTTCAAAAATGTCTTGGGCGTTGAATAAATGAAAAAAACATCTTCAGAGCTTACTATTGTTTCGTTAAAACTTCCGAATGAATCTATGCCGATATCGACGCATGAAGACGAATCTAGAGGTTTCGCAGTGATGTTTCCGCAATCTGAACCAATCTAAATATAAATTGGACTGTTTTTTTATGACGTTTGAATTTTTTTCGTTTGGAAATCATTATGAAATAATATTTTTCTGATTTACAACGACAGATTATTTCAAGAGAAAAAACAAGAAAATTTCTAAACTTTATTATTCTGTTGAAACAGAAAGGAATGACAAGAAGATAAAGTACAAATCTCGGAGTTATTGCAAATACAACGTTTCACAAAATACAAAATTACGGAAGTGAAGTTTAAGGAATTCGAAGCGATGAATATAAACAGCAATCGGAAAAAAAGAACAATTTTTAACAGGATTATTGAGCTATGAATTGATTGTGTTCTCACGATTTTTTCTGGCGCAGAACTTGGAGCTGACCCGAGATCACCATTCCATCCAACATGACTGAAAAGATGCTTCAGTGAAAACATTTTTTTTCTCAATAACTAAAGCAGAATTAATTTTTTTTTTTTTTTCATCTGATGAACAACTTCTTCGTTAGAAAAAAACTCACGTGTTTGTTGGTTGTGAGGCCGCTTGGACGGTGGCCAATCACCATCTTGTCCAACATATCTGAAAAAAGTGATTTGTGATGGAGTGAGATAATAATAGAGGTATAGAGGTCCAAAATGACTGCAAAACATGAACACATCATTTCAAAAAAGCAGGGAATATTTTCAATATTTTCTCTGGCAGAGAGGAATATTCAAAATGAGCTGCAAAAGAAGGACTCACTTTTAAAACGAACTCGTCGAGCAGAAAGTCATCACATCAAAATCCTTTTGTTGATTACCAGGTTGTCGTTGTTCCAATTGGTAGTTGATCACTACCCCCTCCAAGATCTCTGCGAAAAATTACTTAGATACACAGGATAACCTTTGAATGTTTTCCTTAGTTTTTTGAAAAAGAAAAAATCTATTTTCTTTATTTTCTCACTTATTGAACATCTTTCTTGTTCGGAGAACTCACTTTTCTTTTTTCTGGCACCGATCAATCGGTGGTCGATTACCACCCCGACCAACATCGCTGAATTCATTTCCACTATTTTTCAAGTGTTTGGCAAGAAAAACTTACAAGAACTTGTCCGAACGGCATCTGTTGTTGTTGTTGTGCCGGAAGGACAGAATAGTAGTGGCCCTCCGGCCACTAGATGGTGTCCCATCACCATTCCCACCACAATGACTGAAAAAAACTCTTGAGTTGAAAATCAATTTTTCGCAACAACAAAAAAATCAAAAAAATTAATGCTTTTTTTTATTTTTTTTATTTTCATTTTTTTCGATCGTGGTAAAAAAAGTGCGCACTTTCATCTTTTCCTTCCAAATTCTTCTCCGAAAATCTCAATAAAACGCTATTTCGAAAGTGTAAAATCCGAAATTAAAAGAAAAAAACCTGAAAGTCTCCAAATAAGAAGATGAGCGCGCTCCTTCACGACAAAATGCCCGTGTCCGCAACCCAGCACTGCGGTTTTCTGTCTCTTTTTCATTTTCTGAAAGAAGAGGAATTATTTCGAAGCAATGAAATAATTTTTCAAGATTGTGAGAAAGAATAATTATTTCTGTAAAACTCACCGTTTTGTCTGATTTCGGTGCTGCGATTCCTCACGAAGAAGTCGGAGATCACGCGAGCATTACCATCCCGTCCAAGATAACTGAAAAAAACAGGATCATTCCTAAATGAAAAAAATGTGTTTTTTTGATCACCATCCCATCCAGAATTTCTGGAAACACAGTTTTTAAAAATTTCTACGTTTTTTTCTCAAAAATTTAAAAATGGAAATATTTGTTGTTTTTTTCAGGTTTCATTCTCCTAAAATGATGAACATGGAACATCTCTTTTTCGTTTTACTCATCCAATGAACGTTATTTTTTTCGAGTATAATATTTATTACGATTCAAAAATCGATAAAATTATTATTATTATGTTTCTAAAACCGATAAATTCGTATTTGTAAATGAAGTAGAATTTATAATCAAAGAACTGGAAATCCAGTTTCGAAGTTTTATTATTACCTCTTACTACACATGGTTAAAATGAGGGATTAAAACAACAGATTTTGATTCTGGAAAAAGAATTTGAAATTAAAGTCAATCAAAACTCAAATGTTTCATATTCATCTCACTGCTATTGAAAAGTTTGAAAACTCACAGGGCCAGCATGGCCCTTGTTGAAGATGTTAGGTGCAACCCATCCTCCGTTGGGATTTTAGCCAGGAATCCGAGGCTTCGTGGTTTCCGCCAACGAAGACTGTCAAGATGGGGGGCGACCTTAAATAAATATATCATTCACGAAATTGTTCTCCGTGAAAAATGAGGTATGAAACAAGAACTTTCGAAAATCCAGATAAAAAAATATTTTTGAAATTGGAATGAACAATGTTAGATAGAAATTTCCACGAACGCTTAAGATATAAGAACCAAAAATAAAGATTTACCTTTTTCTCCAGCGTAGTATTGGTGGAAATCTTGGAGTCTCTTGCTATTTCAGGGACGGGCGCGCGCGAACAGCGTCATTTCTTTTTGAACTGAATGAAAAAAATCAATAAACTTTGAATAGAAGACTGAGAAAATAAAATAAAAGTTTTTATTCGAACTACTCGTAGATACTCTTTTGGAAGTCCAACAAGCCTACAGAATTCCATGAAGAACTGGTCGAAACTTTATGATTTAGTAGAGGTTCAAAAAGTCGTAGTTTTACTTTGGAAAATACCAGAAGTTTGAAACCACAAGCGGTATCAGTTTGAAAACTTCCAATACAATGAAACATTTAAACACTCTCTGTACTTCAAAAACGTGTCTTTTCCTACGAACCTCATGACACAGCGCGAGCTCATGGGCAACGGCTTCCGGTGAGCGAGAAACAACTGAAAAGTTCAGTATGAAAAAACTTTCTCTCAAAGTACTGTTTCGCTTGGATTTTGTTCAACCTATGGGTCACATAGATCCTGATCTACACACTATTCCTCTCAAACTCCAAGCTTGACCTTGTCCGTTAACTTATCACAAAAAGCGTCTGCGAGAGCTCTTCTATGTCGTTAGATTCAAAAATACGTGCAGAAAGAAATGTCAAGGTTACTGTTGATTCGGAAAATTTGCCGGATGGATCCAAGTCGATTTCGACGCTTGAAGAAAAATCTTGAAGGTGTGCAGCAAAGTTCCTGCAATCTGAAATGTTTTAAAACTTGAATTAGTATTTTTTCACGGCACGAGAGGCCTTTTTCAGAAGCCGTAGTGAAGTATTCTCTCTGATCCACAATGACAGATTTTGTTCGAAAAAAAGAGATTTCAAACTTTATTTATTTTGCAAAAACAATAACAGTGCGTCATTACATTTATAACGTTCCACCACAGATTTAACAAAGAAATACAGGATAAACTTGGCGAGTTGCAATGAAAAACTGACAAAAAAATGAGATTTTTGTAGAAAGTTTTATGAACAATTTCTAACAGGAATATCGAGCTGTCAAATGATTCACAGTAATTTTTTTGGACGGAGAGCCGAGAACCTGCTAACGTTTTTTTATTGAAAAATCATCACTTTGTTGTTTCAGACGATGGTAATTACCACCCCGGCCAACATAACTGCAAAAAAATTATCTTCATTATAAAAATTAATTTTTCTGGTCTTTTTTTCTCAATAGTGTAATGCGAAAAAATCTCTTTTCTTCTTTTTTTCCTTGACCAATTAAAATCTTTGCGGTTCCACTGCAGCCTCTTGCAGTGGAACCGCTTAGGGCATCTTCCATCATCATCCCGTTCAAGATGGCTGAAAGAAAAGTTTGATTCCAAATAATCAAAAATTTTCTACAAAAAAACACAACATTTCGTTGCACTGCCTAAACAAAACCATATAAATGAAAATCCTATTCCGTGAAACATACTCGGCAAAAATCAAATAATAAAACGACAAGTTTGTTCAAATTTGAAAAAAACGAGCGAAACTGGATAGTTGAAAAATCGTGTTCATTTTTTTGTTTTTCTTTTCTCGTATCAAATAATTATCTTTTTTTGTCTGTGAGAACTTACTTTTTTTGGACTCCAGTTCTTGACGAAAAATTTGGAGCTGACTCGGACATCACAATCCCGCCCAACATCACTGAAAGAAAATGTTTACTTTGGTTTCAAAAGAATTTGGAGTTTTTTTGAAATTTGTTTTTTTCATGTCAAATGATTTCGTATTTTTTTATATTTTTTTAGTTCTCTTCAATTTTTTTAGTTAAATTTATGAGCTTGAGAAATTTCAGAAATTAGAACTTTTTCCTGCTAGTTTGGACAAAAAAATTAGGAATCTTCGAAACCTCGTCGCTACATTTCAACAGAACTAAACCTTGATGTCCAACTTCTGGTGGGGCCCACGTTGGTTTTTGTTGACGATAAGCTCCTCGATGGGATAGAAGACTACTCCAGCGGCACTGCGCGAAACGAAGGCCGGATGATTTTTCGGTGGTTGATCACCATCCTTACCAACATCTCTAAAAAAATTCGTTGAGTTTAAGAAAAATTCCTTTTGTCATTTTCCTTATCAAATGCTCACCTTTTTCTCTAAAACTACACGGATCTCAATTTAATAACCTCTACAAAATTTATGAATTAACATCATTTGTCCTTGGGGTTTTTAACCTTATTTTTCCATTTTTCTTGTCGAACCAAAAAATTTAGTCAATTTTTCTGGATTTATTTTTACCATGTCATATAACTTCGAATTTACTATTCTTTTTTGTGAAAGTCTTCATCGTGAAATTTCAAACTTTTTGGCAAGAAAAACTCACGGGAACGTGTCCAAACTGCATCTGCAGTTGTTGATGTGCCGGAAGGACAAAATAGTGAGCCTAAAATTCCAAATGAGAATGGCGCTCTTAATCCGTTAAAGAACTCCCATTTCGACAAAATTTGCAGGAAAATTGTGAGAAAAACACAAACCTGACGCCGCTTGATGGTGTCCGTTCTGTCAGGAGTCAACAACTTTGCGTTGTTTCTAATTGTGGTTTATCACCACCCCGTCCAAAAATGACTGAAAAAAATGTTGACTTTATTCAAAAAAAGATTCCCTTTTTTTCAAAAACTATGAAACAAAAAAAGGCTCTTCATTTTTTTTTCCTATGTCAATTATTATATTTTTTTAGTATAACTCACTTTTTCTGTAGGCCATATGGCCACCCGATGGTGCCTGATCACCACATCCACCAAAATGACTGAAAAAAAGTTTTTTTATCTTGTTTTTGTTTTTTTGAATAGCATGAAAAAAACCGAAGTTAAAAAAATAACTGAAAGTCCCCGCAGCAGACAAGGAAATCGATCGGCGGTCGATCACCATCCCGACCAACATCGCTGAAAAATAAATCAGTGAGTTTTTGAATACATTTGTGCCTGAAAAACTTGAATTTATCATTATTTCTTTGATCTAGAAAAACTGAAATCAGAATAAAAAAATGTGATAATCACCGCAAAAACAATAATACATTCAATGGACTGGAAAACTCACGACGCCGTGTGATTGTTTTGATTGCTGGCCCCGCAAGTTCTGCAGGGGCCAGGTCCTGCAGCCTCTTGCAGTGGAACCGGTTGTGCGTCTTCCAATCAGGCATACCGAGGTTCCTGCAGTGGCCGCACTGTAATGATGATACTATTAATAAACAAAACCCTAAAAACCTGAAAACTTGTCGTTTTGTGAAAAAAAGCCGTGTTTATATCTTCAAGCATCTAAATTTTTAACTCACAGTGTTTCGATGCGACCTGCGATAGCCGCTAGACGCGAATTAATCGCGTCAAAAAAGCCGTGGCCACAACCCAGCATCACGTTTTTCTTTTTTTGTTCTGACTGGCGACTGATTACCAGCCCAACGAAGATCCCTGAAAGAAAAATATTCACTTTTTTATTCATTTTCTCCGTAACTATTTAGTACATTCTCGTCTTGGAACAAAATTGAACTTCCCAATAAAAAGTTGTAGAGATTCATTCAATAAATGATAAAACTTTTTCTAAACTTTTCCAAAAAAACGATGCACTGAAACAATCAAAAACTGAAAAACCGTAGAAAAAAATTGAAAAACAAATAATATGAGAACAAAAAAACCATCGATCAAAAAGAGAAATTGACCAAAAAACTACCAATGAAAGTCAAAAATTTCCAGGGGGTCCTATCCTTATTGAACGGTCGAAAAACCGTTTTTTCGATGGCATTTTCGTAGGAAAAGTGGTAGGATAATGAAAGTTTGGCTCTGGGGGTTATTTTGTACTTTAAATCGAATGGCACTCGCAGATTTTTAATATATTTCCGTATTTTGCCAGAAAGTCAAAAATCGAGGGGGGTCCTATCCTTATTGAACGCAGTGTATTACAAAAAAAAAACGAAACTTTTTTCTCTCGATCATATATTTTCTCTTCAACTTTTTGGTTAAATTTACGAGCTTGAGAAATTTCAGAAATTAGAGTTTTTCCTGCTAGTTTGGACCAAAAATGCGAAGTTTTCAAAATCTTGTCGCTGCATTTCAACAGAACTGAACCTTGATGTCCAACTTCTGGCTGGGCCCACTTTGTTTTTTGTTGACAATAAGCTCCTCGATGGGATAGAAGACTACTCCAGCGGCACTGCGCGAAACGAAGGCCGGATGATTTTTTCGGTGGTTGATCACCATCCTTACCAACATCTCTGAAAAAATTGGTTTAGTTCAAGAAAAATCCCTTTCGTCATTTTCCTCATCAAATGCTCAACTTTTTCTCTAAAACTACACGAATTTCAATTCAATAACCTCTACAAAGTTGATGAATTAACATCATCTGCCCTCGGGGTTTTTATCTTATTTTTCCATTTTTCTTATCGAACCAAAAAATTTAGTCAACATTTCTGAATGTATTATACATGTCGCATGACTTCGCATTTTCTATTCTTTTTGTGAGAGTCTTTATCGAGTATTTTTTTCAACTTTTTGGCAAGAAAAACTCACGGGAACGTGTCCAAACTGCATCTGTTGTTGTTAATGTGGCGGAAGGACAAAATAGTGAGCCTGGAATTCAAAATAATAATGATGCTTTCAATTAATTAAAATTTCTCCCATTTTGACTAAATTTGCGAGAAAATTGTGAGAAAAACACAAACCTGACTCCGGTTGATGGTGTCCGTTCTGTCAGGAGTCAACAACTTTGCGTTGTTTCTAATTATGGTTTATCACCACCCCGTCCAAAATGACTGAAAAATGTTGACTTTATTCAAAAAGATTCTTTTTTTTCAAAACTCTGAAGCACAAAAATCTCTTCATTTATTTTTCCTGCATCAATTATCATATTTTTTTTTAGTAAACCTCACTTTTCTGTAGGCCATATGGCCACCCGATGGTGTCCGATCACCATATCCACCAGAATGACTGAAAAAGTGTTTTCTGAATAACATGAAAAAGCCCGCATGTGGAACGGGAAAACCCGAAATTAAAAGAAAGTACCTGAAAGTCCCCGCAGCAGACAAGGAGATCGATCGGTGGTCGATCACCATCCCGACCAACATCGCTGAAAATAAATCAGTGAGTTTTAAATACATTTCTGCCTGAAAACTTAAAATCATTATTTCTTTGATCTAGAAAACTGAAATCAGAATAAAAAATGTGATAATCACCGCAAAACAATAATACATCCAATGGACTGGAAAACTCACGTCGCCGTGTGATTGTTTTCATTGCTGGCCCCGCCAGTTTTGCAGGGGGCCAGGTCCTGCAGCCTCTTGCAGTGGAACCGGTTGTGCGTCTTCCAGTCAGGCATCCCGGAACTTTTGCAGTGGCCGCACTGTAATGATGATACTATTAAAAAAGGAAACCCTAAAAACCAGACTATTTGTCGTTTTGTGAAATGTTTCGACTTTCGCACAAGCTTTTTCGAAAAATGATTCATTGACAAGAAAAAAATCGAAATTCACAATTTAAAAAAATGGAACAACACAACTTTTTCTTCTCAAATCTATATTCTTCATTGTAAATGATCAAAACAGGTTTTCTTGACTGAAAATCACAAAAATCCGTAATGTATGTTTTCATATAAAATGAACTTGCCTTCTGGGGGACCAGGAAACTGCGTGAACCATCCTTCTGCGAAAGGAACAAAAACCTCGGCGCCACCCAGCCGCCATTGGGAAGTTCGGCCAAGCGCCCGGACGCTTCATGGTTTCCACCAGCGCAGGTCGTCAAAGCTCCACTCGGACGCCGGTTTGGAAGCTCGGCCGGAAACCTCGCCTCCAACTGACCAATTTCGTCAGAAGGGCCGTTTTCTACAAGAAATTATCTCATTTTAAGTACTACTCTCTGGGGATATAAGGAACTTCGAATTATTCCATGAAAGTTTTGAAATCGAGAACTTTGTTTCTTTCATTTTCAAAACGAATTTCTATCTTTTTGTGAAAACCCACTTCTTTGGGGCTTCGATTCCAGACGTGAGATTCAAAGCTTCCAAGACCATTACCATGCCATCCATCATGACTGAAAAAAAGAGATTCAAAAAAATTAGTCAACTTTTTTTGTAGTATGGAATAGATAAAAAAATTATCTTTTAGGCTCACCGTTAATTCGGAAAAACTGCCGGATGGGTCCGAGCCGATTTTGACGCATGAAGACAAATCTCGAGGTCGTGCAATGATGTTGCTGCATTTTGAATCGCTCTGAATTTTTATTGGACCGGTTCAATGATGTGAAAATGCTTCATTTGAAAATAATAATGAAATAACATCTCTCTGATCCACAACGACAGATTTTTTTCGGGAAGAAAAAAAGACAGAAAGTTTTCAAACTTTATTATTTCCTCATACACAAAAAAGAACAACATGAAGAGATTGTACAAAAAAACAGTTTTTTTATAAATACAACGTTTCATAAAAAGTTTTTTTGGTTGATCACCAGGCTGTCGTTGATTCATTCGGTAGTGGATCACTACTCCGTCCAAAATCCCTGCAAAAACATTGTTTAAATACACAGAAAAGCTTTTGAATGTTTTCTTAGTTTTCTGAAGTTGAAAAATCCATTTTCTGTATTTTCCCACTTATTGAGATCGTTTTTTTTTCGCAGAACTCACTTTTCTTTTGTCTGGCGCCGATCGATCGACGGTCGATCACCACCCCGACCAACATCGCTGAAAATAAATCAGTGAGTTCCAAATAAAACATTCCTGAACATCCTGAAAAATATATACTGATTTTTTTTAGTAATGCACTGAAATGGATTTTCGAAATTTCAATATGTACCAATTTCAAAATCATTATTGAAATTCTTCTTATTATAAACAATATATCAATTTTAGTCCTCTCCAACTTTGAGAAAGATAATCTCGCATAGGTCGAAATAAGGCGCCCCAGACCGATAACTACTTATGATCGTCGGCATCCAAAAGTTCGGAAGGGGCAAAATCTGAGTTGGGTTTTCTTTTTCATTTTTCACGTTTCCAAATAACTTAGAAAGCAGTGGATGAACTTTCAATTATTTAATTTTCGTACCATTTCGGTGAACGACGATGTTTGCACGGAACGTTTGACCTCTGGCGCCATTTTCGAACCAATTCTGAAAAAAGTGAATAGTTTTTTGATAGTCTGTAACTGACGCCAAGAATTTCGGACGTCAACGTGAAAAAGTTGCAAGTAAAATACAGTAGAAGGTAATTTTTTCTTATTTTTCAATCAATAATTTTTTGATATTGGCCGAATTCAAACGTAGTCAAGCAAAAAAACTGGCAATTGAAAGTAATAAAGTAAGCGACAAGTTGGAGCCGTTGGAGCCGACGGATACCTTGGAGCTGTTGGAGTCGTCGAAGCCGTTTATACCGATAGAGTCGTTGGAGACATCGGAGCCGTTGGAGATGTTGGAGGCGTCCGAGCCGTTTTTACCGGTAGAGGCGTTCGAGCCGCTTTCACCGGTAGAGTCGTTGGAGCCGTTGAAGTCGTTGGAGACATCGCAGACATCGGAGTCGTTAGAGATGTTGGAGGCGTCCGAGCCGTTCGAACCGTCGGAGCCGTTGGACACGAAAAAAATTTTATTTACTACGTAGAATGCCGAGAAAATGTGGAGAGAAGTTTGTACCCGCGCTCATCGAAAGTATTGTTTCAAACAGAGCGTTCGGCGGGTTTTTAGTTTGTCAACAAAATGAAGTTTTACTAAAAACGTGCAATAAAAAATTTTTTATCAGAAATAAAAACTTTTTTTATATGTTTTATTTATACAGTACCGCAAAAAAAGTTCGAGCAGCAGTTTCCTTTGATATCCGAGGATCGCCAATTTTTTTATCCAATTCGACTAAGTGTCTTTTTTTGTGATGGGAGCACCTTCACAAATCCTTTATAAAAAGTATACCGCCATTCCGACCACATACAGAAAGAAAAAAACGGTCGGAAACGACGACAGTCAAACACAAAAAAATCTCTTCATTTCTTTTTTTCCTATACCAATTAGAATATTTTTTTCCAGTAAAAACTCACTTTTCTGTAGGCCATATGGCCAACCGATGGTGTCCGATCACCATATCCACCAAAATGGCTGAAAAAAAGTTTTTATCTTGTTTTTTTTTTGAATAGCATGAAGAACCGAAGTTAAAAAAAAGTACCTGAAAGTCTCCACAGCAAATGAGCCCGCTCCTTTTGGACACTCGCCTGACGCGAATAAACCAATGCCCGTGTCCGCAACCCAGGATTGCGATTTCGGCCTTCTTTTTTTCATTCACTGAAAGAGGAAGAATGATTTTGAAACATCCAACGAACATCTCTGCAAAAAATTCCCCTCTGCTCATTTTTTTATTTCATTTTCGGAGTGGAACGAAAATGAACTCCCTAATGAAAATTTTAGGAGTCTAGCTCATAAATTTTATAATTCCAAATGAGTAAAGTGTTCTTACTTTATGAGAAAGCTCTAATTCTTGCAGAGAACTTTCAAGAAAGCACAAACCTTTACTGATGCCGTTTGATTGTGTCCCTTCCTTTCGTGTTGATAAACAACATTTCGTCGTTTTTATTGGTGGCTCATCACCACCCCGACCAACATCGCTGAAAATAAATCAGTGAGTTTTTGAATACATTTCTGCCTGAAAACCGAAATGTATCGTTATTTCTTTGATCTAGAAAACTGAAATAAAAATAAAAATAATGATAGTCGCCGCAAAACATTAATACATCCAATGGACTGGAAAACTCACGACGCCGTGTGATTGTTTTGATTGCTGGCCCCGCAAGTTTTGCAGGGGGCCAGGTCCTGCAGCCTCTTGCAGTGGAACCGGTTGTGCGTCTTCCAGTCAGGCATACCGAGATTCCTGCAGTGGCCGCACTGTAATGATGATACTACTAATAAAGGAAACCCTAAAAACCAGACTACTTGTCGTTTTGTGAATAAGTAATGTTCAAATTTTCAAGCATTTAAATTTTTAACTCACAGTTTTTTCGTTGTTATGACGGTGCGACCGGCGATAGCCGCCAGACGCAAATAAATCGCGTCAGAAAAGCCGTGGCCACAACCCAGCACCGCGTTTTTTTTTTGTTCTGACTGGCGGCTGATTACCACCCCTACGAAGATCCCTGAAAAAAATATTCACTTTTTTTATTCATTTTTTTCTGTAACTATTCCGTCCGTAATGTAACAAAAATTTATTTTTTTCAATCGAAGTTATAGGATTCTCTTTCGTACACTTTTAAACTTTTTTTCATTTTCTTTTCTAAGGATTGATGCACTGAAACAATAAAAAAACTGAAACGACAGATAAAAAATTGTAAAATACAAAAATTTGTTTCTCTCGAATCTATATTTTCTAATGCAACTGATCAGCATAGGTTTTTTTCGACTGAAAAATCACATAAATTTATAACGTATGTTGCCATATAAATTGGACTTGCCTTCTGGGGGAACAGGAAACGGCGTGAACCATCCTTCCGCGAAAGGAACAAAAACCTCTTGTTTTTGTGTCCACATGCCGAACAACACTCTCCCGTTCAAGATGGCTGAAAGAAAAAAATGTTTGATTTCAATTAATTAGGTTTGAATTAGTCATTTTTTTCGTAAAGTCGAGAAGTGATTGAAATGTAACTCACAGTTCAATTTCTGAAGCCCCGGTGAGCCTTTTGCCTTCCTTGTACCAATTTTTTCCTGCTTGGCACCTTTGTTGGTGGCTCATCACCATCTCATCCAGCATTTCTGAAAACACCACTTAATTTTTTCCACGTTCAGGTTTTTTCTCTCATTTTTTTAAATAGTAAGTTCTCATTTCGTTTTTTTCATCCAATGAACGTAACTTTTTGCGAAACTCACTTTCTTGTTTGCTTAGGAGACGCTTGTTCGGCGGTTGATAACCATCCCCACGAAGATGACTGAAAAATAGTATTTACTTTTATTATTTTTCAAACCGGAAATATCGTCTTTCAAAGCGAAATACATTTTATGATGAAAGAACTGAAAATCCAGTTTGGAAGGAAAACTCACGTCGCCGAGAAATTTGTGGAAAACTGTACGAGTTCAGGAGCAACCGCTCCATGCGAGCGCAGACTTCGCGAATGAAGAAGTCGCGTGAGCGAGGGAGAATGTGCGCAGACAAGCAGACAGACGAGAGAGTACGCATGCAATATCAAAAGCAAAAGTTGATATTTTCCAGATAAATTCAAGAGTCCAGTGATTCTCATTACCAAAAGGCCCGACTTATTGAAAGGGGCATGGTCTAATTACCAACTTTACTATTTCACGACCGCTATAATCAACAATTTTTTGTGCAGATATAAATCAATCAAAGACTTGGAGAAAAACAATTTCTAGTGCTAATCTTTTCCTATCGGTCACTCGGCGTATGCACGGAAATAGCTGACCGAACAATTCAAGATCAGTTAGAGTTTTCAAGTGGTCAATTAATAAAAAGCATACCGAGGTAAACTCTGCTCTTTCAAAACCAATTGTGTGCATTCTGATACTATATATGCGCTATCTGGATATGAGAGTGCTAAGAAATCTCAAGAAGAAAAAAAGGTCCATCTTTTTAGTTATTTTTTTAGCAGTTCCGAAAAAAATAGAAATTCGCGAAGTTTTGCGGTAAATTGAAAGTATTTTTTTGATAAAAAGCAACATTCTTTTTTTAAAAAATTAGAGTGTGTATCAAAAATATATATGAAAAAATCTTGAAAATGAGCAATAAGTACAGAGCGCGTTCGACGCACCAGACGAGAATCCCGGGGCCTATTAAGTAACCATTCGAAGCGAAAAAGAATTACAGATACGACGGATCGCTCGCGCAGTTCGGAAACAAAATCCTGCGTCGAGCCTATTAACACGACCTATTGTCAGACACCCTAACGATAACGGCCAAACCAACTTCTGGATCTACAGGAGAGGCGGACGAAGAGCCCGGGGACGAGATCCGCCCCAACGTCAGCAATCTCACCGCAACAGAAGTCGACAAGCTCCGAACATCCCTTTTCTCTCAGGCAATTCTAGCTTTTATCCTGCCTTCACTCTCTTAAAATAAAAGGTCCTCTCACTTTTCAATCTGGTTAACCAAAAACTGTACAGTTTTTTGAGTAGAAGTCAAAACTCGATACTTATCTTTTTCTGTGTAAAACACCACTGCAAAGGAAAAAATCTTTCCAAATAACTTAGAAAGCAGTGGATGAACTTTCAATTATTTAATTTTCGTACCATTTCGGTGAACGACGATGTTTGCACGGAACGTTTGACCTCTGGCGCCATTTTCGAACCAATTCTGAAAAAAGTGAATAGTTTTTTGATAGTCTGTAACTGACGCCAAGAATTTCGGACGTCAACGTGAAAAAAAGTTGCAAGTAAAAATACAGTAGAAGGTAATTTTTTTCTTATTTTTTTCAATCAATAATTTTTTTTGATATTGGCCGAATTCAAACGTAGTCAAGCAAAAAAACTGGCAATTGAAAGTAATAAAGTAAGCGACAAGTTGGAGCCGTTGGAGCCGACGGATACCTTGGAGCTGTTGGAGTCGTCGAAGCCGTTTATACCGATAGAGTCGTTGGAGACATCGGAGCCGTTGGAGATGTTGGAGGCGTCCGAGCCGTTTTTACCGGTAGAGGCGTTCGAGCCGCTTTCACCGGTAGAGTCGTTGGAGCCGTTGAAGTCGTTGGAGACATCGCAGACATCGGAGTCGTTAGAGATGTTGGAGGCGTCCGAGCCGTTCGAACCGTCGGAGCCGTTGGACACGGAAAAAATTTTATTTACTACGTAGAATGCCGAGAAAATGTGGAGAGAAATTGGTACCCGCGCTCATCGAAAGTATTGTTTCAAACAGAGCGTTCGGCGGGTTTTTAGTTTGTCAACAAAATGAAGTTTTACTAAAAACGTGCAATAAAAAATTTTTTATCAGAAATAAAACTTTTTATATGTTTTATTTATACAGTACCGCAAAAAGTTCGAGCAGCAGTTTCCTTTGATATCCGAGGATCGCCAATTTTTATCCAATTCGACTAAGTGTCTTTTTGTGATGGGAGCACCTTCACAAATCCTTTATAAAAAGTATACCGCCATTCCGACCACATACAGAAAGAAAAACGGTCGGAAACGACGACAGTCAAACACAAAAATCTCTTCATTTCTTTTTCCTATACCAATTAGAATATTTTTTCCAGTAAAACTCACTTTTCTGTAGGCCATATGGCCAACCGATGGTGTCCGATCACCATATCCACCAAAAATGGCTGAAAAAAAGTTTTTTTATCTTGTTTTTGAATAGCATGAAGAACCGAAGTTAAAAAAAGTACCTGAAAGTCTCCACAGCAAATGAGCCCGCTCCTTTTTGGACACTCGCCTGACGCGAATAAACCAATGCCCGTGTCCGCAACCCAGGATTGCGATTTCGGCCTTCTTTTTTTCATTCACTGAAAGAGGAAGAATGATTTTGAAACATCCAACGAACATCTCTGCAAAAATTCCCCTCTGCTCATTTTTATTTCATTTTCGGAGTGGAACGAAAAATGAACTCCCTAATGAAAAATTTTAGGAGTCTAGCTCATAAATTTTATAATTCCAAATGAGTAAAAGTGTTCTTACTTTATGAGAAAGCTCTAATTCTTGCAGAGAACTTTCAAGAAAGCACAAACCTTTACTGATGCCGTTTGATTGTGTCCCTTCCTTTCGTGTTGATAAACAACATTTCGTCGTTTTTATTGGTGGCTCATCACCACCCCGACCAACATCGCTGAAAATAAATCAGTGAGTTTTGAATACATTTCTGCCTGAAAACCGAAATGTATCGTTATTTCTTTGATCTAGAAAACTGAAATAAAAATAAAAATAATGATAGTCGCCGCAAAAACATTAATACATCCAATGGACTGGAAAAACTCACGACGCCGTGTGATTGTTTTGATTGCTGGCCCCGCAAGTTTTGCAGGGGGCCAGGTCCTGCAGCCTCTTGCAGTGGAACCGGTTGTGCGTCTTCCAGTCAGGCATACCGAGATTCCTGCAGTGGCCGCACTGTAATGATGATACTACTAATAAAGGAAACCCTAAAAACCAGACTACTTGTCGTTTTTGTGAATAAGTAATGTTCAAATTTTTCAAGCATTTAAATTTTTTTAACTCACAGTTTTTTTCGTTGTTATGACGGTGCGACCGGCGATAGCCGCCAGACGCAAATAAATCGCGTCAGAAAAAGCCGTGGCCACAACCCAGCACCGCGTTTTTTTTTTGTTCTGACTGGCGGCTGATTACCACCCCTACGAAGATCCCTGAAAAAAATATTCACTTTTTTATTCATTTTTTCTGTAACTATTCCGTCCGTAATGTAACAAAATTTATTTTTCAATCGAAGTTATAGGATTCTCTTTCGTACACTTTTAAACTTTTTCATTTTCTTTTCTAAGGATTGATGCACTGAAACAATAAAAACTGAAACGACAGATAAAAAAAATTGTAAAATACAAAATTTGTTTCTCTCGAATCTATATTTTCTAATGCAACTGATCAGCATAGGTTTTTTCGACTGAAAATCACATAAATTTATAACGTATGTTGCCATATAAATTGGACTTGCCTTCTGGGGGAACAGGAAACGGCGTGAACCATCCTTCCGCGAAAGGAACAAAAAACCTCTTGTTTTTTTGTGTCCACATGCCGAACAACACTCTCCCGTTCAAGATGGCTGAAAGAAAAATGTTTGATTTCAATTAATTAGGTTTGAATTAGTCATTTTTTTCGTAAAGTCGAGAAGTGATTGAAATGTAACTCACAGTTCAATTTCTGAAGCCCCGGTGAGCCTTTGCCTTCCTTGTACCAATTTTTTCTGCTTGGCACCTTTGTTGGTGGCTCATCACCATCTCATCCAGCATTTCTGAAAACACCACTTAATTTTTTCCACGTTCAGGTTTTTTCTCTCATTTTTTTAAATAGTAAGTTCTCATTTCGTTTTTTTCATCCAATGAACGTAACTTTTTGCGAAAACTCACTTTCTTGTTTGCTTAGGGAGACGCTTGTTCGGCGGTTGATAACCATCCCCACGAAGATGACTGAAAAAAATAGTATTTACTTTTTATTATTTTTTTCAAACCGGAAATATCGTCTTTCAAAGCGAAATACATTTTTATGATGAAAGAACTGAAAATCCAGTTTGGAAGGAAAAACTCACGTCGCCGAGAAATTTGTGGAAAACTGTACGAGTTCAGGAGCAACCGCTCCATGCGAGCGCAGACTTCGCGAATGAAGAAGTCGCGTGAGCGAGGGAGAATGTGCGCAGACAAGCAGACAGACGAGAGAGTACGCATGCAATATCAAAAAGCAAAAAGTTGATATTTTTCCAGATAAATTCAAGAGTCCAGTGATTCTCATTACCAAAAAGGCCCGACTTATTGAAAGGGGCATGGTCTAATTACCAACTTTACTATTTCACGACCGCTATAATCAACAATTTTTTTGTGCAGATATAAATCAATCAAAGACTTGGAGAAAAAAACAATTTCTAGTGCTAATCTTTTTCCTATCGGTCACTCGGCGTATGCACGGAAATAGCTGACCGAACAATTCAAGATCAGTTAGAGTTTTTCAAGTGGTCAATTAATAAAAAAAGCATACCGAGGTAAACTCTGCTCTTTCAAAAACCAATTGTGTGCATTCTGATACTATATATGCGCTATCTGGATATGAGAGTGCTAAGAAATCTCAAGAAGAAAAAAAGGTCCATCTTTTTTTAGTTATTTTTTTAGCAGTTCCGAAAAAAATAGAAATTCGCGAAGTTTTTGCGGTAAATTGAAAGTATTTTTTTGATAAAAAGCAACATTCTTTTTAAAAAAATTAGAGTGTGTATCAAAAAAATATATGAAAAAAATCTTGAAAATGAGCAATAAGTACAGAGCGCGTTCGACGCACCAGACGAGAATCCGGGGCCTATTAAGTAACCATTCGAAGCGAAAAAAAGAATTACAGATACGACGGATCGCTCGCGCAGTTCGGAAACAAAATCCTGCGTCGAGCCTATTAACACGACCTATTGTCAGACACCCTAACGATAACGGCCAAACCAACTTCTGGATCTACAGGAGAGGCGGACGAAGAGCCCGGGGACGAGATCCGCCCCAACGTCAGCAATCTCACCGCAACAGAAGTCGACAAGCTCCGAACATCCCTTTTCTCTCAGGCAATTCTAGCTTTTATCCTGCCTTCACTCTCTTAAAATAAAAGGTCCTCTCACTTTTCAATCTGGTTAACCAAAAACTGTACAGTTTTTTGAGTAGAAGTCAAAACTCGATACTTATCTTTTTCTGTGTAAAACACCACTGCAAAGGAAAAAATCTTCACAGAAAATTAGAAATAATTTTTCTGATAAACAATTTTATTTCTTGGCAAACAGGGTCAAGCGTTGAATGAGAAGCAAACTTGTTGAACATTCGTTCATTTTCTGCTAATTTAAAGATTTTCAGACTCACATCGCTAGAATGAGCCATGTAGCGAATATTGGGCGCTGCTGGTGATCGGAAGCTCGGCCAGAAATCCCGCCGCTGAGTGGTTTCCATCCACAAATGTCGTCAGAATAGGCGCTTACTACAAGAAATCATCTCATTTTTTCAAAACATTCCCGATGAAAATGAGGCAGTTGAACTACTGATTCGAAAATTACAAATCATGGAAAACGAAACATAAAAGAACTCAGATACTTCAAAATTGTCTTGGGCGTTGAATAAATGAAAAAACATCTTTAGAGCTTACTATTGTTTTGTTAAAACTTCCGAATGAATCTATGCCGATATCGACGCATGAAGACGAATCTAGAGGTTTCGCAGTGATGTTTCCGCAATCTGAACCAATCTAAATTCGAATAGGACTGTTTTTATGACGTTTGAATTCTTCGTTTGGAAATCATTATGAAATATTATTTTTTTCTGATTTACAACGACAGATTATTTCAAGAGAAAAAAACAAAAAAATTTCTAAACTTTATTATTCTGTTGAAACAGAAAGGAATGACAAGAAGATAAAGTACAAAAACTCTGAGTTATTATAGATACAACGTTTCACAAAATACAAAATCACGGAAGTGAAGTTTAAGGAATTCGATGCGATGAATATAAACAGCGATCGAAAAAACAATTTTTTTAACAGGATTATTGAGCTATGAATTGATTGTGTTCTCACGATTTTTTTTCTGGCGCAGAACTTGGAGCTGACCCTGAGATCACCCTCTCATCCAACATGACTGAAAAGATGCTTCAGTGAAAACATTTTTTTCTCAATAACTAAAGCAGAATTAATTTTTTTTTCATCTGATGAACAACTTCTTCGTTAGAAAAAAACTCACGTGTTTGTTGGTTGTGAGGCCGCTTGGACGGTGGCCAATCACCATCCTTACCAACATCTCTGAAAAAAGTTCGTTTAGTTTAAGAAAAATTCCTTTTGTCATTTTCCTTATCAAATGCTCACCTTTTTCTCTAAAACTACACGGATCTCAATTTAATAACCTCTACAAAATTTACAAATTAACATCATTTGTCCTCGGGGTTTTTAATATTATTTTTCCATTTGTCTTGTCGAACCAAAAAATTTAGTCAATTTTTCTGAATTTATTTTTACCATGTCATATAACTTCGAATTTACTATTCTTTTCGTGAAAGCCTTTATCGTGGATTTTTTCAACTTTTTGGCAAGAAAAACTCACGGGAACGTGTCCTAACTGCATCTGTTGTTGTTGATGTGGCGGAAGGCCAAAATGACCTATAAATCGAAATAAGTACAGTCTTTTTACTTCATGAAAAGACCTTAAGTTTGCAGGGAATCTACAAGAAATCACAAACCTTTACTGATGCCGCTTGATCGTGTTCCTTTTTTTGTGTTGATAAACAGCATTGTGTTGTTTTTATAGGTGATTCATCACCACCCCGACCAACATCCCTGCACGCTTAAATTTAGATAGATAGTTTATTCACTGCCATTATTTAACATAAATAATTGAAGAATAGATGATCAAGTGAAGGAATAGGCAGAGAATTAACAATACACGGGAAAGAGTCAACCCCAACGAGTTGACGGGTACCCGGAAATATGGCAAATTCACAGGAGACGAGAGGGGATATTTTTCATGAAAGGCTTCAAACGGAAGAGCATTCAACTTTTTACGCAGAGTTTCTGGGGTAACGTTAAAAATCTAAATAAGAAGTTAGTTTATTCCAAAGAGGAATAGTTCTAGAAAAAAAGTCATTAGAAAAACTGACCAGTAGTCCGTAGTCGAAGTGGATTTTTTTCGAAATTATTATTTGCTGTTTTTTTCAATATTTTTAAAGCAACAAAGTTATCTTTATTTCTTTTTTTCCTATATCAATTATTATATTTTTTTCAGTAAAAACTCACTTTTTCTGAAGGCCCTATGGCCTTTCGATAGTGTTCGATCACAATCCCCACCAGGATGACTGAAAAAAATCTTTGAGTTAAATAATTGCCAACTTGAAAGTGTGAAAAACCGATGTTAAAAAAAAGTACCTGAAAGTCTCCACAGCAAATTAGTCCGTTCCTTCTGGACACTCGCCTGCGAATGAATCGCACACTAATGCCCGTGTCCGCAACCCAGGATTGCGATTTCGGCCTTCCTTTTTTCATTTACTGAAAGAGGAAGAATGATTTTGAAACATCCAACGAACATCTCTGCAAAAAATTCCCCTCTGCTCATTTTTTCTTTCATTTTCGGAGTGTAACGAAAATGAACTCCCTGATAAAAATTTTAGGAGTCTAGTTCATAAATTTTATGATTCCAAATAAGTAAAGTGTTCTTACTTCATGAGAAAGCTTTAATTCTTGCAGAGAACTTTCAAGAAATCACAAACCTTTACTGATGCTGATCTGTAGGCCATATGACCAATCGATGGTTTCCAATTACCATCTCCACCAGAATGACTGAAAAAAAGTTTGTTTATCTTGTTTTTTGTTTATGTATTTTTGAATAGCCTGAAAAAAACCAAAATTAAAAAGAAAGTACCTGGAAGTCCCCGCAACAGACAAGGAGATCGATCGGTGGTCGATCACCATCCCGACCAACATCGCTGAAAACAAATCAGTGAGTTTTGAATAAATTTCTGCCTGAAAACTTAAATGTATCGTTATTTCTTTGATCTAAAAAACTGGAATTAAAATGAATGATATGATAGTCGCCGCAAAACATTAATACATCCAATGCACTGGAAAACTCACGACGCCGTGTGATTGTTTTGATTGCTGGCCCCGCCAGTTTTGCAGGGGGCCAGGTCCTGCAGCCTCTTGCAGTGGAACCGGTTGTGCGTCTTCCAGTCAGGCATCCCGAGGTTCCTGCAGTGGCCGCACTGTAATGATGATACTATTAATAAAGGAAACCCTAAAAACCAGAAATTGTCGTTTTGTGAAATGTTTCAACTTTCGCACAAGCTTTTTCGATGATTTCAATTCAAAAAAATATTTTCGTAGATTTCTTCTCGAGATAATCATTTTGAAAACGGGTTTTTCTTACTTTTTGCATTGAAAAACATGATTTTTGTGAAACTCACCGGTTGATTCCGGAGCTGCGGCTCCTTACGGAAAAGACGAGGCTCACGCGAGCATTGATCGGATCACGATCCCGTCCAAGATGACGGAGAAGTTGTTCGGCGCAACGAGTCCTCCGTTTGGATTTTCGGCCAGAATTAAGGATGCTTCACTGCCCATGGCCGCAACCCATCACGGCGATTATTGCCTTCTTCTTTTGACTGGCGATTGAGTGCCAGCCAGCGAAAATCCCTGAAAAATATATACTCACTTTATTATTCAATTTTTTTGTAACTTTTTCAGTCCAAACCCGTATTGGGACAAAAATTGAACTTCTCAATGAAAGTTTTAGAAGTTTAGTTCTTAAATGATTCAACTTTCGCAAGAACTTTTCCGAAAAAAATGATTCATGACAAGAAAAAATTAAAAATTCACATTTAAAGAAATGGAATAACACAACTTTCTTTTTTTCCCAAATCTATATTTGTCATTGTAAATGATCAAAAATAGGTTTTTCTTGATTGAAAAATCACATGAATTTGCAACGTATGTTGTCATGTAAAAATTAACTTACCTTCTGAGACGTCAGGCAAATGCGTGAACAATCCTTCTGCGAAAGGAACAAAAACCTCTTGGTTTTGTTTCCTCACATCACCATCCCGTTCGAAATGGCTGAAAGAAAAATGTTCGATTTTAAATAATCAGATATGAGTTAGTCCTGTTCTTCTCGTGAAGTCGAAAAGCAGGAATAGGATAAAATATTGTTTTCAATTAAAAGTAACTTACGGTTCCGCTTTTGACGCCCCGGAGAGCCTTTGCTCTCTTCGCCCCAAATGATTCCGCTTGACACCTTTGTTGGTGGCTCATCACCGTCCCATCCAGCATTTCTAAAAATACCAATTAATTTGTTCCATGTTCAGGCTTTTTCTCTCAATTTTAAGGATGGCAAGTTCTCACTTTGTTTTCTCTTTTTGATGAACGTCATTATAAAAAAATAATTTTCGCAAAAAAAAAATCAAAATGATGAATGAATCAATTTTCTGACGGAAAAAAAAACTTACAGGGGGTTGTCCGAAATGCATCTGTTGTTGTTGTTGTGCCGGAAGGACAAAATGGTAGTGGCCCTACGGCCACTAGATGGTGTCCCATCACCATCCCAACCAAGATGGCTGAAAAAAACTCTTGAGTTGAAAAAAATTATTTTCGAAGTATGAGAAATCAAAAAAATTAATGCATTTTTGCATTTTTTTATTTTTTTATTTTCATTTATTTTTTTCGATCTTGGTGAAAAGAAAGTGCGCACATTCATCCTTTCCTTTCAAATTCTTGTCCGAAAATCTCAATAAAACGCTATTTTGAAGGTGTAAAATCCAAATTAAAAGAAAAAACCTGAAAGTCTCCACAGCCAATAAGAAGATAAGCGCGCTCCTTCACGACAAAATGCCCGTGTCCGCAACCCAGCACTGCGGTTCCAGTCTTCATTTTTCTGAAAGAAGAGGAATTATTTCGAAGCAATGAAAAAAATAAAATAATTTTCAAGATTGTGAGAAAGAATAATTATTTCTGTAAAACTCACCGTTTTGTCTGATTTCGGTGCTGCGATTCCTCACGAAGAAGTCGGAGATCACGCGAGCATTACCATCCCGTCCAAGATAACTGAAAAAAACAGGATCATTCCTAAATGAAAAAAATGTGTTTTTTTGATAACCATCCCATCCAGAATTTCTGGAAACACAGTTTTTTTAAATTTCTACGTTTTTTTCTCAAAATTTAAAATGGAAATATTTGTTGTTTTTTTCAGGTTTCATTCTCCTAAAAATGATGAACATTACTCGTTTAAAAAAATAACGGAAAGAGCAGAAAAACCCCCCGTCGGTTTCTCAGCCAGCGTAGCCATTGGAACCGTCCGAAACGTTAATAATAATAATTATTATTATTATTATAGGTTAATCACTGCCAATTGAAAATAATAAAGTAAGTGACAAGTTGGAGCCGTTGGAGCCGTCGGATACCTTGGAGCTGTTGGAGTCGTCGGAGCCGTTTTTTTACCGGTAAAGTCGTTGGAGACATCGCAGACAGTCAAACACAAAAAAATCTCTTTTTTTCTTTTTCCTATACAAATTAGAATATTTTTTTCCAGTAAAACTCACTTTTCTGTAAGCCATATGGCCAACTGATGGTGTCCGATCACCAACTCCATCAGAATGACTGAAAAAAATTCTCGTCTTGTTTTTTTATTTTATTTTTTTGAATAGCCCGAAAAAAACCAAAAAAATACGTGTAGAAAGAAATGTCAAAGTTACTGTTGATTCGGAAAAATTTGCCGAATGGATCCAAGTCGATTTTGACGCTTGAAGAAAAAAATCTTGAAGTTGTGCGGCGAAGTTCCTGCAATCTGAAATTTTTTTAAAAATTTGAACTAGTATTTTTTTCATGACATGAAAAATTCTTATTTGAAAGTCGCATTGAAATATTCTCTCTGATCCACAATGACAGATTTTTTTACCGAAAATATTTCAAACTTTTTTTCATTTCGCAAAAACACAAGAACAGTGCGTCATTACAATTATAGCGTTTCACAGACTTACAAAGAAATACAGGATTAACTTGGCGAATTGCAATGAAAAACTGACAAAAAAATGAGATGTTTGAGAAAAAACTTTATAAACAATTTCTAACAGGAATATCGAGCTGTCAAATGATTCACAGCAATTTTTTTGGACGGAGAGCCGAGGGCCTGCTAACCCTTATGTTGGAAATCATCCGTTTGTCCTTTCAGACGGTGGTCATCACCACCCCAGCCAACATAACTGCAAAAATTATCTTCATTGTAAAATTAACCCAGTCGCCATCGTGGGGGAGCCACGAAACAAAAGGATTTGGGTTTTCCCCGCAGTTTTTCAATTTTTAATCAAAGTAGTGCACGGAAATGGATTTTCGAAATTTCAACAGGTACCAATTTCAAAAATCGTTATTGAAGTTTTTTTCTTCTTTTAAATAATCTATCAATTTTAGTTCTCTCCAACTTTGAGAAAGATAATCTCGCATAAGTCGAAATAAGGCGCCCCAGACCGACAACTACTTGCGATCGTTGGCATCCAAAAGTTCGGAAGGGGCAAAATCTGAGTTGGGTTTTCTTTTTCATTTTTCACGTTTCCAAATAACTTAGAAAGCAGTGGATGAACTTTCAATTATTTAATTTTCGTACCATTTCGGTGAACGACGATGTTTGCACGGAACGTTTGACCTCTGGCGCCATTTTCGAACCAATTCTGAAAAAAGTGAATAGTTTTTTGATAGTCTGTCACGGACGCCAAGAATTTCGAACGTCAACGTAAAAAAGTTGGAAGTAAAATACAGTAGCAGGTAATTTTATTTTTATTTTTCAATCAATAATTTTTTGATATTGGTGTAATTCGAACGTAGTCAAGAACTCATTTTTGAAAATAAGTTGCAGAATTCGGATTCATATATATGAATTTGATGTTTTTTTTTATTTCAATCATGTACGTGTGTACACTCCCTCTGATTCTTCCAATTATGCTTTTTTTAAATGTCTCTATATAAATTGGACGAGCAACCAGCAAGGTTTTTCAAAGTTATAACTGGTCGACGAAAAAAGTTGCGCCAGGTTTATAGTCCAAATAAGGCTCTAGGAAGGAAAAGTTTTCGAAAATAAAGTTTGGAGCTGGAAAATTTAAGAAGTTACTCGTTTAAAAATAACGGAATAAGCAGAAAACCCCCGTCGGTTTCTCAGCCAGCGGAGCCATTGGAACCCTCCCAAACGTTAATAATAATAATAATTATTATTATTATAGTTTATTCACTGGCAATTGAAAGTAATAAAGTAAGCGACAAGTTGGAGCCGTCGGATACCTTGGAGCTGTTGGAGTCGTCGAAGCCGTTTATACCGGTAGAGTCGTTGGAGACATCGGAGCCGTTAGAGATGTTGGAGGCGTCCGAGCCGTTTTTACCGGTAGAGGCGTTCGAGCCGCTTTCACCGGTAGAGTCGTTGGAGCCGTTGAAGTCGTTGGAGACATCGCAGACATCGGAGTCGTTAGAGATGTTGGAGGCGTCCGAGCCGTTGGACACGAAAAAATTTTATTTACTACGTAGAATGCCGAGAAAATGTGGAGAGAAATTGGAACCCGCACTCATCGAAAGTATTGTTTCATACAGAGTGTTCGGCGGGTTTTTAGTTTGTCAACAAAATAAAGTTTTACTAAAAACGTGCAATAAAACAATTTTTATTAGAAATAAAACTTTTTATATGTTTTATTTATACAGTACCGCAAAAAAAGTTCGAGTAGCAGCCGGAAGGGTATTTTTTTCCTTTGATTTCCGAGGATCGCCAATTTTTTTATCCAATCCGATTTAGTGTTTTTTTGTGATGGAGCACTTTCAAAAATCCTTTATAAAGAGTATACCGCCATTCCGACCACACACAGAAAGAAAAACGGTCGGAAACAACGACAGTCAAACACAAAAAAATCTCTTCATTTCTTTTTCCTATACCAATTAGAATATTTTTTTTCCAGTAAAACTCACTTTTCTGTAGGCCGTATAGCCAACCGATGGTGTCCGATCACCAACTCCACCAGAATGACTGAAAAAAATTCTCATCTTGTTTTTTTATTTTTATTTTTGAATAGCCCGAAAACCGAAATTAAAAAGAAAGTACCTGGTAATCGCCGCATTAGAACAGGAGATCGATCAGTGGTCGATTACCACCCCGACCAACATCGCTGAAATTGAATCAGTCAGTTTTGAATAAAAATTCTGCCTGAAAAACTTAAATAAATCGCTATTTCATTGATGTAGAAAAACTAAAATTTGAAAAAAAAATATTCAAGACTAAAATGTTTCCTGTTTATCTCACTGCTATCAAAATGTTCAAAAGCTCACCTTGTTGAAGATGTTTGGCGTCACCCATCCACGTTGGGATTTCCGCCAAAAATTCAGAGACTTCTGCTTCTCGCCGATGAATAGAGTTGAAATAAGCGCGACCTTCGAAAAATATATCATTGCTCCACGTGAGAAACGTATTAAATCAGGGAATCCCAGGAATCCAAATTAAAAAAACTTTGAAAACAAAAATGAGCAAAATTAGAGAGAAATTTTCACGAAAGCAAAAGATATACGGTCCAGAAAAATAAGCTTAGTATTCAATATTTGAAATTGAGAGTCCAAAATCCAGGAAAGTAATATTTCGAAAAATCAATTTTTTATTTCACATTACTCCGTGTGTTTCTAGTTTTTTTAAAAATTCTATTGTGCTAATTTTTTCAATTTTTTGACAAAAAAAAAACTTACAGGAACTTGTCCGAACCGCATCTGTTGTTGTTGATGTGCCGGAAGGACAAAATAGTGAGGACCCTATGGCCACTCGATGATATCCGATCACCATCCCCACCACAATGACTGAAAAAAATTGTCGAGTTGAAAAAAATTAATTTTTCGCAATAAGAAAGATCAAAATGATGAATGAATCAATTTTTCTGACTGAAAAAAACTCACAGGAACTTACTGCCCATAGCCGCAAATCAGTACGGCGATTCTCGCCTTCTTCTTTTTGACTGGCGGTTGAGTGCCAGCCCAGCGAAAATCCCTGAAAAATATATACTCACTTTTTTTTATTTAATTTTTTTCTGTAACTTTTCAGTCCATACCCGTTTTGGGACAAAAATTTAACTTCTTAATGAAAGTTTTAGAAATCTAGGTCTTAAATGTTTCAACTTTCGCACAAACTTTTTCCGAAAAAAATGATTTACTGACAAAAAAACAGAAATTCACATTAAAAAAATGGAATAACGCAACTTTTTTTCTCAAATCTATATTTGTCATTGTCAATGATCAAAAACAGGTTTTCTTGACTGAAAATCACATGAATTGGTAACGTATGTTGCCATATAAATTGAACTTGCCTTCTGGGGGACCAGGAAACTGCGTGAACCATCCTTCTGCGAAAGGAGCAAAAACCTCTTGTTTCTGTGTCCACATGCCGATGCTGAACATCACTCTACTGTTCAGATGGCTGAAAAAAACTTATGATTTCAATTAATTAGGTTTGAATTAGTCATTCTTTTTTTCGTAAAGTCGAGAAGTGATTGAAATGTAACTCACCGTTCAATTTCTGAAGCCCGGCGAGCCTTTGCCTTCCTTGTACCAATTTTTTCTGCTTGGCACCTCTGTTGGTGGCTCATCACCATCTCATCCAGCATTTCTGAAAACACCACTTCATTTTTTCCATTTTCAGGTTTTTTCTCTCATTTTTTTATAAATAGAAAGTTCTCATTTCGTTTTTCATGCAATGAACGTAACTTTTTGCGGAACTCACTTTCTTGTTTGCTTAGGAGCCGCTTGTTCGGCGGTTGATAACCATCCCCACGAAGATGACTGAAAAAAATAGTATTTACTTTTATTATTTTTTTCAAACCGGAAATATCGTCTTTCAAAAGCCAAATACATTTTATAATGAAAGAACTGAAAAATCCAGTTTGGAAGGAAAAACTCACGTCGCCGAGCAATTAGTGGAAAAACTGTACAAAAGTTTTTTTAAATTAATAGAGGTTAAATTATAACCTCGAAAAAATACCAGAAGTTTGAAGTCACAAGCGGTCCTAACTTGGAAGCTTCTCTTCATTTATACATCGAACTATCCGTACTTTGATAACGTTTCTTTTCTCGCGACCCTCCGTGACCCAGAGCGAGTTCAGGAGCAACCGCTCCATGCGAGCGCAGACTTCGCGAATGAAGAAGTCGCTTGAGCGAGGGAGAATGTGCGCAGACAAGCAGACAGACGAGAGAGTACGCATGCAATATCAAAAGCAAAAGTTGATATTTTCTAGATAAATTCAAGAGTCCAGTGATTAGCATTTCCAAAAGGCCCGATTTATTGAAAGGGGCATGGTCTATTTTTCGACTTTACTATTTCAGAACCTCTATAATCAACAATTTTTTGGGCATATATAAATCATTCAAAGACTTCGAGAAAAAAATTTCTAGTGTTAGTCTTTTCCTACTGGTCACTCGGCGTATGCACGGAAATAGGTGACCGAACAATTCAAAATCAGTTAGAGTTTTCAAATGGTCAATTAATAAAAAGCATACCGAGGTAAACTCTGCTCTTTCAAAACCAAATGTGTGCATTCTGATACTATATATGCGCTATCTGGATATGAGAGTGCTAAGAAATCTCAAGAAGAAAAAGGTCCATCTTTTTTTAGTTATTTTTTAGCAGTTCCGAAAAAAATAGAAATTCGCGAAGTTTTGCGGTAAATTGAAAGTATTTTTGATAAAAGCAACATTCTTTTTAAAAATTAGAGTGTGTATCAAAAATATATATGAAAAAATCTTGAAAATGAGCAATAAGTACAGAGCGTGTTCGACGCACCAGACGAGAATCCCGGGGCCTATTAAGTAATCAATTGAAGCGAAAAAGAATTACAGATACGACGGATCGCTCGCGCAGTTCGGAAACAAAATCCTGCGTCGAGCCTATTAACACGACCTATTGTCAGACACCTTATCGGCCAAATTAACATCTGGATTTACAGGAGAGGCGGACGAAGAGCCCGGGGACAAGATCCGCCCCAACGTCAGAAATCTCACCGCATCAGAAGTCGACAAGCTCCGAACATCCCTTTTCTCTCAGGCAAATCTAGCTTTTATCCTGCTTTCACTCTCTTAAAATAAAAGGTCCTCGCACGTTTCAATCTGGTTAAACAAAAAGATTTACACTTTTCGAGTAGAAGACAAAACTCGATACTTATCTTTTTCTGGGTAAAAACACTGCTGCAAAAATCTTTACAGAAAATTAGAAATAATTTTTTTCTAATGACCAACGTTCTCTTGGCAAACATGGTTTAGCGTTGAAGAGGAAGCAAACTTGTCGATCATTCGTTCATTCACTGCTAATTTGAAGATTTTTAAACTCACATCGCTAGAATGAGCCATGTAGCGAATATTGGGCGCTGCTGGTGATCGGAAGCTCGGCCAGAAATCCCGCCGCCGAGTGGTTTCCATCCACAAATGTCGTCAGAATAGGCGCTTTCTACAAGAAAACATCTCATTTCAAAAACAGTCCCGATGAAAATGAGGAAGTAGAACTACTGATTCGAAAATTACAAATTATGGAAAACGGAACATAAAAGAACTCAGATACTTCAAAATTGTCTGTTGACTCATCGCAAAATGTATGTGCAAGAACTCTTCTCAATCGATAAGTTTAAGGTTGGGTGTTGAATCAATAAAAAACATTTTTCGACCTTACTATTTTTATTTTTGAACTGCCGGGTGAATCTATGTCGATTTTGACGCATGACGACTAATCTAGAGGTTTCGCAGTAATGTTTCCGCAATCTGAACCAATCTAAATATAAATTGGACTGTTTTTTTATGACGTTCGAATTCTTCGTTCGGAAATCATTATGAAATAATATCTCTCTGATCCACAACGACAGACTTTTTTTCTAGAGAAAAAAACAAGAAAAATTTCTAAACTTTATTATTCTGTTGAAACAGAAAGGAATGAAATGAAGATAAAGTACAAAATTCTGAGTTATTATAGATACAACGTTTCACAAAATACAAAATTACGGAAGTGAAGTTGAAGGAATTCGAAGCGACGAGTATAAACAGCAATCGAAAAAAAAGCCATTTTTAACAGGATTATTGAGCTGTGAAAGGATTTACAGCGAAATTGGATTGTGTTCTCACGATTTTTTCTGGCAAAGAACTTGGAGGTGACCCGAGATCACCCTCTCATCCATCTTGCCTGAAAAGATGCTTCAGTGAAAACATTTTTTTCCTCAATAACCAAAGCACAATTATCATCTGATGAACAACTTCTTCGTTAGAAAAACTCACGTGTTTGTTGGTTGTGGTGCCGCTTGGACGGTGGCCAATCACCATCTTGTCCAACATTACTGAAAAAAGTGATTTGTGATGGAGTGGGATAATAAGCCCTATAGAGGTCCAAGATGACTGCAAGAAATGAACACATAATTTCAAAAAAGCAGGGAATATTTTCAATATTTTCTCTGGCAGAGAGGAATATTCAAAATGAGCTGCAATAGAAGGACTCACTTTTAAAACGAACTCGTCGAGCAGAAAGTCATCACATCAAAATTCTTTCTGTTGATCGCCAGGTTGTCGTTGTTTCAATTGGTAGTTGATCACTACCCCCTCCAAGATCTCTGCAAAAAATTACTTAGATACACAGGATAACCTTTGAATGTTTTCCTTAGTTTTTTGAAGAAGAAAAAATCTATTTTCTTGAATTTCTCACTCATTGAACATCTTTCTTGTTCGGAAAACTCACTTCTCTGTTTCTTTCTGGCGTAGATCAATCGGTGGTCGATTACCACCCCGACCAGCATCGCTGAATTTATTTCGACTATTTTTCAAGTGTTTGGCAAGAAAAACTTACAGGAACTTGTCCGAACTGCATCTCTTGTTGTTGTTGTGCCGGAAGGACAGAATAGTAGTGGCCCTACGGCCACTAGATGGTGTCCCATCACCATCCCAACCACAATGGCTGAAAAAAACTCTTGAGTTGAAAAAAAAAATAAATAATTTTCGCCAAAAAAAAATCAAAATGATGAATGAATCAATTTTCTGACTGAAAAAAACTTACAGGTCGTTGTCCGAACGGCATCTGTTGTTGTTGTGCCGGAAGGACAAAATGGTAGTGGCCCTCCGGCCACTAGATGGTGTCCCATCACCATCCCAACCACAATGGCTAAAAAAAACTCTTGAGTTGAAAAAAAAAATAAATAATTTTCGCCAAAAAAAAATCAAAATGATGAATGAATCATTTTTCTGACTGAAAAAAACTTACAGGTCGTTGTCCGAACGGCATCTGTTGGTGTTGTGCCGGAAGGACAAAATGGTAGTGGCCCTCCGGCCACTAGATGGTGTCCCATCACCATCCCAACCACAATGGCTGAAAAAAACTCTTTAGTTGAAAAAAAAAATAATTAATTGTCGCCAAAAAAAATCAAAATGATGAATGAATCAATTTTCTGACTGAAAAAAACTTACAGGTCGTTGTCCGAACGGCATCTGTTGTTGTTGTGCCGGAAGGACAAAATGGTAGTGGCCCTTCGGCCACTAGATGGTGTCCCATCACCATCCCAACCACAATGGCTGAAAAAAACTCTTTAGTTGAAAAATAAATAATTTTTCGCCAAAAAAATCAAAAATGATGAATGAATCAATTTTTCTGACTGAAAAAAACTTACAGGTCGTTGTCCGAACGGCATCTGTTGTTGTTGTGCAGGAAGGACAAAATGGTAGTGGCCCTCCGGCCACTAGATGGTGTCCCATCACCATCCCAACCACAATGGCTGAAAAAAACTCTTTAGTTGAAAAATAATTAATTGTCGCCAAAAAAATCAAAATGATGAATGAATCAATTTTTCTGACTGAAAAAAACTTACAGGTCGTTGTCCGAACGGCATCTGTTGTTGTTGTGCCGGAAGGACAAAATGGTAGTGGCCCTCCGGCCACTAGATGGTGTCCCATCACCATCCCCACCACAATGACTGAAAAAAACTCTTGAGTTGAAAAAAATAATTAATTTTCGCCAAAAAAAAAATCAAAATGATGAATGAATCAATTTTCTGACTGAAAGAAACTTACCGGAACTTGTCCGAACGGCATCTGTTGTTGTTGTGCCGGAAGGACAAAATGGTAGTGGCCCTCCGGCCACTAGATGGTGTCCCATCACCATCCCCACCACAATGGCTGAAAAAAACTCTTGAGTTGAAAAAAAAAATTAATTTTCGCCAAAAAAATCAAAATGATGAATGAATCAATTTTCTGACTGAAAAAAACTTACAGGTCGTTGTCCGAACGGCATCTGTTGTTGTTGTGCCGGAAGGACAAAATGGTAGTGGCCCTCCGGCCACTAGATGGTGTCCCATCACCATCCCAACCACAATGGCTGAAAAAAACTCTTGAGTTGAAAAAATAATTAATTTTCGCCAAAAAAATCAAAATGATGAATGAATCAATTTTTCTGACTGAAAAAAACTTACAGGTCGTTGTCCGAACGGCATCTGTTGTTGTTGTGCCGGAAGGACAAAATGGTAGTGGCCCTCCGGCCACTAGATGGTGTCCCATCACCATCCCCACCACAATGACTGAAAAAAACTCTTGAGTTGAAAAAAAAAATTAATTTTCGCCAAAAAAAAAATCAAAATGATGAATGAATCAATTTTCTGACTGAAAGAAACTTACCGGAACTTGTCCGAACGGCATCTCTTGTTGTTGTTGTGCCGGAAGGACAAAATGGTAGTGGCCCTCCGGCCACTAGATGGTGTCCCATCACCATCCCCACCACAATGACTGAAAAAAACTCTTGAGTTGAAAAAAAAAATCAATTTTTCGCATCAAAAAAATTAATGCATTTTGCTTTTTTTATTTTTTTTATTCTCATTTTTTTCGATCGTGGTAAAAAAAGTGCGCACTTTCATCTTTTTCTTCCAAATTCTTCTCCGAAAAATCTCAATAAAACGCTATTTCGAAAGTGTAAAATCCGAAATTAAAAAAAAAAACCTGAAAGTCTCCACAGCCAATAAGAAGATAAGCGCGCTCCTTCACGACAAAATGCCCGTGTCCGCAACCCAGCACTGCGGTTTCTGTCTCTTTTTTTTCATTTTCTGAAAGAAGAGGAATTATTTCGAAGCAATGAAAAAAAAATAATTTTCAAGATTGTGAAAAAGAATAAGTATTTCTGTAAAACTCACCGTTTTGTCTGACTTCGGTGCTGCGATTCCTCACGAAGAAGTCGGAGATCACGCGAGCATTACCATCCCGTCCAAGATAACTGAAAAAAACAGGATCATTCCTAAATGAAAAAAATGTGTTTTTTTGATCACCATCCCATCCAGAATTTCTGGAAACACAGTTTTTTTAAAATTTCTACGTTTTTTTCTCAAAATTTAAAAATGGAAATACGTGTTGTTTTTTTCAGGTTTCATTCTCCTAAAATGATGAACATGGAACATCTCTTTTTTTCGTTTTTACTCATCCAATGAACGTTATTTTTTTCGAGTATAATATTTATTACGATTCAAAAAAATCGATAAAAATTATTATTATTATGTTTCTAAAAACCGATAAATTCGTATTTGTAAATGAAGTAGAATTTATAATCAAAAGAACTGGAAATCCAGTTTCGAAGTTTTATTATTACCTCTTACTACACATGGTTAAAAATGAGGGATTAAAAACAACAGATTTTGATTCTGGAAAAAAAGAATTTGAAATTAAAGTCAATCAAAACTCAAATGTTTCATATTCATCTCACTGCTATTGAAAAAGTTTGAAAACTCACAGGGCCAGCATGGCCCTTTGTTGAAGATGTTAGGTGCAACCCATCCTCCGTTGGGATTTTAGCCAGGAATCCGAGGCTTCGTGGTTTCCGCCAACGAAGACTGTCAAGATGGGGGCGACCTTAAATAAATATATCATTCACGAAATTGTTCTCCGTGAAAATGAGGTATGAAACAAGAACTTTCGAAAATCCAGATAAAAAATATTTTGAAATTGGAATGAACAATGTTAGATAGAAATTTCCACGAACGCTTAAGATATAAGAACCAAAATAAAGATTTACCTTTTCTCCAGCGTAGTATTGGTGGAAATCTTGGAGTCTCTTGCTATTTCAGGGACGGGCGCGCGCGAACAGCGTCATTTCTTTTGAACTGAATGAAAAATCAATAAACTTTGAATAGAAGACTGAGAAAATAAAATAAAAGTTTTTATTCGAACTACTCGTAGATACTCTTTTGGAAGTCCAACAAGCCTACAGAATTCCATGAAGAACTGGTCGAAACTTTATGATTTAGTAGAGGTTCAAAAAGTCGTAGTTTTACTTTGGAAAATACCAGAAGTTTGAAACCACAAGCGGTATCAGTTTGAAAACTTCCAATACAATGAAACATTTAAACACTCTCTGTACTTCAAAAACGTGTCTTTTCCTACGAACCTCATGACACAGCGCGAGCTCATGGGCAACGGCTTCCGGTGAGCGAGAAACAACTGAAAAGTTCAGTATGAAAAAACTTTCTCTCAAAGTACTGTTTCGCTTGGATTTTGTTCAACCTATGGGTCACATAGATCCTGATCTACACACTATTCCTCTCAAACTCCAAGCTTGACCTTGTCCGTTAACTTATCACAAAAAAAGCGTCTGCGAGAGCTCTTCTATGTCGTTAGATTCAAAAATACGTGCAGAAAGAAATGTCAAGGTTACTGTTGATTCGGAAAATTTGCCGGATGGATCCAAGTCGATTTCGACGCTTGAAGAAAAAAATCTTGAAGGTGTGCAGCAAAGTTCCTGCAATCTGAAATGTTTTAAAAACTTGAATTAGTATTTTTTTCACGGCACGAGAGGCCTTTTTTTCAGAAGCCGTAGTGAAGTATTCTCTCTGATCCACAATGACAGATTTTTGTTCGAAAAAAAGAGATTTCAAACTTTATTTATTTTGCAAAAAAACAATAACAGTGCGTCATTACATTTATAACGTTCCACCACAGATTTAACAAAGAAATACAGGATAAACTTGGCGAGTTGCAATGAAAACTGACAAAAAATGAGATTTTGTAGAAAGTTTTATGAACAATTTCTAACAGGAATATCGAGCTGTCAAATGATTCACAGTAATTTTTGGACGGAGAGCCGAGAACCTGCTAACGTTTTTATTGAAAATCATCACTTTGTTGTTTCAGACGATGGTAATTACCACCCCGGCCAACATAACTGCAAAAATTATCTTCATTATAAAATTAATTTTCTGGTCTTTTTCTCAATAGTGTAATGCGAAAAAAAAATCTCTTTTCTTCTTTTTCCTTGACCAATTAAAATCTTTGCGGTTCCACTGCAGCCTCTTGCAGTGGAACCGCTTGGGCGTCTTCCATCATCATCCCGTTCAAGATGGCTGAAAGAAAAGTTTGATTCCAAATAATCAAAATTTTCTACAAAAACACACAACATTTCGTTGCACTGCCTAAACAAAACCATATAAATGAAAAATCCTATTCCGTGAAACATACTCGGCAAAAAAATCAAATAATAAAACGACAAGTTTGTTCAAATTTGAAAAAAACGAGCGAAACTGGATAGTTGAAAAATCGTGTTCATTTTTTTGTTTTTTTCTTTTCTCGTATCAAATAATTATCTTTTTGTCTGTGAGAACTTACTTTTTTTGGACTCCAGTTCTTGACGAAAATTTGGAGCTGACTCGGACATCACAATCCCGCCCAACATCACTGAAAGAAAAATGTTTACTTTGGTTTCAAAGAATTTGGAGTTTTTTTGAAATTTGTTTTTTTCATGTCAAATGATTTCGTATTTTTTTATATTTTTTTAGTTCTCTTCAATTTTTTTAGTTAAATTTATGAGCTTGAGAAATTTCAGAAATTAGAACTTTTTCCTGCTAGTTTGGACAAAAAAATTAGGAATCTTCGAAACCTCGTCGCTACATTTCAACAGAACTAAACCTTGATGTCCAACTTCTGGTGGGGCCCACGTTGGTTTTTGTTGACGATAAGCTCCTCGATGGGATAGAAGACTACTCCAGCGGCACTGCGCGAAACGAAGGCCGGATGATTTTTCGGTGGTTGATCACCATCCTTACCAACATCTCTAAAAAAATTCGTTGAGTTTAAGAAAAATTCCTTTTGTCATTTTCCTTATCAAATGCTCACCTTTTTTTCTCTAAAAACTACACGGATCTCAATTTAATAACCTCTACAAAAATTTATGAATTAACATCATTTGTCCTTGGGGTTTTTTTAACCTTATTTTTTTCCATTTTTTTCTTGTCGAACCAAAAAAATTTAGTCAATTTTTTTCTGGATTTATTTTTTTACCATGTCATATAACTTCGAATTTACTATTCTTTTTTTGTGAAAGTCTTCATCGTGAAATTTCAAACTTTTTGGCAAGAAAAACTCACGGGAACGTGTCCAAACTGCATCTGCAGTTGTTGATGTGCCGGAAGGACAAAAATAGTGAGCCTAAAATTCCAAAATGAGAATGGCGCTCTTAATCCGTTAAAGAACTCCCATTTTCGACAAAATTTGCAGGAAAAATTGTGAGAAAAAAACACAAACCTGACGCCGCTTGATGGTGTCCGTTCTGTCAGGAGTCAACAACTTTGCGTTGTTTCTAATTGTGGTTTATCACCACCCCGTCCAAAATGACTGAAAAATGTTGACTTTATTCAAAAAGATTCCCTTTTTCAAAAACTATGAAACAAAAAAAGGCTCTTCATTTTTTTTTCCTATGTCAATTATTATATTTTTTTAGTATAACTCACTTTTTCTGTAGGCCATATGGCCACCCGATGGTGCCTGATCACCACATCCACCAAAAATGACTGAAAAAAAGTTTTTTTATCTTGTTTTTGTTTTTTTGAATAGCATGAAAAAAACCGAAGTTAAAAAAATAACTGAAAGTCCCCGCAGCAGACAAGGAAATCGATCGGCGGTCGATCACCATCCCGACCAACATCGCTGAAAATAAATCAGTGAGTTTTGAATACATTTGTGCCTGAAAACTTGAATTTATCATTATTTCTTTGATCTAGAAAAACTGAAATCAGAATAAAAAAATGTGATAATCACCGCAAAAACAATAATACATTCAATGGACTGGAAAACTCACGACGCCGTGTGATTGTTTTGATTGCTGGCCCCGCAAGTTCTGCAGGGGCCAGGTCCTGCAGCCTCTTGCAGTGGAACCGGTTGTGCGTCTTCCAATCAGGCATACCGAGGTTCCTGCAGTGGCCGCACTGTAATGATGATACTATTAATAAACAAAACCCTAAAAACCTGAAAACTTGTCGTTTTGTGAAAAAAAGCCGTGTTTATATCTTCAAGCATCTAAATTTTTAACTCACAGTGTTTCGATGCGACCTGCGATAGCCGCCAGACGCGAAATAATCGGGTCAAAAAAGCCGTGGCCACAACCCAGCACCGCGTTTTTTCTTTTTTTGTTCTGACTGGCGGCTGATTACCACTCCAACAAAGATCCCTGAAAAAAAATATCCACTTTTTTATTCATTTTTTCTATAACTATTCAGTTCATTCTCGTGTTGGAACAAAAACTGAACTTCTCAATAAAAAGTTATAGAGGTTTTTTTATTTAATGAATGATAAAACTTTCTTTCCAACTTGTCCGAAAAAAATGATTCACTGACATAAAAAAACTTTAATTCACATTTAGAAAAAAATGGAATAACGCAACTTTTTTTCTCGAATCTATATTTGTCATTGTTAATGCTCGAAATGGGTTTTCTTGACTGAAAATCACATGAATTTGTAACGTATGTTGCCATATAAATTGAACTTGCCTTCTGGGGGACCAGGAAACTGCGTGAACCATCCTTCTGCGAAAGGAACAAAAACCTCTTGGTTTTGGGTCCACATGCCGATGAACATCACTTTCCCGTTCAGATGGCTGAAAGAAAAATTTTCGATTTTAAATAAACCTAAATGAATTAGTCAATTTTCTTTTGTAAAGTCAAGAAGCAGGAATAAAAGAAAAAATTTTTTTCAAAAGAAAAGTTACTGACCTCGTTTCTGAAGCCCCAGCGAGCCTTTGCTCTTTTCCCTCTAAGTTTTTTCGGTGGGCCGCTCTATTGGTGGTTCATCACCATCTCATCCAGCATTTCTGAAAATACCACTTTATTTCTTTCATTTTCAAAACGAATTTCTTTCTTTTTGTGAAAACTCACTTTTTTGGGGCTTCGATTCCAGACGTGAGATTCAGAGCTTACAAGACCAATACCATGCCATCCAACATGACTGAAAAAAAGAGATTCAAAAAAAAATTAGTCAACTTGTTGTAGTATAGAATAGATAAAAATTATCTTTTAGGCTTACCGTTAATTCGGAAAACTGCCTCATAAGTCCGAGCCGATTTCGACGCATGACGATCACCACCCCGTCCAAAATGACTGAAAAATGTTGACTTAATTCGAAAAAATTCTTTTTTTTCAAAACTATGAAACAAAAAATTATCTTCATTTCTTTTTCCTATACCAATTAGAATATTCTTTCCAGTAAAACTCACTTTTCTGTAGGCCATATGGCCACCTGATGGTGTCTGATCACCATATCCACCAAAGTGACTGAAAAAAAAGTTTTTATCTTGCCTATATTTTGTTTTTTGAATAGCATGAGAAACCGAAGTTAAAGAAAAGTACCTGAAAGTCTCCACAGAAAATGAGCCCGCTCCTTCTGCATATTCGCCTGGCGAATCGCACACAAATGCCCGTGTCCGCAACCCAGGATTGCGATTTTGGCTTTCTTTTTTTTTCATTTTCTGAAAGAGGAAGAATGATTTTGAAACATCCAACGAACATCCCTGCAAAAAATTCCCCTCTGCTCATTTTTTCTTTCATTTTCGGAGTGGAACGAAAATGAACTCCCTAATAAAAATTTTAGGAATCTATGCAGTTCATAAATTTTATAATTCCAAATAATTAAAGTGTTCTTACTTCATGAGAAAGCTCTGTTTCTTGCAGGGAAGTTGCAGGAAAGCACAAACCTTCCTGATGCCGCTTGATCATCTTCCTTTCCTTCAGGTTGATAAACAGCATTCTGTCGTTTCTATTGGTGATTCATTACCACTTCGTCCAAGATTACTGCAAGAAAAAATAATTTAGTTTCAAGAAAATTTTTTTCTCTTTTCTCAAAATTTCAACGCAGCAAAAGTTTCTTTCATTTATCTTGCCTATATCAAATAAAAATCTTTTTTTCAATGATAACTCACTTTTCTGAAGGCTCTATGGCCATCGGTTGTTGTTGATTTGCCGGAAGGACAAACGGCCACTTGCTGGTGTCCAATCACCATCTCCACCAGAATGACTGAAAAATAGATTCATGAGTAAAAAAATAGATTTTTCAAAATGTAAGGCTTAAAAATAATAATTGCATTCTGTTTTTCCATTGTTGGTTCTTCCTTTTTTTCGAAAAATCGGAAAAAAAGAAAAAAACCTCTACAGTTACTTTTCAAATAATTTTTTTCGGAAAATTGAATGAAACGCTTTTTCAGAAGTGTGAATAACTGAAAAATAAAAAGAAAAAAACCTGGAAGTCTCCACAGCAAATTAGAAGATGAGCCCGCTTTTTTTCTCGACAGTAGCCAGGTGCCAATAAATCACGCCAAAATGCCCGTGTCCGCAACCCAGCACTGCGGGTTACGGACACGGGCATCCATTTTGGGCATCCATCATCCATTTTATCACCATTTCCACAAAGATCACTGAAAAAAATAATATTCACTTTTTCTTTGAAAAATCAATAGAATACTTTTTTTATGTTTTTCTTAAACCGAAAAAAATTCGTTTCTGGAAGCACATTTTTTTCAATAAAAAAATCCGGAAATTCTGTTTCAAAAATTTTATTCATTTTTTTCCCCCTTACAACAAAAAAATTAGGCATTGAAAAAAACAAATTTTTTTGAACTTTAAACATTTCAAAAATAGGAATAAATCAAAAATTAAAAATTGTTCATCTCACTGCTGTTAGAAAGTTTAAAAAAACTCACGTTTATGTAGGATATTGGGCGCCGCCGTTCCCCTTTGGGATTTTAGTCCGGAATGCAGCTTCTTCGTGGTTTCCACCCACGAAGACTGTCAAGATGTGGGGCGACCTCAAGAAATATAACATTCACGAAAAAGCTCTCCGTAAAAATGAATTATTAATCAAGAACTTCCGAACGACCAGATTAGGAATATTTTGATAACAAAAATGAGCAAAATCAGATAAAAATTCTTGCAAACGCGTAAAATATAAGGTCCGAAACCAAAGATGTACCTTTTCTCCAGAGTAGTAATGGTAGAAGTCCTGAAGCGCTTTGTCCTCGCAGGAATGGACGCGCTTGAAGGACGAACCGCGACAATTCGTTTGGCCTGTAAAATAATAAGAATAAATACGATAAGGAAACTGAGAAAAAAAAACGAAGAAGTTTGTTTCAGCGAAAGTTCAACCGAGGGGTAAAAAAGGTTCCCTGGTAAAATTCGTGAAAAAAACTGTACAAAAGATTTTGATTTTATAGAGGTTTGTAATATTAGAACCTTGAAAAAATACCAGAAGTTTGGAGCCACAAGCGTTCCTAATTTGAGAATTTTTTGAACCTCTTCGAGCAGCAAGTCATCACATCAAATTCCTCTGTTGATCACAAGGTTGTCGTTGTTTCCATTGGTAGTTGATCACTACCCTCTCCAAGATCCCTGCAAAAAATTACTTAGATACACAGGATAACCTTCGAATGTTTTTTTCTTAGTTTTTTAAAAAAAAAACCTATTTTTTTCATTTTCTCACTTATTGAACATCTTTCTTGTTCGGAAAACTCACTTTTTTGTTTCTTTCTGGCGCCGATCAATCGGTGATCGATTACCACCCCGACCAACATCGCTGAAAATAAATCAGTGAGTTTCGAATAATACATTTCTGAACATCCCTGAAAAAACATATACTAACTTTTTCATTCAAATTTTCTGTAACTTTTCAGTCCATACTCGTATTGAGACAAAATTGAACTTTGAAAAATTCCGTTTTTTTAGTAGTGCACGGAAATGGATTTTCGAAATTTCAACAGGTACCAATTTCAAAATCGTTATTGAAGTTTTTCTTCTTTTAAATGATATATATAAATTTTATTCCTCTCCAACTTTGAGAAATATAATCTCGCATAAGTCGAAATAAGGCGCCCCAGACCGATAACTACTTATGATCGTTGGCATCCAAAAGTTCGGAAGGGGCAAAATCTGACCTGGTGAGTTGGGTTTTTTTTTCCATTTTTCACGTTTCCAAATAACTTAGAAAGCAGTGGATGAACTTTCAATTATTTAATTTTCGTACCATTTCGGTGGACGACAATGTTTGCACGGAACGTTTGACCTCTGGCGCCATTTTCGAACCAATTCTGAAAAAAGTGAATAGTTTTTTGATAGTCTGTAACTGACGCCAAGAATTTCGGACGTCAACGTGAAAAAGTTGCAAGTAAAATACAGTAGCAGGTAATTGTTTTTTTTATTTTTCAATCAATAATTTTTTGATATTGGTGTAATTCAAACGTAGTCAAGAACTCACAATCCCTCTGATTCTTCCAAATATGCTTTTTTTTTAAATGTATCTATATAGATTGGACGAGCAACCAGCAAGGTTTTTCAAAGTTATAACTGGTCGACGAAAAAAGTTGCGCCAGGTTTATAGTCCAAATAAGGCTCTAGGAAGGAAAAGTTTTCGAAAATAAAGTTTTGAGCTAGAAAATTTTAGAAGTTACTCGTTTAAAGATAACGGAAGGAGCAGAAAACCCCCATCGGTTTCTCAGCCAGCGGAGTCATTGGAACCGTCCAATGCAAAAAATTTTTACGTTCAATTGATCAAAAATAAAGAGTAACCCGCTTTGTATTCCTGAGGCCCTGCCGACGCTTCGCCCTCTTCGCCCCAAATTCTGGCTGCTTCGTTCGCGGCTGATCACCATCCCGCACAACATTACTGAACGAAGACCTACTTTAGTTCAAAAAAAATTTTTTATCCATGTCACATGACTTCGTAATTTTCTTTTTGAAGAGTCCTACATAAATATACGCGGATCCTTCAAAACTTTGTTTTTGTAAAGTCTTCTTGCCTAAAAATATTCTATACCGGGGTTTTACTTTCAAAAAAAACTCATTTTGACAAATTTTGCAGGAAAATCACAAACCTTCTACATGCTGGTTGATCTTGTTCCTTCTGTAGATAGCTGAAAATAGGCCTTGCTGACTGGCGTTCTTCACGAAATATTATTTGTGTTGATCAAAAACATTTCGTAGTTCCAGATGGTGGTTCATCACCATCCCGTCCAACATTTCTGCAAAAAAAAAAAATTGATTTCATTTGAAAACAGTTCTCTTCTTCTCAAAAATCTCGAAAGAGATCTCTACTTGTTTTTTTCTTGTTCAATTAACCTTTTTTTTCCAATAAAACTCACGTTTCTGTCAGTCCTGGTACCACTCGATGATGGTCCATCACCATCCTCACCAAAATGACTGAAAAAGTTGCTTGAAAAAAAAACAATAATCAAAATTAGAAAGATCAAAAAAATGTTTTTTTTTTCTGAAATTGGTCGAAAAGAGTCCACCTGTTCATAGGCTTCATTCCTAACTTTTTTTTCAAAAATTTTAATTCAACGTAAAATTATAATTTAACGTAAAGTTAAATTCAAACTTACTAGTTAGATGAAAAAACCTGAAAATCCCCGCGAAGATGGAATCGCCTCGCGCGAAAAAATCGCGTCCATAAACCCGTGTCCGCACTCTAAAACCGTATTTTTTTCGCTTGTTTCTTGTATCATTTCCCTACTTTTCCTACTCATTTTTTTCTGAGAAAAAAATTCTTTTTTTAAGTAATTTTGACAATGAACAATATAGGAGCTATAGAAACTATTTCAATTTTTTTCAGGAACTTATTCTAAGAATGGAGTCTGAAAGTTCAGGAAAAAAACTTAGAAAGTGATCGAATAAGGTTTTCCTGACTGGAAAAATATCTCATATAAAAAGAACTTGCCTTCTGAGACGCCGGGCGAATGCGTGAACAATCCTTCTGCGAAAGGGACAGCAACGTTTGGTTTCTGTGTCTTGCTGTCACTGAAGGACATCACCATCCCATTCAAGATGACTGGAAAAAAATTTACAATTTCCAATAACTAGAAAAATTCGGTGGTATGAAAAAAATCAGCGAAAAATTAAAACGGCAACTTTTCCGATTTTTTTTCATATCGCTAAGGAACTTTCCGACGGCCACTTTTCCGACGAATCCCTTTCCAAATTTTTACCCTTGTATTTTTTTCGGTTTATAAAACATCTATAAACATTTTTTTTCCCTGTTTCTTTGTGTTTCAATTATGATCCAGTTACCTACTTTATATAGGCAGATTTAAAACGAAGATTTTATCGAGAAAAAAAGTCGGAAAGATTCGTCGGAAAGTTCCCTAGCAATATGAAAAAATCGGAAAAGTCGCCGTTTGAATTTTCGCTTGTGTTTTTTCATACAACCGAAAATTCAGTCCACTTTTTCTGAAAGTTAAAATGCGGGAAAAAATATTTGTTTTTGGAGAAGAAAAGAAACTAACCTATTCGTTTTAAAGCCCCACTTTGCTTTCTTCGCCCCGAATGTTTTCGGTTGGCACCTTTTTGGTGCTTCATCACCATCCCGTCTAGCATTCCTGAAAAAATCATTTCATTTTTTTAAATAAAAAAAAGCGGTACAAAGGCATAAGAAGAAGGAGAAGAAAAGGTTTTCATAATTAAAGGGGGAGGGGAAGTAAAATTGCGTTTTTCTTCAAAATTAGTCCTATCTGTAATTTTTTTGATAACGCCGTTTGATTCGCATACGAAAACTATATAAGATAATGCTGTCACCTGAAACCTCTTTATTCCCTGCCCCTATGCCGTTTCAAAGGAAATTAGCTAGTTAAAATTCACAGAAAAAAAAGTTGCAGTGTATCCGCGTCGGCTAGGAAAATAAACAAATCGCTTGGTGATGAGCAGAAGTGACCTCGAGATGAATGTGGCAAAAAAAGCGTCGCTGAGGTTCGAAAGAGATGTGATTTTGCCGAAGGGAAAGTTGAGTATATCTGCTTCTGTTGAGAGTAGTTTTAGGCAAACCTGAAACAGAAAAGACAATGAAATTACAGGAATTACAAGAAAAAGCAGTGTCTATCAGAAATCAAAAGCGTGAATTTTGTCTCAAAACGACAAGAGCCATTTTATAATTTTTTTTTTTTTTTTCGAAATCGGTCGAAAGAAAAATCTAGCGATAGAATCAAACTAACAAGGAAACTTTTTTTGACCCCTGGTTCAACTTTTCATGGAACTATGTTTAAATGTAGTTGAGGAGCTCCTGATTACAGAAAAAAAGTTTTATCAAAGTAATTTTCGTCTTTTGAAGATTCATAAATCGAAAGCAAAATTTATTACTTGAAATATTTTTCTACTTCTAAGGTTTGAAGATTCTAAAAATGCATTTTTGGGCAACTTCCATCAGAAGTTGAACCAGGGGCTAAAAATTTTTCTTTTTTTAATGAAAAAAGGTAACTATTGGAATATTGATAGATCAAAAAAACAGTCCCGCCTTAACACACCACCTACTTGAGGGAAAGAATGCCGCTTAGAGATTGGAGTATCCCTCGTCAGGCACGCCAGAACCCACTTCGGCAGACGCCATGAAAACGGCAAAGTACTCGAGATTTCTGCACAGAACCGTTTTGATGATGCCGCTCAAAATAAAATTGATTATTAGAAGAAAACTTCGGAAAGAAGCATTTTCAGAAGAAAAAATAGCAAAATTTTGATTTTGGAGGCGATTGAGAAACAAGTGACTTTTCAAGAAGAAACTTCGTTCCTCAATGAAAACTCACATCGACAACTCCAAGTTCAAAAGATTCAAGTATGTAGTCGTCGTCGCTTTGGATGGCTAATATACGTTTGATGAGAAATTTTAGAAAATTCGTAAGAAAAATCAAAACTACCGTGTTGAGTTCCTAAAAGGCTCCTATTCTCCTCCTACAGTTGCATTGTTCAACCGTCAAGCGCCAAACTCCCAATCGATCAGCATCGAAAAAGTTCTTTTAGCGCCTTTTTGAGTTCTGCGTCGTTCTCCTAACGTCAACTTTTGATCAGTTGGAAAAGTAATAAAAAAATCCTTTCAGAACCAAGAGAAACATTAAATTTTGGAAAGGCGTCATTCGAATTTTTTTCCTTCTGTAAAAGTTGATTTGAAAACGATCGGATGATTTGAAACATTCAAAATTGGAGCGAAGACCTTTCGATTTCAATGATAGGAAGCCAAAAAATGAAATTATCTTACGCAATAATAATTTCAAAATTAAGACAATGGGTTAACAAGAAAATAACAAGAAAAAAGCGCAACGAGAAAATTTTTTGGTGCCCATTTTTTGGACAAAACAACAAATAACAGCGTTAGCAACAGAATTCAGATGAATTGAGAAAGAAATTTGTTTTCGGAAGGTTTTTCTCGTTAGTCATTATCTTCAATCCTTGGATCGAAGACCTCGGTGAGGGCATCCACTTCCTGAATTTTGATATAATCATATTTTTCTCGGATTTCAATACCGCAGTTGGATGAATTTCGTTAGTCTCCATTAAATCATCAGTGGAGGAAGTCAAAACCTTGAAGTTAAGTTTAAATTTTTTTTCTTTTCGGAAGTCGACAAACTTCTCCGTTATACTTCTCCTCGACGCAGTCTTGCTCTTCCACGGTATGAGGATCCCAAGGCACTTTTCCAATCTTAATTAGCCGTAAATTGTTCAAAACTGATCCATGCTACTGATCAGTAGTATACAAACTTTGCGTTTACTATCTGAGAAAAAAAACCACATAAAAACTCACTGCTCCGCTCAAAGGTTCAATTGCTGCCTGATGAACTTCATTTTGTTCCTGAATTTAAAAATTGAATAAAAACTTCTTACCAGAAATTCAAAACCTCAAAAGTGTGTACTTGGAAATCATCAACCGCTGACTCCATGTGATCTTCGTGATTAGCAATTTCCTTTGAGTTTTCCGTGGAAAGAATCAAACCCTAAAAATTAAGTTGCACTTTTTTTCGTGAATTGACATACTTCTCCGGGATATTTCACCTCGTCGAGATCTTGCACTTCCATTGTATGAGGCTCCCGAGGTATTTTGTCCACCTTAAATAATTCTCAATTTCTTCTCAAAGATAATCCATGTCACGGATCAATAGCAAAAGTAACATCTTCCACGCTAGCCAAAAGGTTAAAAAACTTACTGCTCCGCTCAAAGGTTCAATCGCTGCCTGATGTACTTCGTTCTGTTTCTGAAATTTTATATTTGAAAAAAAGAACTCTTCCCAGAACTTCAAAACCTCAAAATTTTCTACTTGGAAATCATCAACTGACTTCGTGAGATCTTCGAAATTGGCAGCCTCTCTAGGATCATCCGTGGAAAGGATCAAGACCTTAAAAATTGATTTGCACTTTTTAAAAAATGTACATACTTCTCCGGTAGATTTTCCCTCGATGCGATCTTCAACTTCCATGGTATGAGGCTCCCGAGTTTCTTTGTCAATCTTAAATAATTCTTGATGTTCTTAAAGTTAATCCATGCTACGGATTAATAGCAAAAGTGACATTGATTTCTCTAGCCAAAAGGTTAAAAAACTTACTGTTTCAATGGAAGATGCAACTGTGGTCTGATGTGCTTCGTTTTGTTTCTGAATTTTAATATTGAAAAAAAAAACTTCTTTCCAGGTTTCAAAAACCTCCAAGTGTTGTACTTGGAAATCATTAACTGCTGACTCGGTGTGATCTTCGTAATCAGCAGTTTCCTCTGAGTCTTCCGTGGAAAGAATCAAAACCTTAAAAACTAATTTACACTTTTTTTCAAAAATCTACAAACTTCTCCGGCAGATTTCTTCTCGATACGATCTTGCACTTCCACGGTATGAGGCTCCCAAGGTATTTTGTTAATCTGAAATAACTGTGGTTTTCAAAAGAAATCCATGCTACTGATGAATAGCAAAAAGAAAATTGTTTTCGTCAGCCAAAAAATTAAAAAAACTTACTGTTTCACTCGTAGGTGCAATTAGTTCATCAACACATTCTGGGAGATCATCATAGTCTGCAGCTTCTGGTGAACCGTCGGTGCAGGGAGTAAAGCTCTTCAAAATAGTTTTCTTTCTTTTAACAAAAATCAACGAACTTCTGTTTTCGAGTCATTCTCGACGCGATCTTCCAAAAATAATGTTTTGAAGTTTGTCTCGAGCTAAAATAAATTCTGTTTATATCGGGATGACTGCGAATTCAAATTTATGAAATATCATCAGCTGTTTTTTGCACCTTTGTTCGTTTTTGAATTGGTTCGTCCGTATGGATCGCCTGAGATTCTTGACCGTACGATGTCAAAAGTTTGACAATCTGAGAAGATTGATCTTCCTCCTCAAGCCCTTCGTCAAACGTCTGAAATTAAAAAAATGTATTAAGATTATAATTTTACTATTTCTTGTTGTTTCTTACGACACGACTTTTTGCAAAAAAATTTAAACGCTATGAAAAAAACTTTTTGGAACAGTTTCTTGATTTTTCGAGTCAAACCGTAAAAATTTTCAACAAGTTTGAATAAATTTTCTCGATGTGCCATACCTCAGGTTCAAAAGGATGCCACTTTCTCTCCTCCAAAAAGTTCTCGAGAGCTCTGCTGAGCTCATTCGATTCCATTTTGGCGGATTCAACCATGTGCAGCCGCTCCTCGAGATTGGCTATCACCGCTTGAAAAGCAGCCCTAATGACTTCTCTGGTTGGAAAATTCAGGCCAATTTTACGCTCCCATCTTGCGTGGTATCTTTTGAAGTTTTTCCACCGTTGTTTGGGATCTTTAGTTATTCGACACAATGTCGTCTCGTTTTCTTTCAATATAGTTAGAATCGACTGGACGATATAATGGGTGTGTTTCTGAAAAAAATAATGAAAAAAATTATTCGGAAGTTTCTGATATGAATAGGGTATAGTCAATTTTTCCGAATTGGAAAGTTAGATCTGCAGACTGGCAAGCGTAACCCCGATAAAAAGTTTAAAAAAATGAATTTTTTTCCATATGTACTTCTAAAAAGTTCTACTGAATTTCTTCCATAAAAATATAATTAAATGAAAAACTGTCAGAAAAGCAGAAAAGCCGCGTTGCGTAACCCAACGCTTCATTATTGACAATCTGCTCATCTTGCTTCAAAAATAGGAGAAAATGTTTAAAAACCAACCCTCTCGGGGTCGTCATTCGCGTGAATCAGATAAAAGTCGAAACGCTCTTTTACGAAATTGAAGTGACGGCAAAGTTCATCATGGAAAGCGGCATCGATAGTGCGTGCTTGAGCCAATCGAGTCCAAAAGTCGATAGCTAGAGAGTGCCATTCTTTTACCTTCATTTTTTTTTTCTTGTCGGAACGTATTCAATGAAATTTCGCAAACTTGTTCAGTTGTCGGTAGCACCATTTGGCCGGATTGTTCGCTCTCCAGGCCCAAAATCTTCTCTTCGTACGCTATTTCTGCTTCCTTCATTCGCAAAGAACGCATTTCGTTCGTTTTCTTTTTATTCTCTTCGACGTATTTGAGAAATCGGACCTTTCCATCTTCGACTGTTGATCTTTCTCCAATTCTTTTGGTCAGGATGACGTCGAATGTGTTTAACTGTAATCAGTATCGTAGACTATGTCAGAAAAATATGATTATTGATATTTCGGATATCGCGACAGCTGGAATTTTCCGCCTAATCAAATTCATTCATCAAGTTGGCGAAAACCTCTGTCATATATATTAAAATTTCTCTTTTATTATCAAGAGCTGATGAAAAAAACTTAAAAAAATGAAACGAAAAATATTGTTTTTTTCTACACATCCTCTAAAAATGAATAAATAAACTGAGAGCTTCGAGATTTATATTTCGAGCTTTGATTTGTTTGAAAAGTGCGAGGGGCTCAATATGGGTTTTTTTCACGACGATTTTTCTCAGTGATGCTGATTTCTTGATACCGAAGCAAAAAAACCTTTTCTTGAAAAATCGAGATAAAGTTTGTTCATCGTCGATTCGTGCAAAAAAACGTTTTCGACCATTCATCTTTCCTCGTTGAGCCTGAGACAAAAATACAATTTTTGAATGAATTTCGAAATACATCTTATCATTCGGCATCAACTTCTCAACAATTTTTGTTGAAAAATTATATTCTGCAAAAAATGATTAAATTTTGAAGAAAGGAGTTGGCAATAAACCATTGAAATCACAAAGAAAACCAAAATTTTTTTCACATTTCACTGGAAATAATATCGGAAGTTTACCAAAAATGACAATATAAAAAGAACTCTTCAAAGCGTAATTCAATTCAACAAAAAAAGAGTGAGTCATTTTCAAAGAATAATTGGAAGAGGGCGTGGATATCTTTGAGAATCTCTTCCGATACTTTCTTGAATCGAGAGAATGTCTCTGGCGATTTGAACAGCTTTCTTCGCAGCTTCTACAGAAGCACTCATGGAAAGTATGTCCGGCATCTCAGGGGCCTGAAATTATTATAAACGATGACTAAAAAAGTTCGCTGACAAGGAAGATCAAGGTAATTTTATCTTGAGTTTAGGAACTTCCTAAAAAGTTAGGCATACAACTCATTGACGTACCAGAGAAAAAGGTGGAAGGTCTCAACCTGCAAAACGCATTAGTTTTTGAGAAACAAAATCGCGAACCCTTTAAACAGCTTTTTTTTAGTTTTTTTCAACTTTGAGATTTTCTTTTTCAAAAACTTGAAAGTTTTGCAAGTTGAGACTGACAAAATCCTCAGCTGGTACATCAAGGAGTGTTTTGACAATTAAAAAAAAATCGCAACTGCAAAATCAAATAACCTACTTTGTGAAAAATGAATCTGAAAATTCTTCTTATTTTCATTTTGAGCCACCAAAGGGCAGTAAGTTCATAATACTCACCGTAGCGTCTTCAGGATTTCCTTCAGAAAAAGCCGAGCTTGAATTTCATCATGTTTTTCTTGAAATTTTCCAACTTCCAAATCCTAAAAAGTTTTTTTATTAATATGTCCCATAAAGATCAAAATACATTATATTGATCCATTTTTGTCTTTTTGTTGCTTCTCATACGACAGAAAATGGAGATTTATTTCATCTTCGTATATTTTCCGCTTTTTTTCAAAATTTCCCAGTGTTTCCTGAAAAAAAAAACGGAGCTTATGTATCAACAATGAAATACCTGCAAAGTTTCCCCTAAAACAAAGTCGGCCTTCTTTTCGTCCTCTTCGAGAGTGTTCGTCTGAAAAGTTTCCGGTTGTGATGAGATTCAAATTTTTTTTTCGAGAAAACTTTTCGTCAATTTCAAAACACCTAATGAGAACAAATCTTTTGAGTAATTTGGGACATAATATTGCGCTCATCATTTCAAAAACGATTTAGTTAGATCGCAAATTACTACTTCGTGACGTCACTTCATCACCTTATTTTTAAAACAAGAAATACAGGAGTAAAAAAATTTTTTTTTATATACACATGTAATTAAAGTGAGAAATTGGAAATTGATGGGAGCAGCCTGTAATTGTGCCTCTGCAATAAAAACTTCCCAGTTTGCGTTTCCTACGCTTTGATTTTTTTCGGTGAAGATTTTTAAATGGATTGAAAATGCAACTGTAGGAGTTTTGAGGGCACTGGTCCCCAATTGGGAATAGAAAACAAAATTATAAAATCGTTTTGAAATTTTTTCAAGAGAGTAAGAAAATCGAAGAATAGAAAATGAGAAAAATTTGATACATATCTTTTCTTTCTGTTTCTAATTTGACTCAAAGTAAACACGTCGTATTCAATAAATATATTCCGTATGCGGAATGTTAGGTCAAGATGACGTCACGGAGTAACGACTTTCGATTAAACTGGAAGTAAAAAGTAAGCCAAAAAAACTTACACTTGGAGATCCAACTTCCGTCTCATCCACTTGGTTTTCTTTCTGAATCCGAAATTAAAGAACAGATTTCTCGAAAAAATCTATAACCTCCGAGTCTTTCACTCTGGAAGAATTCTCAACTGGTCCTGGTTGACCTTTGACATTGGCCGCCTCATTGACTTCAGTAGAATTACTCAAAGCCTTAAAAAAATGATGTAAAACTTTTTTGAAAACTGACAAACTTCTCCATTCGAACCGTCCTTGATGGAATCTCCCGAACGACTTTTATCAGGTTCTTCTTCTAGCTATAATTAGTTCTTTTATTTCAAGTTTCAAGTTAGAAAGGATTTTTCTGTACCTTTTGACTTTGCTCTTCTAGTTCGCCCGCGGGAAGCGTCGCAGAAGTTTTTTTCTTGCAAGTCTTCTGAGGGATTTGGTTGGATCGACACTGTATTCTCGAGCTCAACCGTTACGACCGTCTGAATTCAAAAATCATATGATTTTTTCTATTTTATCTACTTCTTCATTTTCACGACTCGGTTTGCTGACAGTTTGATCTTCATCAGAAGTCTTTTTTTGAATCTCCAAATTGGGCTGTGAAAATTTTGACGGTTTTAGAAGTTTTCTTCAAATTAGTTATACCTGAGAACTTCTCTTCATAGCTTCACAATGAAATCGCTTTTCTTCCACCAAGCGCACAAGGCCGTCGCGCGTTTCATTCGCTGTTATTTTGTCCGACTCAATTGTTTTTAGTGTCTCCTCGAAGGTGATTCGAAGTTGATGTATCGCCGATCGAAATCGTCGGCTATTAATGACAACAGGGGGATTGCGCTTATATTCACGGCAATAATCATTGAATCGATTCCTCTGTGCTTGTGCCATATTCGCTATCACATTCAATTGCGCCTCATTTTTTTCAAAAATGTTTGAAATCTGTCCGACAGCTTCAGACAGGGGATCCTGAAAAGCAAAGAGAGAATTCGTCTCGATAAATGGTTCTTTTTGAAAAAACTCATATTAAGAAAAAATAAAAAAATAAATAAACTAACTTTTTGGAAACGACTGTTTAGCTTGCCGTTTATCATTCCAAAATGATCTTTCAACAAAGTAAGTTGATCATAAACATTTTGATGAATTTCGGCATCTTGATCTCGGAATGATTTCAATTCTTCCCAAGTTGACACAGTGCTGTGGGCTCCTGGAAGCTGTCGGCAAGTGTATTCCATCCGGGTTTTTTCAAAAAGTTTTCCAAAAAAGTCTTTTTGTTCTTGTATTTTCAGTAATATTTCTCTTTTCCCGCCGAGATACTGCTTGAAGTTGTTTATCTGAAATTTCTTATCATGAAGCGCATAAAAAATATGCTTTGTGCTTGATTTTTTTTCTTAAAAAAATTTTTCTCAGCTTTTTTTGCGTGAAATTCCAAAAAAATTCTACTTTACAGTTAGAAAAACTTGAAATTTTTTTGAAAAATCAAATTTATTTCCACTTTCTTTTTTTCATTTTTTTTGCGGTTTCCCTCTATTTTCCGGTTTTGAAATTTGTTTTTCTCAATAATTGAGTTATAGCAATATTTTTTTATTTGTGTTCAAGATAGTTTATGAATGATATCGTTTATTTATCGTTTTGAATGAAAAATTTTTTTTTGTCAAAAAAATTTTTTTGTTAATTGTGGTATCCAATCGATTGGTGAATCGATTCGATACCAATAATAATCATGCTCTCGTGGACATTAGTGCGAGATTCCATTGAATATGGTTTTACCATTTTTAAAAGTTTTGAAAAAACCTAGTGTGAATTCCTTTTTGTTTGCTGTTGTATGTGGAAATAAAGCTCTTAAAGGAACCGTAAGCCATTTTTTCAAAATGATCCAAAATATGTTTTTTCTCGCTCTTCGATAAAAGGAATTGTCAATATTCATAATCAGTTTCCGAAAAGAGGGCTCACTAAGAAACTAGTTATAGCCAAAAAAGTAGCGCACGCGGCGTTCAACTAGAGACCTAATCTCACGGTTTACCAGCTGTTTCTTAAATTGAAGTGAAACTGTTGAATGGAGTCCTAGGAATTTCTTCCAATCATTTAAGTTTGCGCTTATACGAAAAAAATCACCAATTCCTGAAAGGTCAAAGGCTTCTCTTCGTTTTGAGAGTCGTCGCAGGTAGGCATTTGGTAGACAAGGTTTGCGTTGTATTTAACCTGAAAATAGAAGATGATTTCTTTTAAATCAAAAAAGTTCTAACCTGCGAAACGGACATTTTCTTGTTTTGTTGAAGCTGCAAGAAATCACGTATCAACCTTGAAAAATCGGAAATTGAAAAATCGGAAAAAAAAATCGGGAAAAAAAATAGTACGGAAATGCAGAAAGTAGTTTGGTATTGAACCAATCAAATGGCAATGAAACTCGAAGAAAGAATTTGTGACATTTTATTGACAATGAAATCAATTGATTATTTTAATCTTTCAGAGATCGGAGAAATCAAAAAAATTGAGGATGAGCACAAAAAAATCTCGAAAGCAAAACTTTGTGAAATCAATGAAAAGTCGGTACAATCCGTTTCGGTCAGATTTCTTTCATTTGATCTCTGACTCTTTCTATGACAACAATTTCTGTCGCCGTTTTCAATATCTTTTTGATATCTTCGACGGATTCTTCGAATTCTTTCCACGAAGAGGAGTCGTCCGCGAGTTCGTGAGCCTGCAATCAATATATGTTACAAAATTGTTCTTAAATTTTGAATAAACAGAAAAATTATTTTTTTTCTAGTTCAGAGTACCTAAATATTCAACTACACATCAAAGAGTCTGTAACTATCTCTCTAGAGAAACACACCTTGATTTTCTTCATGTGTTCCTGGAAAGTTGCTATTTCCTGATCCTGAAATTATTCACTTTCACAAATGTCTCTTTGAACATTTAAAGTACCTGAAAACTTTCCAGCAGTTGTTTCCTCCTTCGGCTAAATATTTCAACAAGGCGATTTTTTTCATCAAGAAAATCTGCTTCTGCAGCCTGCAGTTTTTGGAGAGACAACTGAAAAAAATTACACCGTTCATTTAATTGGCAAGGAGTACTACCGAATTTTGCGAATCGATAGAGTCGCCCATTTCGGTTCGCTTTGCTGAAGGGTCCTGAAAAACTCTGAAGCTTCTTGATTTTCGAAATTTTTCGTTATGGAAGCAAATTGTGTCAGACAGTTCAAAGAAGACGTCTATTGGAAGTTTTATCGACTTTTGTTTTCCACTGTTTTACGTTGCCTTGTTTGCCGTTGTATGAGGAAGCTTTCAAGTAGTTTTAAAAGCGAACAAAAGTCAGTTCAAATATAAAATACATAAAAAGTTTCCATTGATGATTGGATAAAATTGCCCAAAATGAAGTGAAAAGCTTCTGGCTGTGGCTTTTTGGCGACCAAAATTTTTTGCCTGGCGACCAAAATTTTTTGCCTTATCTGCGCCGAATAAGTTCAAGGCAGCTAAGTAAGTACTGTAATTTCAGATCACATTCGAAAAAAGGAGTTTTTTGCACAACTCATTTGTATGGAAACTCAGTCTTTTTGAATCTTTCTAAAGCTGAGGTTTTTTGTGATCTGATATTCCACCAGAATGTTACAAAGCTTCAGTGTGTTTCAGAAAAATTAAACTAAAACTTCAAGCTATCAAGAAAGTAAGGCCCAAGTTCGGCTAAAACACTCTTAAAAACAATTTTGGAAATTTTGCATCTCCAAAATTAACAAAATTCTCTATTCTCAGAACATCTCCAGGCGACTGCTCATTAAAAATGAAATGATTAGATTCAAAGTCCTAGGGTATCCAATTATAAATGAAAAACCTTCAAAAAAAAATTTCCTTTACCTGTTGAATTTTTTTTGGCGTTTCGGGGGCAAGAATCCTGGCAGAAACCTCTGGATGTGAATTTTTCCGAGGTTTTCTTTTTCATTTTCTGCATCGGGTGTTCCGAGAACCTGACATCAAATGATATATAAAATTTGAAGTTTTTGAACCTGGTCTTCGAGGCGAGGTTCATCTTTCACGGCTTCATTTTGATTCTCTCTCGCAGCCTGTAAGAAAATTGATAAACTCAAGAACTTTTTCCCAATTAGTTATACCTCAGGCCGTTTTTCTTCGAGGGCGAAACAGAGCTTCATTAAACTTTTTTCCGTTTCGACGCAAAAGCGCGTTCCCCTTAGGATTTTCAACTTTTCTCCTTGAAAAGTTGACCCGATATCCCTATCCACGGGGTCGAGAGAATCGAAAGCTGCTTGCCATTTTCTTTGTTCCTCATTAAAAGAAGTCGAAAGTCGCTCCATGTTTTTTTTAATTTCCTCCAGCGTCTTCTTGCTTTCTTCGAAAAAGTCAAAAGCAGATTTTCTTGTGTCGCATATCTGAAAAAAACAACAAATAACATCTAGAACAAGATTCAAGCTTTTGATCAGAACTAATTATGTGAAAAAGAAATCAAAAAAAGATTTAGCCGTACCTGTTTTTCAAATTGATCCAAAAACCCGCTGTTCTTTTCTTTCACAGTCCTCAAAAAACTGCGGAACTTTTCTTTAAAGGCCTCCTCTTCTCTCCAAATTTTAACAACAAAAGACAAAAAGCTTTGTTTTTTGCGTAGCCATTTTTTTAGATTTTTTTCGTCGTCTTGATCGTTGAATCGTAAGAAATTCAAAGTTTCTGCCACAAAAGGATGAACATCATGGACGACTGAATGGCTCCGAATTTCACGTTTTCGTATTTTCGCGATATATTCAATAATATTTTTTTCTTCTTCTGCTTTTCGAAGGAATATTTCCAACTCTCCAGCAACAGGCCATGTTTCGGTTAACTTCTGACGGAGGAACGCGTTAAAGCGACCCATCTGAAATCGTCCTCAAAAGTTACGTTGAAAGAGCAAATTAATGTTGCTTAGGATATTTGTTTTATCGAAATTTTGGTGGTATGAAAAATAAGTCAGCGAATTTTCAAACGGCAATTTTTCCAATTTTATCATATCGCTGCAGATCTTTCCCACGGAGAAGTTTCCGACGAATTCCTTTCCGACTTTTTTCCCTCATATTTCGGTTTATAAAACATCTATTAACTTCTTTTTTTCCTCTCTTTTTTTGTGTTAATCATGAATCAAAAAAATTGTACCTACTTTAATTAGGAAGATTCAAAACGAAGAGCTTATCGAGAAAAAAATCGGAAAAAGGAATAGTCGGATAAATTTTTTTATACAGCGCTTGGCATAAAGACCGAAATAATTATTCGGAATTACTTCTTTCAAAATTAAAAAAAACTTTTACCGGTTTTATGATAATTTTTTTCAGAGCATAAATCGTCCAAAAAAGTTTTGAAAAAAACTTTTATAGCCAGCACTGCGAAAAATGAGATCTGCACGCGTCCTCTCATTTTTTTCTTTTGTTTGATTCTAACTTTTTAAGAGAACGAGGCATTAAAAAGAAAGTTGTGAATAGTCATTGTTATATTTTTTTGAATTATGTATAGTCAATTTTTTTCCCGACTTGAATTTATTTAAGTTTGTTCTTTTTCACAAAAAAATCACCGTCTCTCGCGGGTCCAATAGTTTTTTTCTTCGTTTTGAAAGTCGTCGCTCGGACGATACTGGTAAATAACGTTTGCGTTGTATTCAACCTAAAAAAATAGAAAAATTATTTTTTTAAATCAAAAAAAGTTTTAACCTGCGAAACGGACATTTTTCAGAGATGTTGTGCTGCAAGAGATCACGTACCAACCTTGAAAAATCGGAAATAGTACGGAAATGCAGAGAGTAGTTTGGTATTGAACCAATCAAATGGCAATGAAGCTCGAAGAAAGCATTTGTGAGTGAGAAATAATTGGTATTGAACCAATGTAAACGCAACACAAATCAAAGAGAAAAGTTTTACATTTTCAAGTAAAATGTTAACAAAAAAAATTCATAGAAAATAATGAGACATTTTAATTTGGACCATCAATAAAGTAGTTCTTTTTTCTCATTTCTTTCATGGCGATAGCTCGTTCGGCGATTTGAACAGCTTTCTCCATACGTTCCACTGAATTTTTCAACGTCTCCCACATGGAACTGTCTTCTGCATCCGGTGACGCCTGGAATTATAGGAAAGTTAGCTCAAAACATTCTCTCTAGTGAGGACATAAAAACTGTAGTTCAAAGCTCCAAAAAATTGGCTTTTTTTCTGAATTTTTCCGAGAAATCGCAGTTCGAAAAACTGAGAAAAAAAATCTTTAGATTAGAAAACATCGTAGCCCCCGGTTGAAATTTTTTCTAGAATCAGGAGAAGATTAAATACATCAAAATTTTAATCAGGGGTTGAAAAAAAGTCCTAGTAAAGTTCAAATGCACATCAGAGTGTCCCTCACCTTCTCTCCAGAAGAACCCAGTTTGAGTTTACACATAACTTCTCGAAAAGCTGTGACGTCGTCATCCTAAAATTATTTCAATATTATCAATAGGTGAAGGTGCAAAATACGTTGTACTTATCCAAAGACTCTTTTCGTTTTTTATCCATTGTCTCAGCAAGGCGATTTATTTTGTCTTGAATAGCTTTTTGCTCATTTCGATAGAATTCTACCGATTCCTGAAAAAAGAAAAACATCAATTATCTTATGTGCAACAAAAAATACATCGTAATCATCAGGATCGCCAGTCGGGGACTTTTTCTGCCTTTTTTCGAGCAATTCGATCTGAAAAAACCTCGGATTGGAATTTTTCATCAAGGATGTTGACCAGTTTTCAAAAAAATAAGTTTTTCAATGATTTTTTTTTCCGAATCCAGTTGAAGCAGTTCAAAAATATACCTGCACTGCTAGATTTTTAAAACCCAAAATCAGAAAAAAAATACTTTGCCTTGACGAAAAGTGAACTAATACCGAAGATCAAGTGAAAAAACAATTTTAACAAGGTATTTTTTCGGTAAGGGCGCTTTTCTCTTTTTTTTCGAGAAGGACGAGATCTTTTTTTTCATGAAATAACAAATATAGTTTGCTCGATTTTTTTAATTTCCACAAAAAAATAAAAAAATGAATATGTCCATCACTTTGCTACTTAATTTTGGTCCTCTACTTTTATTTTAGTTTTTTACTATTCTTGTGAAAAATAACCTTTTCATGTGGATCGAGTGGGACTCCATCAGTTTGAGTATTGTCCAAAAGACGTTTCCGACCGTTATTTTCCGCATTATTTTCAACCTGAAAGAAGTTCCAATTTTCCGATAAGTTTGAAGACGAACCTGTTGAACTGGATTCATTTTTTCGTTTCTCGTGCTTCGGGAGTGCTTCAGCAAAACGACGTATGAACCTTGTGGTAACTAAAATTCAGAATACTCAACTTCTCAATTGGAAAAAAAAATCTGAAATTGGTCTATTTTTTACTGACGATAATATCAAAAGTTGATCAAGTCAATGATATGAAAAAAATTGCAAGTCGAAATTCAAAAGAACTGTTCGATAAAAATCGACAGGTGGAGAAAATTCAGGCTAAGTATATTTATACATTCATTGAATTATTTTGGTTATCTCAATTGTAAATAAACCAAGTAATAAGTTTAATTGAGAATTCATTTAGCAGAATGAAATATATATATATAACTTGGGTTTTCATTATTTTCCATAGGCAATTAACTGGAGAAACGAATTTTGTTTTAAAAACTAACCAATTTTTCCGATTTGCTTCGAAAAAAATGAATATTTTTTTCTGTCATCACAAAAAAATTGAATAGGTGGGAGTCGAAAAAAATATCAAAAAAAGTTGGGTTTTCAGGAATAATGTGGTGGGAATGAAAAACTTCAAAAAAATCCCTGGAGAACCAGAGATGATTGAGAAAAAAAGATGAAACAAAAAAACATATTAAAAAGTTTTAACAACTGTGACCACAGAGACTCTCTACTCTCAAAACCATTCTCAAGGAGACACCAGGAAAATCCGAACATTGATTGAAATAAGGCGGGATAAAAGTAGGATCTGCCGGTCAGGAAGATCTAACTAGATGGTGAGCAGAACTGACCTCTTTAGATAAGAGGCGTGGCAGAAAGTGGCGAGGCTGAGAAATTAATGATGGGTTAACTCCTTACAAGGAAAAAATGATGTGAGTCAAACCAGAATACTGAAAGGATCTTCAAGGAATCCTTACATCAAAAATAAATCAGAAGGGGACCTCGATTCATTTCAATTTGATTCAATTTATCAAGACATCAGAGAAATATATCGAAAAAAGATAATGAGGAAGGAGACCTCATTATCTTTTTTTCATTTATTTTTCAAAGACAGTTATTCTTATTCCGTAGCTTAGTCTCCGTTAAGATTTACATATATAAGGGAAATATCCAAATAATAACACAGAAAAACCATTTTGCTTCAACAACTAACTAAAAAAATATTCAATAAGTTGAAAAAATCAGAACGCAAAAAAAAAATAAAACATTTTTCAGATTTGCCGGAAGAAGTCTGGCCACCGTATTTCCCCAAAAAGTAAAAATACTTTGAGATACCGCTTTTTCGAGCGGCGCCATCAAAACAACACGCTTGACTACAGGCATTCGCCGTACTTCTGGCGTTTGCCGAAGAACGTGTCTGGAGTGGTATTCTACAGTTCTCGGGCGGCCAATAGTCAATTACCCCTAATATTCACTCGGCTCATATTCAAGTAGTCCGGCTTTTTTCCTTTTTTCATTTAACGTCGAAACAAATCCTAATAATCATTCTAAAAAGTCGAAATTTGACATTTCCTATTTTTCCTGCAGACAATTCTTTTGAAAAAAATAAAGAAAAAAGGAAGGTGAGAGGAGAGAAGATCAAGGATTGGTCCATCGTTTTCCAAAATGCTCGGGAGGAGATTTTTTTCAAAAGAATAAAAAAACTCTTTCACATTTTTTTCAAAAATTATTCAGAAGCCTAAAAATCCGTTTTGATGTTCTTCACGCCCATAAGAATCCCGCAGGCCGAAAAAAAAGAAACATAGCTTGGAAAAGAAGGTTAGTCGAACTAAAAAACGAAGAGAATCAGAAAGAATTGCGCTCTTACACATCACCTACACCTACTTATCCGCGAAAAATGCCGGTGGAAAACTCCAAAATCACACATCAGACACACCTGAAACTATTTGGTAAATAACAAAAATACGGTAAGACATACCGTCCTGAAGTCGTTTTTTTCTAAACCTTGGAAAACAAGGTTGAAAAAATTGTTTATTGTATTCGGCCTTATATTTTAACACATTTGAATTTTAACGAAATCCAAAAATCCAAAAATCGATATTTAAATATTATATTGGCTTCAAAATTTCTAAGGAAATTTCAAAAGCAAAATAAGAAAATATTGAATGAGACGAAAAACATGTCTTACGAGAGTAAAAAATTGAGTTTCGATCACATAATTTTGAAAAGGAAGATGATAATTTAGACGCGGTTGATGGTTTCCGAAATGATTGCCTCGGCGTTACAACGCAAGAGGTACTGTTCAGCCCGAAGGCGCCAAACTCAGAATCGATTGGCGTCGAAGGATTTCTCATCGCGTCTCGAAGAGCACTCTGCCTTTTTCGGCGCCTTTTTCCTTCGTTCTTTTATTTGAACGAAGTTTGGTAAACCCTGAATATTTAGAACCAAAGAGACGGCAAAAAATATTCGACTCGCCATTATTATGGTCCTTTAAACCGAAGAAAAGGTGAAATGATTGGAAGAAGTGACAGTTTCAAAGATTTTAGTACTGATACCTCTTCTGGCAGGAAAACTTTACAAAAAAATTGAATAAAGTCACGCCTGAAGAACCAATGAACGGTATCAAATGTTTTTTTAGCAATGAAATATCAGAAATAAATGGATAAATAATGAAAAAATACCGAATTCTATCGAAAACTTTGAGTATCATGTATGCAACGCCGAACTCAAATGTTCGAAATTTTTATCGTACTCCTTATAAAAATACAAACAAAAACAGGTCCTGATATCCTTGATAGCGATGGAAGTTGCGCTCTATCGGACAGCGGAACCCCGCACTTTTTTACGGCCGGGGCAAGCAAGGGAACTTCATTTTTTCTTTCTCTTTTAAATAACTTCTTTTAAGTGATTTCCTACAAATTTGAAATTTGTTCAAGACGAAAATTTTCAAACTGGAAGCTTTCGGAAAGAATTTGACACTGTTTGAGACTTTAACACAAAAATTGATCTTTTCTTGCTTAAAATTTTTTCGTTCTGGTTTCTTGTTGTTTGCAAACGGCTGAAATGTAAAATGTCGAAAAAAGTAATTTTAAAAATAAAACTGAATAAATTCTTCCCACAACGCTTTGGAGACCCGTAAATTTTTTTAATTGAGGCGAGTCATTTTTTTGGAATATTTTTCTTTTTGGGTTTAGTTAGCCTGATAACTTTTCTGCAGCCTGAGAAACCTCACACCACAAATATTATACCAAAAAAGTTCGGGAAATCGATCTCATCGGGATGATTTGTAAAAAATTAGGGGGATGTAATCTACGCTTTTTTTTTATCAATTTCTAATTTTGACCTCGTTGCTATCTTTTTTTCCTTAATATTTTGAAGAAAAAGGTTAGCTTGTATGTCGAAAAAGAATGATATATTTTTTATTTTATTAGAAAATTTTGAAAAATAGTTAAAATTTTTGAAATTTCATTAGCGGGAAAAAGAGTACACAATTCGATATTCAACTGATGACAAAAAGAACTGAGAGAATGATAACAGCGAAAAGAACGGCTATCATCTCTACCGCAATTTATCAAGGTCGAGTTTACAGCCAAAAATACGCGGCTGCTCCTGTACCACTGCAATCAGGTCAGCACAGTTGTCTGCTTCGCACTTTTCCAGAAAAGATAATTTTTGTTCACGGCCCAGAACATCCTGATAATTCACTCGAAAAAAATCTTCTCAGTTTTTTTCTGAATTATCGGAGTACTTATTTTCGAAAAAAATTTTTGAAGTAAGAATTTTTCTGAAGTTCGAAAAAAATGCAGTTTTAGTTTTTCGACATCCCTAATTTTTTTCGTTTCATAACGTCTAGGACAGCAAATATCTTTGAACATTGGAATTTACGTTTATTATTTGTTTTGTGTGTATCATTTTAATATCCCCAAAACTTAGGCTTTAGATAGAAACATTTTCGATGATACAGTTTTTTTGACTAGAATTTTTCAAACTTTTTTTCTTTACAGATAACCAATTCCAACATGAAAAAAACGGAAATTTGTGAAATAAGATTTAGCGATTTCTTCCAGTTATATTCAATTATCCAAGCTTTCCTTTCGTTTTTTTAAAAATCTTCATTTGATTTGTGGAAATTTATCCGCAATAAGTTGTAATAGTTTTCCTGATAAATTTTAGTACAATGGAATATAGCACATCTGAAAGAAAAAAAATAAAAAAAATACATCTGAAAATCAAGAAAAAAAACAAGCTTTTTGCAGTGCACCTCTAAAATTAAATATAGTTCGAACTAAAACAATTTTAATTTTAAAAAATGGGGGTTTTTCAGGTTTTCCAATTTACATCGACAAATTATTTCGAGTCGACTCCGGGAGTTTTTTTTTTCGCTTGGTCGTCGCAGCATTCACTTTTTTCGTCTTTTCGTTTGCTTCTTTTCCACTTGTGGCTCTGAAAAAAGATATTTGATGAAAAAAAAAACAGCTATTGTTTTGATTTTTTGTGAAGCTTCCGGAAAATCATTGAACAGGTTTTGTATTAGAAGTTTCTTACTTTTCACTTTTCTGGGCGAAACCCTGGTTGGTGCGACTAGTTTCTTTTCTCCGCGTTTCTTCTTCCGAGCGAGAGCTTTTTTCGCTTTTTTCTGCGCAGCAGCGGGTCCTGGAGCTTGCGAGGCTTCTGCTTTGAGCTCTTCTGGCGTTTCTTTCTCTCGGCTTTCTGAAATTTTTTTTTTCACTGATCAAGAACAGCCTAAAGAGAATGGCCTCTTTAAACTTTCTGTTTATCACTCACGTGGTTCGGTCATTTTTCCTTCGTCAATAGCTGCTTCGGTGTTCGATGAGTCCGCTTAAACAAAAAAAAAGATTCTTAAACGTGTATTTGATTCTTCGTAGATCAGAACCGAATTTTTCATGAAATAGAAACAAAAATTGGTCTCCAATTTAAAGTGAGCAAAAAAAGTTCTTCCCCCTCATGTACTAGAACATGGACTGTTATTCATTAACCGCTAAAATACGAATTCCCTCAAAAGAAAGTCTAAAACCCTATTAGATATTTGATTCGAGCCAGAAATGAATAAACACTTTCAATTTTTTCCCTCACCGGCATCATCCTTCGCCTTTCTCTCCCGTCGATATTTTTCAAGCAATCTCACGAACTCCGCTGTTTTTGGATGTGACAATGCCCAATCCGGCCCTCTTTCAGCGTAGAATGACTCATCTCAACTTCTTTTTATTTTGACCTTACTCTCTGAATTTTTACTGATTGTTCAAAAATCAATAGATTAAATCCAAAAAGACATTTTAATAGTGTTTTTTTCCATTTTGTCACCCTTGTTTTTAATTAGAAGCATTTAATACATTGCAATGAAAGACGATTAAAAGAAACTGAAATCTCACTCATTTTCGGGCATCCGTAGCCTGCGGTCAGCCTATTCGAAAACGCGCTTTCTGAAAAATGAAATCATTCTTTGGTTGTCACTTTTAACCAGTTTCAAAAGGGAAAAGCCGCCAAAGTTAGATGATGAGCTTCTCAAATTGAACGAAGAAGAATTGGATTTCAAGTTATCTAAATTTCCAAGCATGGAAGCATGGAAAGAACGAAGTTAAAAAGAAGAAAAAGAAAAAAACGAAAAAAAGTTGATATTAAAAAAAACGAAAGAGACAAAATCTGAAAAGAAAACTTTAAAAAAAAGTTATGATATCTGACAAAGAAAAAATACGCACAACAAAAATTGAAAAGTGACCTTTGGAATATGAATGAAAATTTTGCAAAATTTTCATGTTTTTCCAGGGTTCAACACCAAGAAACTTTGAAACAATCCTACTGGATAAAAGAACGTAAGGAGCGTGGGCAACCATCAATTACAACGTGTAAAAAACGGAGCAGGCGCACTTTCCTGAGGATCGCGGTGTTCTTTCAATGATATTGTGATAAACAAGATTGACCCTGCACGCGGAAAGAAAAAAACTGTGACTAAGCGCTTGAAAACGGTTCAGCTTTTGCTGAACGCAATCAAAGACCATTACAAAGTCTAAAAATATATTTCTTCTGCGAAAGAAACTTCCATTTTTTTTTATCGAAGTCACAAAAAAGGAAGTTTAAAGCGTTTTTCTAGATATCGGGACAAATTTCGAGACTCTGATTTAATTTTTATGCCTTTTCCAGATTATATCGCGATCGAACTGGATGAAAATTCAAACGAGAGTATTATTGTAGCTGAAGCATCGTTCCCAACAGGAAGCATTGTCAATTTTCGTTCCAACACATTTTCTCAACAAAGCTCATTGGAAAAAATATATTCGAAATGGGAAGTCTGATTATGAACCAAAAGTTCAGGTACCCTGACTTTCAAAAAAAACCTTGATCTTTTCTAGTCCACGTAAAAGCAAGACATCCATTGGCTCTGCAATCGCTTTCTGTTGTCACAATGAACAGTCGTCCTCATTTGAATCGATGATCTCTATTGTCTTGTTAAACTCTCCCGAAAAGTACCCACAAACGAGGACCAGCTCCTAGATTTATCCAAAATTGCAAATATCAATTCAATATCCCAGGCGCCCCTTTTATAGGAATGAAATCAGAAAACAGAGAGGGTATCCAGGAAGAAAAATTAACAACGCTATTTGAATTTCCAAATCATTGGTTGTTTAGGAATGGTTTTTGGGAAAAGAGAGTTACATTTTTCGTGGGAAAATATGCAGTTTTTAGTTGCTTTCGCGACAAGCTAGAAATTTTCTCTATTTTTGGGTCAGTCTCGAAAAAAAACTAGTGTGAATAGAGAAATAGAAATCCAACAAAGGAACGCCCTCTCTCGACAAAAAAAAAGTTTTCAAATCTATTCCAAACGAAGAAAATGAAGTTGCTCCACCTCTAGGCCGTAAAAAAAGCACTTTCGAAACCTTTGTCCAATGGAGCGCACATTCCATAACGATAGCGTCATGAATCTCGTCAGAACCTGATTCTGTCGGATTTTTATAAGAAATGCAAAAAATGTAGTTGATTATTTACTTCAACATTGGATGCATGTTACGGGAAATTTTCAATAAAATTTTAGATTGGATGAATAATGACAATAATACGTTTGCTAAGTCTTATGAGAAAAAAACTTTTTTTGCCTATTATTGGTCGGATGCTAATGAAATATTTTATTGAAAACATAATTTTGCCCTTGTTGCCGTATTAAAATTCGGTCTCGCATTGTGATTGTCAATGTGAACGTCCCTAGAAAAAACAACGTGGCGTGCGGGATCATACATTTTCGCAGAACGCGGAGTTGCAAAAAGCGAAATTCCGCTCATCTTTTGTCCCTAGGACAAAAGCCACAACAAGAAGGATCAGCTCTAAAATTTATCTTGCCGTGATCGTCAATTTTTGTCGGCTTTTAGATAGAAAGTAAGTTTTTTTTTGAGAGTTTTTCCGGGGTTGCACGAAAGTGCCTTTTTTCAAACGGAATGCAGAAGACCGAAAAAGAAAATCGTTCCGAAAGTTAGAAAAAGGCTTTTACAATTTCAATTTCATACTACACAATTTCGTCATGTTTTGAACGTATTTTTGATTCACTTCTTGACCGTAATCGTTATTCATTTTGAAGATTTTCCTTTCTTTTGGAGGTTCACTAGGCTCTCAGTAGACAGTTTTATTTTCTTAGCGGCATAATGAAAAGGATTGGATCGAGTACTTTTTTTTAAGCAGTGTACCGTCTTTTTCCCGTCTGCCGCGGAACGTTCTTGGGTTGTCTGATCCTCCAACTCTTGACGGCGTTTTGGTGGTCAAGTAGATACTCCGTCGCAAGTCGCTATTTTATTTACCCATATTTTGCTTTTAGCTCTGTTTTCCTAAACGTTCGGTGTTTTTTTAAATTCACAGCTCATTTTTTTTTGGGTTTTTGCATGCTTTATCGTATTCTTAATTCCTGTTGAACACAACCAGACAGACCACCAAACGGCTGCGCAAAAAAAGCTAATACTCAAGAAAGATCCTCGATTATTCATCAGAAGAAGAAATGAGAAAAGATCATCTTTTGGCTCGGCGGTCTTGGCGCCAATGTGCAATGATAGGCGTTGGTGTTTGCAGCCGCCGTTTTTTTTTTTTCAAATAGTTCAATTTCGACAAATCAATAAACTAGCGTCATTTTTCTTACTTCGTTATTGATTGCTCGTTTTACATTTTCGTTTCATTTTTTTTTCTCCTGGTGAGATAAATGTTTTTTCCTGCCCTGATGAAATGGACTTCCTGGAATCAAAAGCGTTTTTTTTTCTTGCAAGTCTCAACAATCAGAATAAGGGTACTTTTTAAGTTTCGAAGAACCTATTTTTTTATTCGATGTGCTGATAACTGATTTTTCCTGTTTTTCTTTCGCCGTTGTACTATCTTTACTGTTTTTGTGAAAAACTGACTTTTCAGGTAATTTTTTCGTCGAGTCCGTTGAAGAAAAGATGACAGAACCGAGCCGCGATCAACTAAACCAACTTTCGATGTCGTGGATGATTTATTCGAAAGTGGAAGGTCAAGAAAAAAACTTCTGATAAAGGTGGGCTATAAAAAAACAAGATTTGAGAAATTTTTTTTCTCTGTTATCATGAACGATCCAAAAATAAAACAAATGAATTTCAGACTGGAAAGAAAGGCGAAAATGGGAAGAAGAGCCCGTGGCTTTTGATTCAAGCACCGGGGAGCAAGAAACGAAAACGCAAAAATCGTGCGGATTCGCGAACTTAGGAGGCGAAAGCGGAACAGAGGAAAAAAACAGTCACGGTAAGAATTGATTATATTATCGATGTTACGAGCAGTTTAATAATATTTAGAAAGTAAAAAAGATTTTTTTAAAACTTGGCACAGGAGCGGTGTACCAAAAAAATTACACAGGAACCTTTTGTCATCAAAAAAATGATGTGAATAACTTCAGTGCATACTTAGAACCTTTGAGTTTTCTAATAAAAAAATGATAAAGTTCACCAGCATGTCGCATTTTCTTGTGTATTTTTTCCATTTTCCTTTTATAATATCAAAGCTTTTTCATTTTCAGTTACTGCAGTCAGTATAGCAGCCGAAGCTGTCCCGAATGGTCAAGAAGAAAAAGCTTACGTCTTGAAAACAGAAGAAGCTGGAGCTGAAGATCCGACTCCGACAAAGAAGCTGCGCCGAACGAAAAGGACTAGGAGCGGCCTCCCTGAACAAGTAAATTATATAACTTTATTAAATTCCATTCGTCACGAATTGAAAAATTCTGACCTGTCTGTGTCTTTTTTCTCTTATTGGAGAGGTTATAGAAACATGAAAATAGCCCGGAAAATTGAGAGTGTTTTTCTGAGTAGTTGTTCTACTCGACGACGCTCTCATTTTGACGTGCTATTTTCATGTTTCTCTGACCTCGCCGTTGAGAAGAAAGAGGGCGCAGAGAAGTCAGACTGTTTCAAGGCGGAACGCATTTGGAATGGCAAATTGAAGATTATTTTTATTTAGCAGCACGCCCTAATATATAGCCGATTCACGGCTAACTTGGGACGCAAAAAGGCCTGACCGGTCTTCACCGACCAGACACTGTCTCTTTTTTATCGTGTCAGGACCCTTTTTTCGATGGCTTAAGCCAGTCGTGAATCAGCGATAAAATGTTTTTTGGCTCGAAAGGCGATAATGGCTATTTTAGTAGTAGCTTTTGGCGGGAAATTTGAGGTCAAACGCAACCGAAAATAAAAAAAACTTGACTCTCAGAAAAAAAAACAAAATGAGAAAGTCGCAAAGAAACGAGGAGAGCGCAGAGAAAAACAGACCATAGCCGCATTTTTTCGGAAAACTATCAAAAAAACATAAAATGAAAAAAATTGATCTCAGGTTTCCCGCCAAAAAGCCGCGTTAAATAATCCTTGCCGTCTTTCAAGTCTGGAAAAATGGACTATTTTCGTTTTTTTTTTTATTGTTTCCTTCCCCCACAGGGAATTATCTGACCTGTCTGCGTTTTTTTTCTCACCGGCGAGGTTGTAGAAACGTGAAAATATAGTCTGTTCAGATTTTCAATGTCAAGTCATCACTCAAACTCCGCCCCTCATGCGTAGATCAAACCAATCAAAAAGCGGCCATCAACAGAGCGTTGTTGGCGGCGGAGTTTACTGCTTGACATTCAAAATCTGAACAGACTATAGCTAGTAAAAAAAGAAGTTTCGCAGACAAGGAAGGTCATTTTACTTTGCCGTTGGGATTTTTTTGAAAATTGGCAAAACACTTACTTTCGTACGAGAATAAGATTCTGAAAGTCTAAACCTGCACAACTTTCTCGTTTTTGGGAAATTAGGCCTCCGAGTCCCAAACTGGTCTATTGTTACGGCTTCTGAGTGTTTTCTCATACACTGCTAAAGTCAGAAGAGCGGAAAACGGGTACAAAAAGGAAGTGACTGCAAAATAGCCGCTAAAAGGATCCTTTTTACGGCCTTTATTGAGCTTTTCATTCTTGATCGGCTAAAAAGAGTCATAATAGGGCGAAAAAAGAGAGAGGCCGCAAAAAGGGCTCGGAAAGTCTCTGCTATTGATGATTTCCGATTTTATTACTGTAGCATATTTTGGTTCAAACACAGTCACTTGTAAAGATTTTTCCTAATTAAAAAAAAATTTCTCAAAAGGATCCAAAAAGGGTGGATAAAGGCCGATGAAAGGACGGAAAAAGGCCGTAAAAAGGAAACCGTTGCCACCCGTTTAGGAACAATTAATGGGAAAGGACTGATCCATAACGGACGCTCAAAGGGCCCGTGAAGGGTCCTTCCGGCTTTGCCTATGTAGGTAAAGTCGGAAAGCGTGGAAAAAGGCTCCATGGAAATGTTCTTTTCAGGGTGACAAAGGCTCCTTTTTGCTGCCTTTTTGCGCCATTTTCTCGGCCCTTATGCAGACTTTTTGCTGTCTCTCCTTTTTCCACCATTTCTCGAGCCTTTGAAATCCAAGGAAAATAGAAGGCTCGATAAAGGGACACTTTTTGCTGCCTTTTTGCGGCCTTTCTGCGGCCTTTTTTGAGCCTCTCCCTTTTAGCGCCCATTATCCACCATTCCGACATTTTCCGTATGAGGTGTCCTTTCTCGAAAACTAGGAAGTTGTGCAGGTTGAGACTTTCAGAACCTTTTGCTGGTACTTCAAGAAGTGTTCTGACCAATTTTCAGGAAATTCCCAACCGCAAAGTAAAATGACCTTCGTGGTAAGAAAAAAGAGGGCGCAGAGAAATCAGACTGTTTTAAGCTTTAGCGAATATGCTATAAATGTGAAAAAAATGTTCATCTATATTTTCTACCCCATGATCTTGTGCTGTTCCGAAACTTTGCTTTTCGAATTTTTCTGCTTGTACCTTTTTTGCGTATTTCTGTTGTTCGTTATATTTTTGCTGATTTGTAACTTCCGTGATAAAACATTTTACTTATCTTTGATACTTATTTGCAATTCAAGAAATTGAGAAGAATGTAAAGAAGTCAGAAAAGAAACGAAAAAAACGGGGTTTTGGTCGCAACTATCTTGTGAGGAATTCTATCTCTCTGAAACTTTTTGGAGTAGTGAAGACTGTTTTTTTAACACTTCTAATAGGAAAAAGATTTTTATGTGAAATGCGAGTCAATAGACGTTTTTCACCATGCGTAACTCAAATCAGTTTCTCAAATCAGCCCCAGTTTTCAATAAAAAATGTCATCACTAAAGTTCGGTGTTATCTACCAAATTATCTACTCGACTACGTTTTCTTCTTTAGAGCTCCACCCAACACTCCTTTTGCATTTTTCTACATGGACGAACTTAGCAAAGCGACGACGTCAAAAATAAATGAGGAAGAGAGGAAAAATTATGAGTTGATCTTTCAATCAACAGGTTATTGTACAGCTATCTCTCGTGTAGTTTTTCGTGAACTCAGATTGATATTGAATTAATTCAGGACTTTCTTATTTTTCTCCTCCGTCCTTCATTCAACTTTTTGTAATTATTTTACTGTTGTCTTTTTCATGTACTCAAGTCTATCAAAATGCCTTTTTTGTTATTTTTACGTCCCATACTTCCATCGCTTTTCATATAAAACTCGTAATATTTATATCGCATAGCGGCAAAATAAGAAAGTGGTCGCGATTTTCGATGGATGACGTAGTTCGAGATCTGGCGGATCAATAAGACCAGAAGCTTCGCTCACATTGCGCAACACAGTTACCGGGCTAATACGCCAGATGACATGGTAATTAATACTATTGCCGTTCATAGGAAAGATGGTGTTTAATATAACTGAGGGATTTGCTTTTCCGAATGGATCTGAATAAAACCAGGAAGACAGCCCCGAGATCAATTCAAGAAAGTGGATGTTGAGAGAATGTTCTTCAACCGTTTTGCAAAATAATCTGAAGATTTTATTTGATCGGCTCATCCGACTAGTAGTTTTCTCACAGCAGACGATCGACTTCAATTTTATCTTTCGACCTTCTCCTAGGAGTTTGATCTTTTTATCACTAATTCTCTGGGAAAACGCCGCGATCCATTGAACAAAGCGGCTGCTGCGTTTTTTACACTTTGGAGCTGATGTTCGCCCACTCCTGGGGTTCGTTTTCGAGAAAAGTTCAGTTCAGTGGGAGATCTGGCTGGTCAAAACTTGAGAATCTAGGAAGATTCTCCCGTTTTTCATTTTTCAATAGAACAATCGTTTATTACACTTTTCTTTAATTGGTTACATTACCGTTTGACACATTTTTCTTGACCCTATAAACTTGATTTTTCCATGTTTTTTTTTTTGCGAAGCTCTTGCATTGCAGTTCTTGTGAATAAGCGTAAAAAAAATTCTTTAAATTTTTCCAACTTTTTTGTGATTTTATTTCTCTTTTTTTACTTTAGAGATTAGCCGTCTTTACCATGATTGAAATTTTTCAAGTCTTGCAAGCCTGGCATTTTTCCATTATATGATCAGCCATTATTTGACGCCCGATAATTGAGAAATTTTTTTATTTCAATCAGAGCAACAGAATATTCGATTTTTTTCAGTGATCTCATTTTTTTCATGAGGCTGGTCGCACGCGAGTGGTCCTGAAAAAAATGAGTGAGTTTTTCATTAATTATCAGTTCTTCCAAATTTCGATTATTATTTTTCAGGTTCGTTCAACCTTGGATAGTTGGCCTAGGTTTTTTTAATCTTTTTCTTTTTATTAGGAAATCAGTTTTTCAAATTTTTTTGCAGTTTTTCACTCTTTTTTTCAGTCGCCTATCATATATGTAGGCAGTTTCTTTTTACCTGGGAGCATGGTTTATCAACTATCCCCAGGCCTCTAAAAATTTTTTTCAACTTCTATCTGAATAGCTACTTTTCGAAGTAATTTGAATTTTTTTCAAATAAGCTTCTGACAAATATTTTTTTAATCTGGGACCACGGCAAAATGGAAAGTTGCGGCAGAATTTTATGTGAGTTTTTCATTTTTTTCATTTTTTTTCTGCTATTTTTCTAGAAGCCATTGAAGAAATTCTCTCAATAAAACATTTTTTTTCAGAAAGGAATATATTGTCGTATTTCGGATCATGGTGAGAACTGCGTTCTACACACCTCGATTGATGGAAAGCGAGCCTTTTCCGGGATTTGAAGTCAAGAAATTATGCCGGTTTATGATAAAGAACAAAAAGGTGTGCAAAACTAAATTTTTTTTTGCTTTTTTTATAGCCTAGTAAAAGTCTGAATGACTCAAAGTAATACTGGAAATTGATATTTGCTTTGGGCTTCTGAGGGATTTTTTTTTGGTTTGACTGATTTAGCCAGTTTTTCAAAATGACTAACGAAATATTCGGAGAAATGTCTAATGAAGTTCTTTTCCTAAGAAACTTTTTTCCTGTATCTTCTGATTTCACTGTTATTAGCAGATTTGTATAATGCCGATTTTCCATGGTCTTGATTTTCAATCTTTTCTTTTCAGGGAAAACGAGCTTGAGGAGTTTAGCGAACGGTACAATAACGGTGAGAAATGAAGAATCTGCAAGAACGAAGCATTTTGAATGCACAAAAAGCACACATCTTTTGAATAAACATTTTGCAACAAGATTTCGAGATTCACAAGTAAATGACAGGAACTGTTTCAACTGCATCTTGCATTTGCGTTCAGTTTTTCCGGAATCGAAAAAAGCATGTAAACGATGTCAAGGCTTTGAAAGAAGTTGAAGCGTTTTTCAGAAGAGAGTCGAATGTAATTTTTGTTCGTTTTGAAGGTTGTTCTTTGTTTCGAAAGTTCTCCGGGCTCTCAGTCGATAGTTATATTATTTTGGCGGGGTAATCAGAAGAATTGGATCGAGTACCCTTCTTTTGAGCAGTTTACCGTCTGCTTCACGTCTGCCGCGGAACATTCTGGGGTCGTCTGATTAGGGGTCCTCCATCTCTCGACGGCGTTCTTTGTAGTCAAGTAGGTGTTTTGCCGCGAGTCGAAAGTCGTCCCACTGTATTTTCTTTCCGCATTTTCGCCTGTTTTCAAAAAGTTCAATATTTGTTTAGTTTCATGGCTTTTCCGTGGTTTTCGTTCAATTTTTTGTGTTCTCCTAGAAGTTTCATGTAACAGAAAAGCATACATAACAATTGTTATAAAAAAACCGGATCGTCGAAAATCTTGTAGAAAAAAATTTTTCACTTAAATATTAGAAAAAAATCTAATGTAATTTTTTTTGCGCGTCGTTTTTGGCGCCGCTGTGCAATAATGGGCGTCGGTATAAGCAGACTTTTTTTGTAAAACATTTCGTTTCGATCGATCACAAAGATTTGTGTTCTTTTTTGTTTTGTTTATAAATGCTCTTTTTTATCACTCCGAACAAATTCGCTTTGCCAAAATTTCGACTAATCTATTTCTTACTACGATTTGCTGGTATCTGTATTTTTCGGTTTTCTTTCTGCCGTCGCACTGTTTTTATTTTACTCAAAAAATATTGACGTGATGATTTGCAGGTGAAAAAAAGCTGGACGTCGAGAAGTAATATTCAAAAGCGAAGGACCAAAAAAATAAAGATGGAGGTGAGCGAAAAAACAAGAACTCTAAAATATACAGTACCGTCCGAAAGACACGGAAAAAAGGGGGTTTCTATCCCAACTTGTAAGGAATTCAATCTTTCTGAAATTTTCTGGAGGTGCGATGGCTATTATTTTCAACCTTCTGATGAAGTCCAGAGAAAAAAAGACGCAGCTTCAGAAATTTTCAAGCAGATTGAACTCCTTACAAGAAATGTGTGACCAAAGTCACGTTCTTCGTATTTTTTTAACGATACTGTAACTCCACTTGTTTAATAGTAGGAATACTTGAATAATACTGATGAGTCTGGAAAAAAAAGCACGTTAAGAATTCCACGCATTTTTTTGTTTGATGTTTGGAACTATATTCTCGACAATTTTTTTGATAGTGATTGTTCGTTTACTTCTTTGAGAATAAATTGATTGTAAGCATTTTTTTTATAAAAAAAGTCAGACGGATTTTTTTGAAAAAAATTTCAGCTTAAGAAAAGACGTCTCCAAAAGCGAGCAAGCTGTGAGGCAGACCGCCGAGGTCCTCTAAGACTCCTGAGCCGACAATCTCCGCGAGTGGAAGGAAGACGAGCGCAAAAAAGGACATCGTGGTGAGTCATCTTTGGAATTTTATATTCAAATGTGATTTTGACGAAAAAAAGTGTACAAAGAAAGAACCGAAAAACAGCGAAAAACTCATTTTTGCATATGTGTAAATGAATTGAGAAGAACCGGTTTTTGAAGTTAAATAGAGAAAAATAATAAAAAAAACATAGTAGTTAATGTTGTTACACTCAACTGTACTGATCATAAAAGTATTTCGAAGAAATTCTTTGAGCACACAATACCGTCAAAACGAAAAAAAAAAAGCGATTTTGATTACAATTTTCTTGTGACCAATCTTCTTAAAAGTTTTTGAAACTGTTTTCTTTTCTGTGAACTGAAACTTTATCAGAGTGTTAAAAGCAACAGTCTACACCCCTACAGAAAATTTCAGAACGATTGAATTCCTTACAAGAAAATTATGACTGAAACCCCGTTTTGTCGTATCTTTACTGACGGTACAGCATCTTTTCTTACAACAGATCCATTTTGATAAAATTTGAAAAATAAAACGACCATAATGTGAAACGCGTTCCTGGGTTAGCACCGAAATATGGTCAAATAACAATTTCTAATTTTCAGATATGTTGCGCCTTTTCTTTCGGCTATCCAACCTCGCGAAAGAAAGAAAAACGAACGCGGCAGAGGACACGGTAGTTAGTCTTCTCATTTACAAATGGGATTTTGACTGAAAAGAATAGAAAAGAAGAAGAAATGTTGCATTCGCTTTTTCATACTTCTCGGCAGACTAAAGTCCATTCTTAGCTGGATCAGATTAGTGCCAGGTTTCTCTGTTCAACTTAGTTTCATTATTTATATCCAGAAAACTCACGTTTGCGATTATCAAATTTTTCTTTTTCTGACCTAGGAAAAATGTCACCTTTTCATTATAATTTCAGGTTTTGATTTTTCGAAAACTTTTTTCGAAGATGACTGATGCGAAAAAAAAAAGTTTTAACTTTCAAAAATATGTTGATTTCCCGAAATTTCTTTTTCTGAATTGGTTTTTGATGCCTCATTGATAGTTTTGGATCATTGAAAATAGTAACTAAACATGCTGGTTGAAATGGTGATCTTCAACCAGGAAGGGGGCAACTTGAACACCTTCAACCCGCCGATGGCCCCCAACCCTTTGCTCCGCTATGACGTGGTTAGTGTGAAGAACTATATTCCGAAGATTTTCAAAAATACGGCTCACATTTTGGAAAGAAACTGATATTATTATCAGCTTGTCATAGTTCACATTCAGAATAAAATGTAATACGATTCGAAGAAACAAATTTAATCCAATCAGTTATCAAATGAAAACCAGCAGAAACTCAAACTTTTTGTTTCAGTGATGCTGGTTGAAATGGTGATCTTCAACCAGGAAGGGGGCAACTTGAACACCTTCAACCCGCCGATGGCCCCCAACCCTTTGCTCCGCTATGACGTGGTTAGTGTGAAGAACTATATTCCGAAGATTTTTAAAAAAGTACGGCTCACATTTTTGGAAAGAAAACTGATAGTATTATCAGCTTGTCATAGTTCACATTTAGAATAAAAATGTAATACGATTTGAAGAAACAAATTTAATCCAATCAATTATCAAATGAAAACCAGCAGAAACTCAAACTTTTTGTTTCAGTGATGCTGGTTGAAATGGTGATCTTCAACCAGGAAGGGGCCAACTTGAACACCTTCAACCCGCAGATGGCCCCCAACCCTTTGCTCCGCTATGACGTGGTTAGTGTGAAGAATTATATTCCGAAGATTTTTTTCAAAAAGTACGGCTTACATTTTGGAAAAGAAAACTGATAGTATTATCAGCTTGTCATAGTTCACATTTAGAATAAAATGTAATACGAATCGAAGAAACAAATTTAATCCAATCAGTTATCAAATGAAAACCAGCAGGAACTCAAACTTTTTGTTTCAGTGATGCTGGTTGAAATGGTGATCTTCAACCAGGAAGAGGCCAACTTGAACACCTTCAACCCGCAGATGGCCCCCAACCCTTTGCTCCGCTATGACGTGGTTAGTGTGAAGAACTATATTCCGAAGATTTTCAAAAAGTACGGCTCACATTTTGGAAAGAAAACTGATAGTATTATCAGCTTGTCATAGTTCACATTTAGAATAAAATGTAATACGATTTGAAGAAACAAATTTAATCCAATCAGTTATCAAATGAAAACCAGCAGAAACTCAAAATTTTTGTTTCAGTGATGCTGGTTGAAATGGTGATCTTCAACCAGGAAGAGGCCAACTTGAACACCTTCAACCCGCAGATGGCCCCCAACCCTTTGCTCCGCTATGACGTGGTTAGTGTGAAGAATTATATTCCGAAGATTTTTCAAAAAGTACGGCTTACATTTTGGAAAGAAAACTGATAGTATTTATCAGCTTGTCATAGTTCACATTTAGAATAAAATGTAATACGATTTGAAGAAACAAATTTAATCCAATCAATTATCAAATGAAAACCAGCAGAAACTCAAAAATCTTTTTGTTTCAGTGATGCTGGTTGAAATGGTGATCTTCAACCAGGAAGAGGCCAACTTGAACACCTTCAACCCGCAGATGGCCCCCAACCCTTTGCTCCGCTATGACGTGGTTAGTGTGAAGAATTAAATTCCGAAGATTTTTAAAAGTACGGCTTACATTTTGGAAAGAAACTGATAGTATTATCAGCTTGTCATAGTTCACATTTAGAATAAAATGTAATACGATTTGAAGAAACAAATTTAATCCAATCAGTTATCAAATGAAAACCAGCAGAAACTCAAACTTTTTGTTTCAGTGATGCTGGTTGAAATGGTGATCTTCAACCAGGAAGAGGCCAACTTGAACACCTTCAACCCGCAGATGGCCCCCAACCCTTTGCTCCGCTATGACGTGGTTAGTGTGAAGAATTAAATTCCGAAGATTTTTAAAAGTACGGCTTACATTTTGGAAAGAAACTGATAGTATTATCAGCTTGTCATAGTTCACATTTAGAATAAAATGTAATACGATTTGAAGAAACAAATTTAATCCAATCAGTTATCAAATGAAAACCAGCAGAAACTCAAACTTTTTGTTTCAGTGATGCTGGTTGAAATGGTGATCTTCAACCAGGAAGAGGCCAACTTGAACACCTTCAACCCGCAGATGGCCCCCAACCCTTTGCTCCGCTATGACGTGGTTAGTGTGAAGAATTATATTCCGAAGATTTTTCAAAAAGTACGGCTTACATTTTTGGAAAGAAAACTGATAGTATTTTTCAGCTTGTCATAGTTCACATTTAGAATAAAAATGTAATACGATTTGAAGAAACAAATTTAATCCAATCAATTATCAAATGAAAAACCAGCAGAAACTCAAAATCTTTTTGTTTCAGTGATGCTGGTTGAAATGGTGATCTTCAACCAGGAAGAGGCCAACTTGAACACCTTCAACCCGCAGATGGCCCCCCAACCCTTTGCTCCGCTATGACGTGGTTAGTGTGAAGAATTAAATTCCGAAGATTTTTAAAAGTACGGCTTACATTTTGGAAAGAAACTGATAGTATTATCAGCTTGTCATAGTTCACATTTAGAATAAAATGTAATACGATTTGAAGAAACAAATTCAATCCAATCAGTTATCAAATGAAAACCAGCAGAAACGCAAAATTTTTGTTTCAGGGATGCTGGTTGTATTGGTGATCTTCAACCAGGGAGAAGCCAACTTGAACACCTTCAACCCGCAGATGGCCCCCAACCCTTTGCTCCGCTATGAGGAGGTCAGTGTGAAGAATTCTATTCCGAGAACTTTCAAAAGTACGGCTTACATTTTGGAAAGAAAGTGATAGTATTTTTAGCGTGTCATAGTCCACATATAGAATAAAATGTAATACGATTTGAAGAAACAAATTTAATCCAATAAATCATCAAATGAAAACTAGTAGAAACTAAAATCTTTTGTTTCAGTCATGCTGGTTGGTATGGTGATCTTCAACCAGGGAGGGGCCAACTTGAACACCTTCAACCCGCAGATGGCCCCCAACCCTTTGCTCCTCTATGAGGAGGTCAGTGTGAAGAATTCTATTCCGAAGATTTTTAAAAGTACGGCTTACATTTTGGAAAGAAACTGATAGTATTATCAGCTTGTCATAGTTCACATTTAGAATAAAATGTAATACGATTTGAAGAAACAAATTTAATCCAATCAATTATCAAATGAAAACCAGCAGAAACGCAAAATTTTTGTTTCAGTGATGCTGGTTGAAATGGTGATCTTCAACCAGGAAGAGGCCAACTTGAACACCTTCAACCCGCAGATGGCCCCCAACCCTTTGCTCCGCTATGACGTGGTTAGTGTGAAGAATTATATTCCGAAGATTTTTTTAAAAAGTACGGCTTTACATTTTTGGAAAAGAAACTGATAGTATTATCAGCTTGTCATAGTTCACATTTAGAATAAAATGTAATACGATTTGAAGAAACAAATTTAATCCAATCAATTATCAAATGAAAACCAGCAGAAACGCAAAATTTTTGTTTCAGTGATGCTGGTTGAAATGGTGATCTTCAACCAGGAAGAGGCCAACTTGAACACCTTCAACCCGCAGATGGCCCCCAACCCTTTGCTCCGCTATGACGTGGTTAGTGTGAAGAATTAAATTCCGAAGATTTTTAAAAGTACGGCTTACATTTTGGAAAGAAACTGATAGTATTATCAGCTTGTCATAGTTCACATTTAGAATAAAATGTAATACGATTTGAAGAAACAAATTTAATCCAATCAATTATCAAATGAAAAACCAGCAGAAACGCAAAATTTTTGTTTCAGTGATGCTGGTTGAAATGGTGATCTTCAACCAGGAAGAGGCCAACTTGAACACCTTCAACCCGCAGATGGCCCCCCAACCCTTTGCTCCGCTATGACGTGGTTAGTGTGAAGAATTATATTCCGAAGATTTTTAAAAAGTACGGCTTACATTTTGGAAAGAAACTGATAGTATTATCAGCTTGTCATAGTTCACATTTAGAATAAAATGTAATACGATTTGAAGAAACAAATTTAATCCAATCAATTATCAAATGAAAAACCAGCAGAAACGCAAAATTTTTGTTTCAGTGATGCTGGTTGAAATGGTGATCTTCAACCAGGAAGAGGCCAACTTGAACACCTTCAACCCGCAGATGGCCCCCAACCCTTTGCTCCGCTATGACGTGGTTAGTGTGAAGAATTATATTCCGAAGATTTTCAAAAGTACGGCTCACAGTTTGGAAAGAAAATGATAGTATTATTCAGCTTGTCATAGTTCACATTTAGAATAAAATGTAATACGATTTGAAGAAACAAATTTAATCCAATCAATTATCAAATGAAAACCAGCAGAAACGCAAAATTTTTGTTTCAGTGATGCTGGTTGAAATGGTGATCTTCAACCAGGAAGAGGCCAACTTGAACACCTTCAACCCGCAGATGGCCCCCAACCCTTTGCTCCGCTATGACGTGGTCAGTGTGAAGAATTCTATTCCGAAGATTTTCAGAAGTACGGCTTACATTTTGGAAAGAAACTGATAGTATTTTCAGCTTGTCATAGTTCACATTTAGAATAAAATGTAATACGATTTGAAGAAACAAATTTAATCCAATCAATTATCAAATGAAAACCAGCAGAAACGCAAAATTTTTGTTTCAGTGATGCTGGTTGAAATGGTGATCTTCAACCAGGAAGAGGCCAACTTGAACACCTTCAACCCGCAGATGGCCCCCAACCCTTTGCTCCGCTATGACGTGGTTAGTGTGAAGAATTCTATTCCGAAGATTTTCAAAAGTACGGCTTACATTTTGGAAAGAAACTGATAGTATTTTCAGCTTGTCATAGTTCACATTTAGAATAAAATGTAATACGATTTGAAGAAACAAATTCAATTCAATCAATTATCAAATGAAAACCAGCAGAAACGCAAAATTTTTGTTTCAGGGATGCTGGTTGAAATGGTGATCTTCAACCAGGAAGAGGCCAACTTGAACACCTTCAACCCGCAGATGGCCCCCAACCCTTTGCTCCGCCATGAGGAGGTCAGTGTGAAGAATTCTATTCCGAAGATTTTTGAAAAGTACGGCTTGCATTTTGGAAAGAAACTGATAGTATTTTCAGCTTGTCATAGTTCACATTTAGAATAAAATGTAATACGATTTGAAGAAACAAATTCAATCCAACCAATTATCAAATGAAAACTAGTAGAAACTAAAATCTTTTGTTTCAGTCATGCTGGTTGTATTGGTGATCTTCAACCAGGGAGAAGCCAACTTGAACACCTTCAACCCGCAGATGGCCCCCAACCCTTTGCTCCGCTATGACGTGGTTAGTGTGAAGAATTATATTCCGAAGATTTTTAAAAAGTACGGCTTACATTTTTGGAAAGAAAACTGATAGTATTTTTCAGCTTGTCATAGTTCACATTTAGAATAAAATGTAATACGATTTGAAGAAACAAATTCAATTTAATCAATTATCAAATGAAAACCAGCAGAAACGCAAAATTTTTGTTTCAGGGATGCTGGTTGAAATGGTGATGGCTCACCAGGACAGGGCCAACATGAACAGCTTCAACGCGCAGATGGCCCCCAACCCTTTGCTCCGCTATGACGTGGTTAGTGTGAAGAATTATATTCCGAAGATTTTGAGAAGTACGGCTTGCATTTTGGAAAGAAACTGATAGTATTTTCAGCTTGTCATAGTTCACATTTAGAATAAAATGTAATACGATTTGAAGAAACAAATTCAATCCAATCAATTATCAAATGAAAACCAGCAGAAACTCAAACTTTTTGTTTCAGTGATGCTGGTTGTAATGGTGATCTTCAACCAGGGAGAGGGCCAACTTGAACAGCTTCAACGCGCAGATGGCCCCCAACCCTTTGCTCCGCTATGACGTGGTTAGTGTGAAGAATTATATTCCGAAGATTTTTAAAAAGTACGGCTTACATTTTGGAAAGAAAACTGATAGTATTTTTCAGCTTGTCATAGTTCACATTTAGAATAAAATGTAATACGATTTGAAGAAACAAATTTAATCCAATCAAATTATCAAATGAAAAACCAGTAGAAACTAAAAATCTTTTTGTTTCAGTCATGCTGGTTGTAAATGGTGATCTTCAACCAGGAAGAGGGCCAACTTGAACACCTTCAACGCGCAGATGGCCCCCAACCCTTTGCTCCGCTATGACGTGGTTAGTGTGAAGAATTATATTCCGAAGATTTTCAAAAGTACGGCTTACATTTTGGAAAGAAAACTGATAGTATTTTCAGCTTGTCATAGTTCACATTTAGAATAAAATGTAATACGATTTGAAGAAACAAATTTAATCCAATCAGTTATCAAATGAAAACCAGCAGAAACTCAAACTTTTTGTTTCAGGGATGCTGGTTGAAATGGTGATGGCTCACCAGGACAGGGCCAACATGAACAGCTTCAACGCGCCGATGGCCCCCCAACCCTTTGCTCCGCTATGACGTGGTTAGTGTGAAGAATTATATTCCGAAGATTTTGAGAAGTACGGCTTACATTTTGGAAAGAAACTGATAGTATTTTTCAGCTTGTCATAGTTCACATTTAGAATAAAAATGTAATACGATTTGAAGAAACAAATTTAATCCAATCAATTATCAAATGAAAACCAGCAGAAACTCAAAATCTTTTGTTTCAGTGATGCTGGTTGAAATGGTGATCTTCAACCAGGAAGAGGGCCAACTTGAACACCTTCAACCCGCAGATGGCCCCCCAACCCTTTGCTCCGCTATGACGTGGTTAGTGTGAAGAATTATATTCCGAAGATTTTTAAAAAGTACGGCTCACATTTTGGAAAGAAAACTGATAGTATTTTTCAGCTTGTCATAGTTCACATTTAGAATAAAAATGTAATACGATTTGAAGAAACAAATTTAATCCAATCAAATTATCAAATGAAAACTAGTAGAAACTAAAAATCTTTTTGTTTCAGTCATGCTGGTTGTAATGGTGATCTTCAACCAGGAAGAGGGCCAACATGAACAGCTTCAACGCGCCGATGGCCCCCCAACCCTTTGCTCCGCTATGACGTGGTTAGTGTGAAGAATTATATTCCGAAGATTTTTTTCAAAAAGTACGGCTCACATTTTGGAAAGAAAACTGATAGTATTTTTCAGCTTGTCATAGTTCACATTTAGAATAAAAATGTAATACGATTTGAAGAAACAAATTTAATCCAATCAATTATCAAATGAAAACTAGTAGAAACTAAAAATCTTTTTGTTTCAGTCATGCTGGTTGATAATGGTGATCTTCAACCAGGGAAGGGGCCAACTTGAACCCCTTCAACCCGCCAATGGCCCCCAACCCTTTGCTCCGTTATGACGTGGTTAGTGTGAAGAATTGTATTCCGAAGATTTTAAAAAGTAAGGCTCACATTTTGGAAAGAAACTGATAGTATTTTCAGCTTGTCATAGTTCACATTTAGAATAAAAAGTAATACGATTTGAAGAAACAAATTTAATCCAACCAATTATCAAATGAAAACTAGTAAAAACTAAAATCTTTTGTTTCAGTGATGCTGGTTGTATATGGTGATCTTCAACCAGGGAAGGGGCCAACTTGAACAGCTTCAACCCGCAGATGGCCCCCCAACCCTTTGCTCCGCTATGACGTGGTTAGTGTGAAGAATTATATTCCGAAGATTTTTAAAAGTACGGCTCACATTTTGGAAAGAAACTGATAGTATTTTCAGCTTGTCATAGTTCACATTTAGAATAAAATGTAATACGATTTGAAGAAACAAATTCAATCCAATCAATTATCAAATGAAAACTAGTAGAAACTAAAATCTTTTGTTTCAGTCATGCTGGTTGTAATGGTGATCTTCAACCAGGGAGGGGCCAACTTGAACAGCTTCAACCCGCAGATGGCCCCCAACCCTTTGCTCCGCTATGACGTGGTTAGTGTGAAGAATTATATTCCGAAGATTTTTAAAAGTACGGCTCACATTTTGGAAAGAAACTGATAGTATTTTCAGCTTGTCATAGTTCACATTTAGAATAAAATGTAATACGATTTGAAGAAACAAATTTAATCCAATCAAATTATCAAATGAAAACTAGTAGAAAACTAAAAATCTTTTTGTTTCAGTCATGCTGGTTGAAATGGTGATCTTCAACCAGGAAGGGGCCAACTTGAACAGCTTCAACCCGCAGATGGCCCCCAACCCTTTGCTCCGCTATGACGTGGTTAGTGTGAAGAATTATATTCCGAAGATTTTTAAAAAGTACGGCTCACATTTTGGAAAGAAAACTGATAGTATTTTTCAGCTTGTCATAGTTCACATTTAGAATAAAAATGTAATACGATTTGAAGAAACAAATTTAATCCAATCAAATTATCAAATGAAAAACTAGTAGAAAACTAAAAATCTTTTTGTTTCAGTCATGCTGGTTGTAATGGTGATCTTCAACCAGGGAAGGGGCCAACTTGAACAGCTTCAACCCGCAGATGGCCCCCAACCCTTTGCTCCGCTATGACGTGGTTAGTGTGAAGAATTATATTCCGAAGATTTTTAAAAAGTACGGCTCACATTTTGGAAAAGAAAACTGATAGTATTTTTCAGCTTGTCATAGTTCACATTTAGAATAAAAATGTAATACGATTTGAAGAAACAAATTTAATCCAATCAAATTATCAAATGAAAAACTAGTAGAAACTAAAAATCTTTTTGTTTCAGTCATGCTGGTTGAAATGGTGATTTTCCACCAGAAAGGGGCCAACTTGAACAGCTTCAACCCGCAGATGGCCCCCAACCCTTTGCTCCGCTATGACGTGGTTAGTGTGAAGAATTATATTCCGAAGATTTTTAAAAGTACGGCTCACATTTTGGAAAGAAAATGATAGTATTTTCAGCTTGTCATAGTTCACATTTAGAATAAAATGTAATACGATTTGAAGAAACAAATTTAATCCAATCAATTATCAAATGAAAACTAGTAAAAACTAAAATCTTTTGTTTCAGTGATGCTGGTTGTTATGGTGATCTTCAACCAGGAAGGGGCCAACTTGAACACCTTCAACCCGCCAATGGCCCCCAACCCTTTGCTCCGCTATGACGTGGTTAGTGTGAAGAATTGTATTCCGAAGATTTTAAAAAGTAAGGCTCACATTTTGGAAAGAAAATGATAGTATTTTCAGCTTGTTATAGTTCACATATAGAATAAAATGTAATACGATTTGAAGAAACAAATTTAATCCAATCAATTATCAAATGAAAACTAGTAGAAACTAAAATCTTTTGTTTCAGTCATGCTGGTTGTAATGGTGATCTTCAACCAGGGAAGGGGCCAACTTGAACAGCTTCAACGCGCAGATGGCCCCCCCAACCCTTTGCTCCGCTATGACGTGGTTAGTGTGAAGAATTATATTCCGAAGATTTTTAAAAAGTACGGCTCACAGTTTTGGAAAAGAAAATGATAGTATTTTTCAGCGTGTCATAGTTCACATATAGAATAAAATGTAATACGATTTGAAGAAACAAATTTAATCCAATAAATTATCAAATGAAAAACTAGTAGAAAACTAAAAATCTTTTTGTTTCAGTCATGCTGGTTGTAAATGGTGATCTTCAACCAGGGAGAGGCCAACTTGAACACCTTCAACCCGCAGATGGCCCCCAACCCTTTGCTCCGCTATGACGTGGTTAGTGTGAAGAATTATATTCCGAAGATTTTTAAAAGTACGGCTTACATTTTGGAAAGAAAGTGATAGTATTTTTAGCGTGTCATAGTCCACATATAGAATAAAATGGAATACGATTCGAAGAAACAAATTTAATCCAATAAATCATCAAATGAAAACTAGTAGAAACTAAAATCTTTTGTTTCAGTGATGCTGGTTGAAATGGTGATCTTCAACCAGGAAGAGGCCAACTTGAACACCTTCAACCCGCAGATGGCCCCCAACCCTTTGCTCCGCTATGACGTGGTTAGTGTTAAGAATTATATTCCGAAGATTTTTAAAAGTACGGCTCACAGTTTGGAAAGAAAATGATAGTATTTTCAGCGTGTCATAGTTCACATATAGAATAAAATGTAATACGATTTGAAGAAACAAATCTAATCCAATAAATTATCAAATGAAAACTAGTAGAAACTAAAATCTTTTGTTTCAGTCATGCTGGTTGTAATGGTGATCTTCAACCAGGGAGGGGCCAACTTGAACAGCTTCAACCCGCAGATGGCCCCCAACCCTTTGCTCCGCTATGACGTGGTTAGTGTTAAGAATTATATTCCGAAGATTTTTAAAAGTACGGCTCACATTTTGGAAAGAAAATGATAGTATTTTTCAGCGTGTCATAGTTCACATATAGAATAAAATGTAATACGATTTGAAGAAACAAATCTAATCCAATAAATCATCAAATGAAAAACTAGTAGAAACTAAAAATCTTTTGTTTCAGTCATGCTGGTTGAAATGGTGATCTTCAACCAGGGAGGGGCCAACTTGAACAGCTTCAACCCGCAGATGGCCCCCAACCCTTTGCTCCGCTATGACGTGGTTAGTGTTAAGAATTATATTCCGAAGATTTTTAAAAGTACGGCTCACAGTTTGGAAAGAAAATGATAGTATTTTCAGCGTGTCATAGTTCACATATAGAATAAAATGTAATACGATTTGAAGAAACAAATCTAATCCAATAAATCATCAAATGAAAACTAGTAGAAACTAAAATCTTCTGTTTCAGTCATGCTGGTTGAAATGGTGATCTTCAACCAGGAAGGGGCCAACTTGAACAGCTTCAACGCGCAGATGGCCCCCAACCCTTTGCTCCGCTATGACGTGGTTGGTGTTAAGAATTATATTCCGAAGACTTTTAAAAGTACGGCTCACAGTTTGGAAAGAAAATGATAGTATTTTCAGCGTGTCATAGTTCACATATAGAATAAAATGTAATACGATTTGAAGAAACAAATCTAATCCAATAAATCATCAAATGAAAAACTAGTAGAAACTAAAAATCTTTCTGTTTCAGTCATGCTGGTTGTAAATGGTGATCTTCAACCAGGGAAGGGGCCAACTTGAACAGCTTCAACGCGCAGATGGCCCCCAACCCTTTGCTCCGCTATGACGTGGTTAGTGTGAAGATTTATATTCCGAAGATTTTTAAAAGTACGGCTCACAGTTTGGAAAGAAAATGATAGTATTTTCAGCGTGTCATAGTTCACATATAGAATAAAATGTAATACGATTTGAAGAAACAAATCTAATCCAATAAATCATCAAATGAAAACTAGTAGAAACTAAAATCTTCTGTTTCAGTCATGCTGGTTGATATGGTGATCTTCAACCAGGAAGGGGCCAACTTGAACAGCTTCAACGCGCAGATGGCCCCCAACCCTTTGCTCCGCTATGACGTGGTTAGTGTGAAGATTTATATTCCGAAGATTTTTAAAAGTACGGCTCACAGTTTGTAAAGAAAATGATAGTATTTTCAGCGTGTCATAGTTCACATATAGAATAAAATGTAATACGATTTGAAGAAACAAATCTAATCCAATAAATCATCAAATGAAAAACTAGTAGAAACTAAAAATCTTCTGTTTCAGTCATGCTGGTTGTAAATGGTGATCTTCAACCAGGAAGGGGCCAACTTGAACAGCTTCAACGCGCAGATGGCCCCCCCAACCCTTTGCTCCGCTATGACGTGGTTAGTGTTAAGAATTATATTCCGAAGATTTTTTTAAAAAGTACGGCTCACAGTTTGGAAAGAAAATGATAGTATTTTCAGCGTGTCATAGTTCACATATAGAATAAAATGTAATACGATTTGAAGAAACAAATCTAATCCAATAAATCATCAAATGAAAACTAGTAGAAACTAAAATCTTCTGTTTCAGTCATGCTGGTTGTAAATGGTGATCTTCAACCAGGGAAGAGGGCCAACTTGAACAGCTTCAACGCGCAGATGGCCCCCAACCCTTTG